GTCCACTGCTCAACATAGGCCCCCTATGTTCAGCAGTGGACTATTAAAGGCTGTTGATGCTGATGATTGATGATAGATGTATTTAGTAATAAAACTGTGTTTATTAGGAGTTTGGTTAAAATACTATAGGCTCTGCCTTATTTGGGATCAGGCGCCGACCTTCTACATAAAAGAAACTTGAAGCATTCTGAAGAGACAATATTAAAAAGCAATCTCTTAATGTATTAATACGATTATAGATTCCGCCTCTTTCGAACACACGACAGGAACCTGTTTTGCAAACCGTTAACCTCTCATATCAAAGAATTGTAAAATGTAGGTTACATGACTTTCGCCTTTAGCCAGTTTATAATAAACAACCAAATTATATATCAATTCTATATGTATAACGAGACACTTGTGTTGCCCACTGTACATTATACGCGCGTGTTTATAGCGATATAGCATTCAGTATTATCATTGTTTTGTGAACGATATGAATGATAATACAATTTTCTTTAAATAACCGTGTTCCGTGTAATGTTTCGGTATGTGTTTTCCCTAAGATAACTTTCATCAGATACTGTCGGGATATTTTTGGTATATATTGAGTGAAGTGTTACAAGTGTTTTTTTTTAATACCACTGTGTTTTGTACATAAAAGTATGTTTAAATAGTTTTCAGGTGGGTTTATTATTATATTGACTATTGATGGACCTTGTATTGCATATTTTAAATGAGTGGCAGTTAGATAGACTAATTAGATAAAGAATTATTACAAAATACATACTTAAAGTTATAAAATTGTTATATATACATATAAAAAAAATCTACCCAAGCACACAACTGACTTACAACAATTTTTTATTCATATAGGAAATGTAATGTTTCAAAGATTTAAATAATAAAAACATTTTTTGCTTGTTTCAAAATTTTTAATATACCATCAAAACATTGAAATTAATATAAGTTTTAAAATATTTGTATTAGGGTGGTCTTTTTTGTTGATGGGATGGAAAATCTGTGGAACGGGTTATCATCTACGGTATTTCCGGACCGATACGACCTTCAAACCTTCAAGAAAAGAGCGTACTCCTTCCTAAAAGGCCGACAACGCGTTTGTGACTCCTGAGTCGCAGACGTTCATGGGCGGATGGTCACTTTCCATCAGGTGACCCGTCTGCTCGTCTGCCCCCTCTAATATAAAAAAAAACACTCCGTTTCGTTACCAATGATGAGAACAACTTTCTCAATAATTTTTGTTCCCAGAGGATTTCACCAATACATGACCATAGCAGCTACCATAAACTGATAATACTATTAATCAGTTAAATATAAAATACAATCAGTAACAGACATACTGACACACATCAATGTTGTGTATATTTAATGATGCTATTGTTATCTGTTGATTGAAAAGAGTGGCCGTGAGTTTGTGTGACCTTTCTTCTCATGAGGCTCAACCCCTTGGAAATGGGCGGTTTTATCGGCACAGGCATATAAAAGATTTTCGACACGTATATATTTAATTTGCCAAGTATTTGTGTGTTGATCTATGACTTTAGAGTCTACATAAGAGACGATTTCAAATAAAAAAAAGTGAACTAAAAATATTTGAGTTTGAGTTGGAATAAGTAGTTAATTGAAGCAATAATATTATAATGCCAAATCCCATACCTAAATTCATACCGATTTGCGTTTGTAAACCACTTTTAGCCTTTAGGTTCACTCTTTATCTACGTAATTTGTATTCGACCTTACCACCCTAATAAAAGTTAACATTGACAATGAGCGTTCATGTTATGAATCAGTTTGGGGCTCGATAACTGCCATTACAATAAATGGGCGACCTTGCTTCTATGGCTAATCATTCATAAGAAGTATGTCATGAAAAGTTGTGGATGTAGGGCATGACCTAACCACTGAGGTGGGGAAACACCACCACATTTAAGACGAGCATGAATAACAATTGTAATGTTGTGTTTGTGTTCATGATAAGGTTGTACGAATGGGACGTATGTCCTTAACTCTTCGCAGTGATTTCTGACGAGCGGCCATGATTGTTTTGGGGCTCAGTCGCTGACTAAGTCGCATACACTCGACGCCAACTCAATTAGCTATACGCTCTAATCTCTGGAACCACCACAATACAAATTTCAATAATTCTCTTTGTATTTTTTACCCAATTTTTTAAGACAGAATAAAGTCCAGTTTAAAACAAGCGTAACCACCAACCACCACCACCAACAGCCTATAACAGTCCACTGCTGGACATAGGCCTCTCCTTAGAAAGGAGGTTTTGGCCTACTATACCACGCTGGCCAAACGGGTTGGTATAGGGTTTGTTTCAAGTTTTCCTTCTCTTAGCAGTGCTGTTGTCCTGCTTAGTTCGCTCCCTTAGTCGGCTCTTACGACACCCACGGGATGACATGCCGTATTCTTAATCCGTCACCACACGGACACGTAACGTAACCACACGGCGTAACGGTCATCCTTAATAGGAGTCGCGTACATAAATTCAGTAAAATGCTGAGTCATCATTAATAGCCTTTAACAGTCTTTTGCTGGACATAGGTCTCTCCTTAAAAAGGAGATTTTGACCTAGTATACCACGTTGACCAGACGGGTGTTTGCTTCTAGTTTTCCTTCTCTTTGTAGATCTGTTGTTCTGCAGTTTACTAGTAGTTTCCTAGTCGGATTTTACAACACCCACGGAATAAATAGGAGTGGTGGTATGGTATTTTTAATCCGTCACCAGACGGAATGCAAAGTAGGGCTATAAATAAATATAGATAGCAAAGGCAAAATTCTTTACTTTGTTTTATTCCCTTTCATAAAGTAGAGAAGTTACAATTCGGCAAGGGCAATATACGTTATAGTGGGCAAAGACCTTAAATCACCATGGTTACAGTAACTAAGTAAAAAAGTTTAGTTGCAGGCAACCTCGCGTGCGTACGTTCAGTTCATAATACGGCACCGTTCAATTTAATTGGGCTGATTTCCCTCCGCGAAGGAGTTTCTGTTTATTACTGTTTATGTACTTTTAATTTTCATACAATGTGATTTTCCATCAGTATTCACGTTGAGGAAGCCTTGGCGTGCTGTGGTACAGAAAACCTAAAAATAATATCGTTTTAAAAAGGTTCTTTTGTTATCTGTTAACATTACGCAGTGCAAATGTCGGTGACATGCCAATACGTGGCCACGGTTTATCTTAGTAATTTACCTTCTAAAATACCTATGTTGTTTGTGTTTTATGGGTATGTTACTTATCGTCGATGTTCACATACATGCAGTTGTATATATGCACTACTCAATTGGAAAGTAATACGTAGTGGTTTGGTTTACCACATTAGAGAAAGTGCAAGAATAATATAATATCATAATATGATTTTTTCTATAAACACAACACTGTATTTATACTTTAGAGTTTTTGGTGAGTAGTGTTCGAAGTATATTTACCTCACGTTAATTAAGTTTAAATATTAAATAATACTGCCAAAAGTAGATTTGGTAATATTGATATTGAGTTCACTTAATATTTCGTGACAATCCTTTATATCTTTTCATGAAATCACTCCCAGAGGAGAGCGAATCAAGTATCAAAATATTAACCTTTAGGACAGACACCCGGTCAAAGTTGCAAAAAAAAGGCAGGACTACTGTAATTCTAAATATCATGACGTGGGAGAGCCATGCTTCGGCACGAATGCTCGACCAGAGTGATACCACGGTCTCACAGAAAACCGGTGTTAAGCAATTCTTTCACTGAGTGAGTGAGGTTACCGAAACCCCAAATCCCGAGCGAGAGGTACTCCAAGGGCTGCAACGCACTCCTGACTTGAGTTGCAGGTGTCCATGGGCGGCGGTAGTTGCTTACCATCAGGTGACCCGTCTGCTCGATGGCCCCTTATACCATAAAAATATACATATATATTACAATAGCTCTCCTTGTTGATCATCAAGGAAATTTGATTATTATCATAATCCTAGCTGATCTCATCATCTTTTTTTTCTAAAATTTATTTGGAGTGGGTACAATGAGTTTTTTTTTATTCCATGCTCCTCCTAGTTAATATGGATTTTAAATACAAATGCAAGTTGATTTATTATCTTCTTTAAAAACACTTGCGCCACCAGTGCATTAAAAGTACATCTTTATGTAACCAACTAAGGCACCGTTTTAGATTAACTTACTTGTTATCATATATTTTTAAACATTGTTAGTGTTGGTTTACGGGAAATTTATTGCATTCTTTAGCACCTGTGTTGATAACTTCATATGATAGCCGTGCAATGAACAGTCTCAAGGACGATACCGTTCGTGTTGACAAGCAAATTAAACTTAAAAACGTATAATTCTTACTATCAGATAAATTATAAGAAGGTTAGATATTGCATTTAATTTAATAAAGTATATCACACATTTAATATGAAGTGCAAACTTGACGAAAACGCTAAATCTAAACAGAATGCTTAGTTTATTTTACTCCATAGTCACGGTGATCGTTCGCGCTGTGATTGGCCCGCGTTGAAATCTTCACCAATCGCAACGTCGAGAGCGAGTAGGTACATGTGAAATAATCTCGCACTTGGGCTTCAGACGTATGTCTCAATAGAATGTGCACTGCATTTATTATCAAATGTATCTCGAAGGTTTCTCTGGATTATTAGTAGGAAGCTCATGTTTTAATTTGTATTTAGAAAAAATGTAATACATCTGCCATTAAAAAAAAAGCTAGCTAGGACCCTATGTGAAGATTCTATTGATACCTTGAACATCTAAACTTACCAAAGCATTAAGAAGATTTGACGAATAAATAAAGAAACTCAATATACATGTTCTACGAAAATGTTACACTACATTTTGGGTAGTCGTGTAAAGAATACCAATCTGAATTAATTACAAAGTATGGTTAGATACAGTAAGTCATACGTACGTAGTATCCGCAAAGATATATACATTCTTATCTTTACGTCCTTATCGATGTAAACATCCGATACATTTTTGTTGTTGACAGAGAGAGGAGTGAAAAGAAAGCGCAGATGCTGTTCAATCAAGAGGTGATCATTGAACAGAACAGGCAACAGATCTATGAACAACAGCTGAGACAGGTTAGTAGCAACAACACAGTATTGTACATCGCACCCCTAGATCATCATCATCAGCCTATCGCAGTCCACTGTCCCCTATTTCACATAAAAATAAATACTATGTCAGTATCCGCAATCATACCACGGTTTTCAAGAAAACTCGAGTTAAGTACTCTTGAATTGCCGGTGGAGGTCACCTGATGGAAAGTGACTACCATCGCTGTACTACTACTGCTTATAATTAGGTGACCCGTCTGCTCGTTGCCTCCTACACTATGCCATAAAAAAATCTAAGCAGACCTAACTGAGTTTGAGTACCCCAGTAGTGGATTGGTTGGTATCCGCACTCTCAACCACAGATCCCAAGTTCGACACCTAAGTCAATACGCTATTTATTTTATTTATTTAATAAGGCATATTTAGAGAGTAAACACAAACATTCACATACATTAATTGTTTAAAATTAAGTACAAATGCTACTCTAATTATAAATATGCACAGAATTCACATAAAGACAACATTTTTTTTTAAATAGCATCATAACTTTATACGTAACTAAAAACGTACACTTTACGAGATCGAGACCGTATAATTTAAATGAAATCTTTGAGTTGATTGACGACGAAAATGATGCATTGTAAATATATTTTAGATGAAGATAATCCAGAACCAACAGCAAGTCCCGGTAGACCAGGTGAAATCTGGACTCCTCAACGGTGTGGGACCCCAGCCTTTGACAGCCGTCCAGTGAGTACCAATAGTTTAAGGATAACAGATTTTGTTTAAGTCTAAAATTTTGTTCTACTTTCGGCGTTATTATTCATAAAGTAACTATATAAAATTGACGGGTATAGTGATTAGTGATCCTGAGGTCGTGGGTTCGATTCCCACCCAGGATCATTAATTGTGTGATGGGCATGATAATTTGTTCTGTGGATACCACCCACCGGTGGTTATTACGGACTCGAACCGACCAAAAACGGATACCAGTTGCCAGGGAACCAGGTGTATACCTGTACCTGTACCCTAGGAAGGATATCCCTGATACCCCGCCGTGCCTCGGGCCATCTACGGCGTGTAGATGACCCCCTCCTGTGTAGGAATCCCTATATCCCGTTTGTGCTCCCGAAAGGGAGCGCGCGCTCCGCAGCGGCCACCACCCCGGCCTGCTTCTGCTAGGGTGACAGATAGCCTCACCTACCATCCCCAAATACTTTTATTATCAAATAGATTAAATACAAGGTATTTATAAATAATAGAAAAAATCTTTTTACATCTATTTATAAAAATACATAACGAAGGGTGAAGTGGGCGGTTATTGTTTCTCAGCTCTTCATCCATCGTAGAAGTAAGTAGATGCAGGAAATAAGACTGAGTATGCATTTAACTGGTAAAATTACAACCTATTAACAAGGAATCACACTTAAGTATGCACACGTGGCTTGGATATAATCGGATTATTTTAGGAACGCGGCTAAGTCGGATAGATTAGCTCCACGTGTGTCCTCCGCTCTTGCTCGCCCAAAAGTGACCGTTGACCGCCTCTTGTTCAAAATGACAGCGAGCTGTCAACCGTTGTGTTGCCGATTAAACTTGACGTTTCGTTCCACGTTCTCCGACACATATATATATATATAAAGACAGTTATTATTAGTAGTAAGTAAATTTCTTTTGATTTCAGACTCGACCCTCAATCACAACTCCTCCAAGCGCAGCAGCATCTACTCCAACAGCAGTTCCAGCAGTTGAACAATGAGGAAACAGCGATGAAGCTGCTGCAGCACAACCTTATGCAAACTAGGATCTCACCGTCACTCGGGGTGGATCAACAGTCACTATTGGAGCAGAACTTCCAGCAGCAGTCGTTGTTGGAGCAAAATTTGAAACAGCAGGTGAGAAGTTGTCCTGAAATTACTTGTGTAATATAAATACTCCTAATTAATTATACTCTCAGGGTGTTGAAAATGGTGGCAAATATTTGATTTTTCTGATTGCTTTTATTAGCTATCTAGGACTTCGGTAAGTACAAACAGGTGTTCATTTTTCACTCTTTATATTGGCCAAATCTGTAAGCTTCGTCTCTACTCCGTCACCGGCGACTGAACACGACCATGAATGTCGGTTGGACAACATCTGTCGGTGGTTGTTTGATTGCGCCATGTCGGTTTAAATACAGCCTTGAAACCAGATGCTTTAAGTCCCTTCTTTTTATGAGTCATGTCAATGACTTAAATGATGGATGGACTTTTTTCTTTCATATGCTGCACGGATGGCGTAGTGGTTTAAGCGGTCATCTCGTCGCTTTCTAATGCGCTGAGTGTTGTGGGTTCAATCCCCACATGAGGCAATACTTTGTGCGATCCACAAATTGTTGTACGGAGTCTGTTGTACGACTGTCTTTGTGTCGGATACGGATATATTCCTAGTGCAGGTGTAGTGTTTAAAAAAAAAACAACCAATATCTTTAATGCTGTTACTTTGGTATTCAATTTTCAGGATAAGAACTTAATAAGTTTCTCAAATGAGGAATATAATCTAAAGTAGAAACCCTTTTTATTTATAACTTTATTCATTAGAATGACGCCTATGTAATCCGTGTTTTTTAATTGTTTTAACTGGAATGCTTTGAAGCTAGAATTTTCATAAAACGTTAACTTAAAAGTTATATTTATGAAAATTACCCCAATAATTAGCTTTGGCCGCCTGTCTTAAGTGTTTTTTTATTACGAACTTGATTTAACGGGAATGCTTTGAAGCTGGAATTTTCACAAAACATCGCTTAAAAATTATATTTTATGAAAAAACCCCAATGCCCTTTCAACATAATTAGCTTTAGCCGCCTGTCTAACTATTTTTAGGTTTATATTGGCTTCTGCCAAAATAAATTTTTCGATTATTTTATTCAATCTGTGTGTTGTCAGTCAGTTGTTGTCTGATCGAGCTAAAATACGGTTACGAACCTTGATCACAAACTTTATTTCATTGTACTGTTGTTCGAGAATATTTGCTTAAATGTATGTATGTTTTTTAATTACGAACGAAATTGATATAATATATAGTACTGTTCAAGCTTCGTAATGACAGATGCTTTGTCCATTTTTATTCTATGTCGAAATCCCCTCGGATACCACCCACCAGTGGTTATGTCGGACTCAAACGGACCAAAAACCGCACGCTGTCAGTAGCCGGGAAACTAATTGTACCCTAGGAAGACAATCCCTGGTATCCCGACGGACCCCGGGCCATCTACGGTTTGTAGATGACCCCCTAGGAACCCGTAGGAACCACAGTGTTCCCGTTATATAATGTAAAGGGGGCATGAGCTCCACAGCGCGTTGCACCGCCAACCCGGCCTGCATGCTTTACCTCCTGCACAGACAGTTAGGAGGTTTATTGTTTTATTATTTCGTTGGCTGGTACATGTATGTGTTTTTATCGTGTAGTTATAATCGTAATACTGTATCTATTCATTATCTATATTGAGTCCCTCATAAATATCTTAGTATCGAGTCTTAAATATCGATTATATTTGTGACTGTTTGTTTATTTACCTAAGTATCCCTTCTCTAAATACGTATTCCCTGCAGAGAAACACGCAGACAACCACTCCTTTACGATACACGTACCGTTTCTTTTTTATCGTCTTGGATGTAAAACGAAATCAATAATGTGTCATTCTGTGTATCCGATAACCTTTTACTAAACCACGCAACGAATTTTGATACGGTTTAGACTATAAGCTAGATATTTTTTTAAGGAAGATTTTTTTAGTAGAATAAATTTAATCTACCAATAGGTTTAATGTGAAATTAAAACATTTAAGAATGTAAAAATCAGGCATTAAGGTGCCTGAACCCAAAATTTTAACGTTCAAACTCTTTTTCAACTAAGCGTGGCCGAGGGTCACAGATGTGTCAACTCTGTAAACATCTTCTCCGCTATAATATTTACTAAAGTAGTCAATTTCAAACTCTCTATTCTAGGTAATGATGGAGCAGAATCTCATCAACCAGCAGATGCTGGAACATTCAGTCCAAGGTCAGGCGTTAATGGACCGCCAGGTTCAACAGAATCTTCTAGAGCAAGTTCCTTCTCAAACACAACTTCAACCGAATCTTCTTAACCAACAACTTTCAGCTGAAATCAACAATCAAAATCAAGTGTTGCAGCAACAGATTATTCAACAGCAACAAAATATAATCGCTCAACAAGCGGCAGCAATACAACAGAAGCAGCTAGAGGAACATCTGACTGCCCAGGAGAATATTATCTCTGGTCCACAGAATCTCGTCACTGGCCAGATATTGGATCCTTCGTTGCAGAATTTGCAAAACATTCTTTCTCAAATAATACAAAGGCCTGACACATTACAGCAAAATAGGTAAGTTATTTCTTTTAGTAAGAACACCTTTCTAACATGTCAGCATTTAAAAATTCAATAAATTAATTAAATAATAGGTTATTAAATATTCATACAATAAATGAAACACGTTACTTAATATCATTATATTTTTAAATAAATATATCTCGAATTTTCAATTTTTATCTTGCCAGGAAAGAATCGGAGTCAGAAACTCAGTCTCAACAAGTCCAACCACAGCACACTCAACCAATCAGTCAACAGCAATCAGAACCTGTGGAAATCCAACAAAACCAGGAACAGGAACAACAAGCTTTACAACACAGAATGCAAATGTTAATAGGAGCTCAGATGCAACAGCAAAATATTAATTACCAACAAAATCAGCAATACATGCAGCCAATATTACCTACAGCCATAGATCCAGCTTTTATAGCTCAGCAACAACAGGTCGCCCAAGCCCAGCAACAAGTAGCTCAAGCCCAACAACAATTGGACATGCAGAAACAAGTCTTAACGCAACAACAGTTAGTACTCCAACAACAAATGCTGACACAACAACAGTTAGGGATGCCAGGGCAAACGTTATCACCTCAGCATTTTAGACATTTCCAACAACAACAACAGTATTTAGCTCAACAAGAATTACAATTACAAACTCAGCAAAATATAATTACCCAAAATTGGGCAATTTTAGCCCAGAAACAACAACTCATGGAGCAGCAACATCAGAAAGTTGAGGAAATCCTTAGATCCCAAAGGCCTATGTACCAACGTCAAGGTTCTGAACAAAGCCAGATCAGTTCTGCTGATGTCCATGATCAGCAGCAGGTTATGATGCCGGAACAGTACTCTCAGAAAGCTCAATTACAACAGCAGATGTCAGTAGACCAAATGCAGTATGCAAATCAGCGTTCTGATGACCATTATCGGCAGCTGCCACCTATGCAAGGTCAGTCGCTTCCGCATAATATGCAAATGCAGCAAAATTTCAACGTGGTGCAACAAAATGAAAGGCAGATTTCTAGTCATGAAGGCACTCCGGTGCAAAATTATACTGCCAATCCATTACAGATGTACCAGCAAGCTCAAAGTCAACCTGTTCAGATGATGCAAAATCTCCAATACCAAGTGGAGCCTTCCATACCATCGTCAGTTGCGGGTTCAATACCACAGAGCAACCCTCAGTCAGTTCCTCAAGATAGTATATCTCAGATGTCTGCAGTTCAACAATCCATTCCGCAATCACTAACTAAAGTTCCTGTACAGCCAATACAGCAACCGTCAGTCCCTCAGTCAGTAAACTCCGTCCCTCAACCAATTCACTCGATTTCTCAACCCGTTCAAACTATTCCACCACCATCACAGTCGATACCGCAACCCACTCAATCCGTAATACAACCTATTCAATCTATACCTCAGTCGGTACAAGCCATACAGTCCCAGCCCCAAACCCAAACCGTTCAGTCCACACAACAATCTATCCAGTCGATACCACAACAAGTCCAATCCACTCCACAGCAAATTCCCACACAGATATCCATTCAGCAACCTGCACAAACGTTGCCACCAGTTCCTCAACAACCTATCCAGCAACAAACACAGCAACAGTTACCACAATTACAACAACAGCCTGTGCAAGATACAGCACCACCGCAGTTGAACCTTGCTTCGGAACAGGTTGAGAATGGCTATCAGAGTAATGGGACACAGAAAGAACAGTTCTTTACTCCGCTGTCTGAGATTGCTAATAACCACTCGGAACCTAGTAAGCATCCAGATCTTAGTTCTGTTGAGGAGAAGCAGTCGGAGTCCCAGCAACAAGAAGGTAAGTCCAACCATAAATACATCATCATAAATACATTTTAATAAATATAATAAATATACACGGTGATTTTGAAAGCGTTTTGGAAACGAAATATTTGAATTTGGAATCATCTATAGTACCAATAAAAATGATTAAATCAATTGTAATGTTGTCTAAAAAAAAGTTTCAGTTTTAATATTCATTTTTACTCGATCGACTTGGAAAGTAGTAATGGACTGATCGTTCATTCATTATCTTATATGAATGAAACACGTCCGTGGGCGTTTCGGCGGCCGCTGCGCACCGCCGACGCTAACAGCAGCTGACAAAACTATACCTATAGGCGCGAGCTAGCGAGTACTTACGTAGATAGACTCCAATTTGTCCTTCATACTTTACACGGGCTTAGGACCGTCAGAAATACCTATTTTATTTAAACTTCTTTTCGATTATTAACCACGATTGTTCTTTTCACAGCAAATCAATTTATCAACGGACTGTAGGTATAAATATTTCAGGCGTATTTAAAAAATCGGAGCTATCTACAGAATAATTAACTTACATACCTATTTACACTATTTACAGTTCTCTGTATCGAAGGAACTGCTCAAAATGGAGTCCGCTGCATTCAATACACAAACGTCCACGTTTAATGCAATTGTTTTTTAATTTTCTTAATGTGTCTCTATCACTTTTCACTTTAAAGCGTCCACTATCGCAATGCGTAAATTATCACGGCTTTCATATTCCCGTGTATTAACAAGTCTTTTTATTTCCGACCATAAGAAAAAATCCAGGGGCGTTAAGTCCGATCACTAAGCTCATTGTCCAGGTATGCACGCACTGTAGTGCGTGCATACCTGGACAATGAATCCGGCGAATAATAATTAAAACGTCCTTGACCTTGCGCATGAGTAGGCGCACGAAATTGTCCGTGGTCGAGAAGACGTTGGGTTGCAGCCAAGATAGTAGGTGTGGAGGGAATTTGAGGGCTTTCAATTCCACGTAGCCGTAGTGCATTTAAATGCTCCGGCTTGGGAATACAAACGCCGAGCCTCTTCCAAGTTGTAGTTGGCAGTAGCGTACAGCTGTACCATTGCCAAGAAGTATTCCACGTTTGAAAATTCGTACTGTCGACTCATTTTAGCGCTAATCAATGCAGCGTGCCGTCACGATGTTATGGTATTACTGACCGACTGACGATGACAGGTGAGCCCCGCGCATGCGCCTACGGGGCAGACGTCATTGGTTGGACGACTCCGGCGCAACTCGGTAGCTTTGTTTTTATTGGCGAATACGATTTGATGTGACACGCATAGTATTTCTATTCGTAGTATTTACCTACGTGTGATTGAATAGCCTACTACTACTGGTTCTGACTTTTTCTCTGTAAACGATATGAATATCGACTTTGATGATAAAAAAAATATATATTTTATTAAATTAACGTTATATATAGCTTCTGTTACTGATAAATAACTCAAAATTTTCTTTTCCAAAACGCTTTCAAAATCACCGTGTATAAATAAATACATACAAATACAAACCTCCTTTCTCAGGAGAGGCTTATATCCAGCAGTGGACTATTAAAGGCTGTTGATGATGATGATGATGATGAAATACATTTTATTGACAAAGATTGACTAAACTAGGACTAAAATATATATTAAACTTTAAAGGAAGCTTTACCATAAATTCATTCACTTTAGATGTTGATACGATGGTCATAAAATGAATAAAAAAACAGTGTCACACCAATCAGCTAGGGTAAAGGTACCGTAAAGGCAATAAGATACGGAACTGAGGGGTTCGTATGATCGTTTTTCCGTCATGTGATCCGATAGGTCACTAGTACAAAGATATCGTCTCCCGGGATAGGGCCTGGATAGGCTCGGCCTCGATTTTGAAATCACTTTGTCCAGATCCTTTTCAGAGTAGAGCGTCTAAGACCACCCGTAGAGTGGCTTTTAGTAATACCACATATTGCACCTGGCTCCTACATCACCGCGGATGGCGTGCCCCGTAAGACTAAGATTCGTATTGATTATGTACCCTATAACCAAAGCAATAAACAAAGCCATCAAATTACCTCAGTTTAGTCTTTTTCATTTACGTCAAATTGACAGTTTTAAAAAATAATGCCAGCAGGAACAGCCATATCTTCTCCAATAACGAGCGAAAAAAAATCCCGCGGATCGAAGAAACGTTCCCGAGAGAAGGACAAGCTGCCAAAGCTGACGGTGCTGGAAGTCAATGAAGAGGCTACCGTGGTGGAGTGCCAGTTGGAGTCCAAGTCTAAGACTGTTACCTTCAAGTTCGACGTCACTGATGTGAACCCTGAAGAGATTGCGAGTAACTTGGTAAGTATATATTTATTGGTATTGGTATTGGTTGTGGGCTTCGGTTTCCGCATTTAGACTCAGAGTGGTCCTTCATGCGTCGAGGATTGGTTGACTAGGTGAGCCAGCCAAGCTCCTTCCAGAAGCGCAGAAGCCTCCTGGGGCGTTCACAGGCTTCTAGGAGCGACTTTGTATCAGGAATGATACTTGCCCGTTGTGTGGCCACTCCCTCGCATTCCAGGACTACGTGGACGGCCGTTTCTTCAGCTTCCAGACATCCCCTGCACAGGGGACTGTCCGTCGCATTGATTATGAATAGTTGTCGGTATATATTTATTTCAAACTGAGATGTATTTTTGCAAGGGTGCGTGCACGTGCACGTGTGTATCACAACGAACAAAATTTACAATCTTACCAAGGAGGTTGGTTGCAAGTTAAATAGTAAATAATGGCAACATAGATATTCATTTTGTATGTGTTTATATCATGAACAAATAATTTTTTCTCAGGTGTCCAACAACCTTCTCCCGGAGTGGCAGAGTGCCGCATTCATGGAGCTCATTAAAGATATCGTTAATCAGCTAATCAACAATCCTGGAGTGACGCCAGTTCTTAATCCAGCTCACCACTCGCTCAGGCTTAACATAGACAAGGTAATATAAAGTCTCAATTAATATTTACGTGTTGAAAAGCGCCATTAATAGTGTTATATATTGATTAGCATTTTCTTCTGTACCAAAAATAACCTATGGCCGCAGCTTCCTGTCTATACTTTTTGTTAATAAATACAGATTGCTGAACGACAATTTCATGTATATAAAAGTGTTAAGTTGGTTTGTCTACACTTCAAAAACTCTAAAAGTTCTGCACCCATTGAGCTAGAATTTTGCCGCGACATACAACCCGCTTCAAATATTGTTTTTATCTATTTTTCGCTTTCGCTTTGTTCCTCATTCTCATCAATGCAATGACAATGTGCTACAGTGAACCGTGGTAGTGTACAGCCAGTTAAAAGGAACGCATTGGAATTGATAGAGCTTTGTAGAATGTTTAATTGTTTTACAGACCGACTACGATTCAGAGACGACAGAGCGCGAAGAGAATCTCACGGACTCGAATCAGGACAACTCGGAGTGCACGACGCCCACCGCGTCGCACGACAACATCGCCGCGGAACTGGCTTACGACCAGGCCGAACCAGAACCTCTACCCGAAGTTGTGAAACCTACCCACATAGACACAGTGTCCAGGAAGATTAGCACTGCCTCGTCCATAGGTATTGTATTTTATGTGGTTACCAGAGTATTATAGAGGCCTCTCTAACTTCCGAGTCAAGGAATTATCACTTGAACTCACTGATTGATCTGTACATGCCTAAATCATGTCAATATACTAAAAAGCTATTTTTAAGATCTTTTTAATGCAGCCCTAAGAGTGAGGTCCAAAATTTCTGATTCAAATATCAAATTTATAAATAATAATTAAATTATTTCAGGTTCTAATCAATCAGATGGCGGGTCAATAGCCCCCGAACGATCGGGAAGTACAGAATCACAAAATGGCGACAAAAAGCAACAGAAACCATCACGTAAAATATCCAGATTTCTAGTCAGCCCAGTGGTGGACCGTGGGGAAAACGTTCCAGAGGAGAAGTTACTCGAGGTTGAACCCCCTCCACCAGCAGTCAATGGCATCGATAAAGACATCACAATACAACCTCAAGAATTTGTTCCTACTCACCAGTATTCAGTGCCATCACAGGCCCCTGTCATAGACCACCGGTCAGAGATTACAGTCCCTCAAGTAGACCACAGGCCAGAGATTACAGTCCCTCAAGTAGACCACAGGCCCGAGGTCCAGCCGGAAAGACCAGTAGAATTAGTCAAAGAGATTCCTGTTAGCGTTAATGTGCCAGCACCTGCTCCTTTAGTTTCTAACGTACCAACTATTCCACAAATTCCAGTCCAAAATGTTATTAACCCTAATCTACTCACAGCTACATCATTACAACCTAACCTTACGACCCCGTTGCAAATAACTACCGACAGTCCATTACTAGGGTTAAGTCAAGTCGGTACTCCAATGGGTGTCGGAGGAGAGCTACTAAATATCGGGCTGGGACATGTGGGAGGCAGTTTGGACCCCTCTTCAGTGTCGTTGGGTTTGTCTACGCAGCAAACACTGACGCCGACCCCGGGGAGTGTGGACGCCTTGTCTAACACTGAGAATTTACAGAGGATGTTACTGAAGCAAAATATTATGAAGTAAGTCATTTTAAATTCTATTTGTATATAAAATTAGATTTACGTTTCTTTAATATAATTCAAATAATTGTACAACATTTAAACTGGTAGAACATATTGTACACTCCTAACCTATAAATAAAATAAAGTAAAGTAATAAAATATAATAGAAATTGCCACATACAAATGAATAAAATAAACGACTAAAAGAATACACCGATATAACGTCACCTGCGTCCTACTTGTTGGTAGGCATGGCTACACTTTCTGTAATTATAGATTACCTACATATCCACAATTTCAGAGCATTTTTTTTGTGAATCTGCAAATAAATGCTAAAACTGTTCCATTGACCCACTCAATATTGCACTCTGCAATGGGCTCTGCCCTCGTATATGTCGGTTATCGCGGTAAAAAGCAGCCAATGTCTTTCCTCATGAATCATCTATCTTCAAACCAAATAGCATCTAAATCGGTTCAGCGGTTATTAATTTCCCATACAAACTTCCACCCCCTTATTCACCCCTTTGATGACTTTACCTCTTTTCTAAAGAGAGGCCTATGTCCAGCAGTGGACTGGTAAGGGCTGTTAATGATGATGCTGATGATGATTTCTGGGATAAAAACTATCTTTTCGCGGGACTCGAACTATCTCTATGCCAAATTTTATCTAAATCGGTGCAGCGATTTAAGCGTGAAGTAGTTACAGATAGACAGACACACTTACGCATTTATAAAATTAGTATGCATCATTATATGTGTAATAAAGTAGCCCATTGTTACAGTCAGCAACAAAATCTATCCGGTCCCAATTTGTTGGGGTTGCTTAATCAGCAATCGTTTCCGCAACCAGAGCTGAGCCTACACAGCACCCTCCTTAACAACACGCAGCCCGGTGAGTCTTAACTTCTGTACTTCTGTATAAACTTCTTGTTTGTCAAGACAAGGTTAAGGTTGTATTCATGTATTGTAAATAATCCAGTACACGGCGCTATGCAATATATCAATAATGCCTCATTTTATTGTAAGAAAATACATATTGTACAAAGAGAAGCAATAATGCGTATAGTTAGCAATGGCGATACTCAAAATCACGGTCTCGGACATTGCAATTGAATGGTCTATGAAATAAAAAAAAAACATTTATTTCTCCGATTTCTAATAAAGAGAAGATAATATTTATATTTAAGAAATAATATTATTAAACAAAGTTAAAAATCAATTTTAATAAAAAAAAAAAAAAAAATTCTTTATGCACAAATTAATTGTACAATGGCGGACTTAATGGCACAGGCATTTTCTCCCAGTCAACCTTGGGTGGTAGGGAAATGTCTGAGTAGGTGCACTAGAAATCAAGTTTTGTTTTAAAAAGATCATAATTATACTTAATTGAGGAGATGGACATAAACAGTGGGACAGATATATACAAATACATACTAAAATACACATATACACATGTAATTACTGAGTTACATACATACATATAATATACACAAACAATATATAAAATTTATCACACTTATTATTGTAAATAGTAAACTTTTGAATTTATCCTTAATATGTTGTGATTATATATTTATTATTGAAATCATATTATGTATATTACCATTTTTTAAACTAAATAATAAATAGCATCGGTAATAATAATCGTTTGCGCACTAGATTTATTAGATTTTTGTGTTTGCGTTAGTTTACTTCCTAACCCGATTTCACGTTAATATTTTGGAAATTGATATTTTCAAATCAGTCTGAACATATTCAAGTCAAAATCTGTCAAGATTATGCGTTATCTGACTGATGACAAATTATATTATAGATTGATGAACTTCTTCGTATTCACAAGAAATAAATAAAGAATGAACTCGTGATCGTAAAATAAGCCAAATAAAATAAGTGAGAGTAAGTAAGTGGTCGTACTGTCATGGATAGTAGTTTAGATGTCCCTTGTGTAAATACTATTATTCATTTGCATAATTCATTTCATTTCTACGTAAAATAAATGGACGTGAATGTTGACTAAACGAGTGTTATAATCCTTAAAAGCTTCTAGAATTTGTTTTAATGAGTGAAAATTCCGAAATCGAATCTGAAAAATAGAATGCACAAGCTTCTAGTGACATGGTATTGATGTGCCGAATATCCGTAGTCGTATCCGATGATATCCGAGAGAGAATATGGTCTGTATCCGTTAGTTTGTAAAGGATTTTGAACGGATCTGCTTAGTTTGAAACTAGATGGCGTTGTGTGTTAGATGTCAGAAATATTATTATATAATATCGTCTTAAAAATTGTTGTTGTATTACGTCTAATTATTTTGACAAAATTTAACATTTAAATACGACTTCATTTCTGGATGCTCTCTTTCAGCCCGTAACATACCCATATATTATTCTGTTGTACGTTGTATATAGCAGCTATATATTTGCACGCTTAGTTACTATAGCATAATATTGTGTATCCCAATCCAAAACTAAACTTCTCTTCGGTTCTTGCCTGTTTGTGCGAATGTGTGACTAACTTGGATGTTGTGACGTCAGCACCGGTGATGATGACCGGCCGCCTGCCCCCGCAGTATCCACAGCAGAAGTACTACCAACCGATGAGAGCTACCGCTAGCGACTTTATTGGTAACACTGTGTTTCTATCTCTGTCTTTCAATTTATGTGGGAAAGAGAACTGATTTCTTTTGAACTCACACCTTAACAAGAAGTCAATGAACTCGAGAACTTGACTTGCGTGTACACTAGCTATCACATCAAGTAAACCTTAAAGAGGTATTCCTTTTGTCGGTAGAGCAGTAACTGCTTTAAAAATATCATAATACATTAAAGATACATTTTTATTAAGGTTTGAAATCAGTTTTCTTAACCATACTCTTATTTTTCATGCTACTTGCACGATATACTTACGTGTTTTGTATATAAAATGTACATAAACTTGTACAAAACAACAGAGCGCAGGATAATTGAAAATATAAATAAAATATAGAAGTATTAAATGATTAACAGTTGGATGTTGTTAAATTAATATCAATATTTTAATATTTATTTATTGACCGAAATTTACAGATACAAATATAATAGGTATTACATTGGATAATGTTGTGTGTTGTGTTATATAATTTGTACACCACATTAGTTATATATATATATATATATATATATATATAATAAGTTGTACCTCTTGAACTGGGTTTGCCCCTGTATCTCAAGAGGCAGATGAATTGAACTGATAATGTGACATTCTGTGTAAACTTGCCTTAAAATGAACTCTTGTTAATATAATAGTTTCTTCAGGACAAGGTTTTCTTCAGAATAATTTAATACATTTTCCGTCAAGCTCCTTCAATCAAATGGTAATTTTTTAATGATATTGTAATTTACAATCTCCTTCGATCTTCACAGCCCAGCAGCAGGCTCTACAGACATCTGTTAACCAATTGGCCAACCAACAAATGAACCAGCTCGGCATCATGGGACTAGCGGCACCCCTTCCCCCCCAATCAATGTTCCAGCCTCAGAGCATGGCGCAGAACCTTGCGCTTAACCAGAATCTTATGAGTCAGAATCTTGGGCAGAACTTGGGTAAGATAATTTTGGTCGAATCGATAACATCCATTTTATAAGGATAAGGACAGCTTGTGTTGCTCAAATGTGCGAATTGTTTTACTGTTGGGCATATGACCCCTTCGAATGTGAAAAGTTAGGTTGATATCCAGCTTTCTGGCTCAGTAAGAGTCGGCATGCTTACATACTTTTAAGAACTTTGACAGTATGCAGGTTTTTAACTTTTTTTTTCTGGTTATGTGATTATTAACTTCTATTGACCATATTATTTTCTTAAACTTTGACGTGTCAGCCAGGTAATGACATAATTTTACAGGCAAAGCCACCTGTAAAAGATAGGTTTCGCTCAATGGACAGCGGCGGTAGCCTAGTGGTTAACGCGTTGGACTTGCCATCATAAGGTCGTGGGTTCAAATCCTGACCAGTACACTACCGACGTGAACACACTCCTAACACAAGCAATTTAGCTTAGCGGGAGGGGTTAACGGGAATACTAGTCATTTCGGTTACTAGTGACCTTAAAAAAAAAGGTTACGAGTGTGAAATAGTGATTTTCAATGAAAATAGTATTATTATTATCATTTCTACAATCTTTTTGATCGTCCCAAGACCACTTCATATAACTGTTTATACAAAACTATAATACTTTTTTAATTTCAGGTCTAGCATCTCAAAATCTCGGCTTGTCCGGACAGAATCTCATTGGCAGTCAAAACCTAGCACTTGGTAGTCAAAACTTGGCACTTGGTGGTCAGAATCTGGCCATCATGGGATCTAATCTGGGACAGCTGGTGGCGCAGCGGGCTGTTCATCAGGCGCTGGCCAGGAGGGCCGTTGATATTGATATGGCCGGTAATTATCAGAATGGTATGCCTTCTATCTGTCCTTTATTTTTGTTGTTTTGTGGTTATGAACAAATATTGTTTAAGTAAACATGACACGTCTTTAAAGATGTTTGTTTGTCGTATGTGATGTGAAGACGTTTCTATGCAACATGGATACATTTTTATAAAGTACAGGTCCATTTGTTAAAGTTAGAAAATTAGGTGTGATGATAAAATCAAAGGTAAATCGATTGATATCATGTTTAAGGTGTCTAAGGAATCGATTACGGGGCGTCCATTAATTACGTGAAGGGGGTTAGGGGGTCGAATCTCATCTAATCTAATCTTACTTTGGGTCTCGGCAAATATCACGTAATTTTTTTATTCGCAAGAAACAGGGTAAAATTACGAGAAAACTGTGTTAAATTAAATAAAACATGTTCCTCCACGGAAATATGGCCAAGTCTTTTACAATAATATTTATCATGTTGCACTGTAACTGGTCGTTTGTTACCGCGCCACCGTCAGCCTTATCTCGATTTACATACTCGTCAAAGAAACGCTTCTTAATGTATGATTTTTAAATCCTTCTTACCTTAAATAGATGAGATATCTAACAATATTAAATTGTATTGCTAAACAGGCATGACGAACGTGAACTCTACGGGATCCTCGCAGCCGAGCACGCCGAACAAGACCCAGTCGTACAACGAATATATGCTGAGTCTGCAACATAAACTAGCCTCAATATCGAATAGTGTAAGTTTAACTATTGTGTTAATACATATGTGCTACTATGAACCTTTTAACGCTTACAATTCGTTATAAATACTAGGAAATATTACCAGGATATTTAGAAATGTCTCTATTCGTTTGTTTTTTGTTTTTTTACTACATTTAAACAACGCCATCTAGTCCCAAACTAAGCAGAGCTTGTACTATGAGTGCTAGACGACTTATATAAATACATATTATTCTTTTTTTTTTTGTAAATACTTACATATTATACATAACAACACCCAGACTAAATCAAACATTATCGGTGTAGAGACATTTCTAAATAAGTCAGCGTAGTTTACTGTTCCAACAATCGTTCAGTCTTCAAGGAGTTTTGTGTTTGCTTGCTTTTTTATGTTTAAACGCGCTGAACTCTGATAGTGTCAGTCAGATTTGTATACGTTTCTTGTATTGAATAGAGTATTCATTAAGAAAGGTAATTCCAACATTCATGCCTGTAAAAACGTTACAGTGATCATAAACAAAGCGAAACTGCGTTAAATAGTAGTATTAGATTAACATAATCTGTATTATCGGGGGGTCCGTAGCTGTAGAGGAAAACGGTCTTGACAAGGAGCCGTCCTAAGTCCTTGTCACCTCTGAGTTTATTCAACATGAGTGTCTAAACAAATCAATGCCTAAAACGGAATAAATCCAATATAAATCTGTATTATCCTTTGTAGGGTCCCGTGTCGCCTCAGTCACCGCTAGAATACAGCCCTGCTCTATCTCCAACTCACAGGCCACCCTTACATAATATGCCTAAGGTAAGATATGTTTTTGATGGATGCAACGAAAACACGTCACGATTAACGATCACACAGTCGGCGAGAGAATGAGATAGAATACATTACACATTATTTTTAATATAATATTTTGACAGTGTCAATATTTTTATCTTTTTATTTAATACTAGCTGGTACCCGAGACTTCGTTCGCCGGGATTTTGTGGGTTCGATTCCTGGTCCTGCCAAATTTTATAGGGTTTTTTGAGAAAAATAAAAAAGGTTTTTTTTTCGGAAGTTTCACTTCGGCCATGTGCGAATTACACACACACTTTTTTTATTTCTTTATTTAAAATTAAGTTTAAGAACAATCTAAGTGAAAGTATATCCTGCTCGGAGGTTAGCTAAGAAAGCCTATAGTTATTGTTTATCAGCAATCAGTTAATAGTTTTCGATGTGAACAGAGTGAAGTGAGTGAGGTGTCATCCAGTGTAGTGGGAGTGGTGGGGAGCGGTGCGCCCAAGAGCCGGCACGCAGCGGCACTTGCCGAGCTGGACCACGAGCTCAGCAAGATCAGCCTCAACTACAAGCAGCCGCCGCCCAAGGACGGCTTCGACCCTGCGACCGAACACGACGCTGTCACCAATTATGCAGGTCCGTTATACAACCACCCATTCATCAACAGGAATATATATCTATTATAGATCATAGTCGGTGTGGTGACGGATTAAGAATACGGAGTGTCACCACCCCTATTCATCCCCCGGGTGTCGTAAAAGCCGACTAAGGGGACAAACTACGCAGGACAACAGCGGCAAAAATAAGGAAAACTTGACACAAACCCTATACCAACCCGTCTGGCCAGCTTGGTATAGTAGGCCAAAACCTCCTTCCTAAGGAGAGGCCTATATCCAGCAATGGATTATTCAAGGCTGTTGATGTGATGATGATGATGATAGATTATTCATCATCGTCATCATCAGCCTATCGCATTCCACTGCTAGATATAGGTCTGTCCCATTGCACGCCACTTAGATCGATTTTGGGCTTCTCGCATCCAGCTCCTGCCAGCCATCTTGCGCAAATCGTTACACCACCTGACCTGTGGGTGTCCTACAATACGTTTGCGTATGAATAATAATATTTATAATTTATATAGATTTTGTAAATCTATAAATTAAAACCTATAAAAAACTAAAAAGAAACAAGTTATACTAGTGAAACGAATTAATAGTGAAAAAGACAACCACCATCAATCTCTCATCAGACTATTGTTACCAAACCCATTTTATTGGACTCGTCAAAACGTATCCTGTGTCTCCATGTGCAAGGAGTCGATTAGAAGCCACTGAAGACCACTGAAGAGAATGATTACAATATAAAGTAAAATAAAGTACTAAATTTAAATAAACATACCAATAATATTAATAAGAAAAATCAACTATGCTCATTCTTAGCTTAGTAGACATATAACAGGTTAAAAGTATTAGGTTCTTTATTATTTTCAAGTTTCTTTTTCAAACCACACAATATTTTGACGATAGCAAGGTCAACGTCAAAAAAATATATTTATATTGTTATCACAGATAGCATACAACAACGTACGAAAATTATGAGTCCGTAATATATTAAATAAAGATATTTATTGTACAGAACTGGGTCCTTCGTGGGAGTCTCGCTCGACGCGGTTCCGCGTGTCCCGCGCCGCTCCCTGCCGCGGCTACGAGCTGTGCAGGCTAATGCCTAACGAACATGGTCTGTATTGTTATATTACTAAAAAAAAACTTATTTTGTGTCATACATTTTTTCCAAAATAATACAGTATTCATTCAAGCAATTCCATTGACGTCGGTTTCTATATGCTTATGTTATAACTCAGGATAAGATATACTATTTTACCGATCTCAAACAATAGGTTCTCAATTCGGTTGTATTTTATGTTTGTTACCTTAACACACTTAAACCTAATTTGAAAAGGTATACTTCTCGTTTAGTCCCGTTTAAATTTCAAATAAAAAATTCAACCACTATGGGTGAAAAATTAAGGCATAAAGAATATAGTTTCTTACTATGTATGATGTACATTGAAGACAGTGTTTTTTTTTTATTGTGTCAAATTTCATTTCGTTCGTTTGTGCCACAAAATTTTGCTAATGATGTGTACTTTCTGGGTAAATTTTTCAGCAAATTGAACATTTTCAGCAATGTGATGCTGACAGTGATGCATCTCAGACTCATATTGACATTGCAAATGTGTTTTCAGCTAAAGACAAACTCGACATACTGTCCCAAACACATCCGTTCACGGAGGGCGGTTTAGACTCCGTGTCGATGGCGGACAACAATTCGATGTACGAGGAGGGTGCCACGACGGTGGGGGGCTGTGGAGGGGAGACCTACGTCATCACGGACGCACGTGCGCACACGTACCTCGTGCACGACGCGCTTGCTGACGTCGTGGCCACCATCATCGACCCCAATAGATCCCCCGCACAGGTAATTATGGTCAATACTACAAATAAATATTGTTTTATCATCATTATCAATGACCGTTCATGTTGATTTACACAATGCCCATATAAAAAAAAAGAAAATGTCGGCCAATCAATGGAAATATTTCCGGATAAGGTCGCAAACGACTGTATTGATTTTCACGATTTTTTCACTAGCAAATTGCTGATCAAATAAGCAGTGACTTTGGCGACTTACTATATACTTGAAGGCATTGGCAAAATGAATATCTACGTTTTTTAAATAATAATTGATCATATTCCCGTAATACCCTTTTGAAGTCAACCAAGTATTTTGAGAGAAAAAGTTGATAAGGAGTTAAGGTAATTGGCAACTCTTAGCTCAAACTTGGCAAATTCAGTAGGTTATGGTCGGGCAAGTGGAGCTATTTACAACTATTAATCAGAGTTAACATGCTTGAGCTTCTTACCAGATCCTCGTATAATAACTTGTACGTAAACTAATCTGCCGGCAAAATTGGCCCAAAATAATATGAGTCTCAATGCGTGTAGCAGACAGCAGCGAGCAAGAGCGAGGAGGCGGTGAGCGAGGCCCCGGGCGACAACGAGTCCAGCTACCTCATCGTGGACCCGTGGCGCGAGCTGACGTGCGCGGTGCTGGACCGCGCGCTGCGCCTGTCGGCCGACCCCGCCTTCGTCCCCTTCGCCGACCACAAGTACACGCACCCGCGCCCCGCCACACACGAGGTACCTGCCTTTACTCACATACGTTCATCATTCATCATCTTCAACACCCTTTAATCGTTCACTTCTAGACATAGGCCTCTCCTTAGAATGGGGATCTTGGCCTAGTATGCCACGCTGACCAGACAAAGTTTTCTTCTTCTCTTTGCAGTGCTGTTGTCCTACGTAGTTTGCTGCCGTAGTCGGCTCTTACGACACCCGAGAAATGAATAGGGGTGGTAACACTCCGTATTCTTAATCTGTCGCACATACATAAAGAAAGAGTATATTCACATCTGAGTTTCGCAGTAATGATTTATAAAATTATAATTAATTAGAATGTACATATTGTATATCTATATAATTGACGTATTTTAATTTACTTGAACATGAGAAGAATTCGGTAATTCACTAATAACAATTTTAGTGGTACAAATGTACTTAAATTTCTCATTACCTTTATACATATGGACTTGTTACAACAAATCCTTCGCACTTGTCATACTCAATTGTTAATTAGAAGTTGTCTCCATCGTTCTGTTACATATACTTTACAGCGACGTAACCGTTTTACACCGAATACTTAAGAGTTTTGCCTCTTAATCCATTTATCATATATCCATTTTCCATTAGGGAGGCGAAGTTGTATCAGTAACAGAGGAGCTGTCACGCTGGAAGCTGCTTGAGAGTGGTGACAAGGGCTCTTGGCGAGAAGGTTCCGTCATCACGGAGCAGAGCGAAACAACGCCAAGAGAGCTGCGGTCCATACAGCATCGCGATCGAGAACTCGCCGCAGACGTGCTGCTCACAGAACATCTTACCGATAAAGGTATTGACATACTGCATCTGCGTGTTAGGATACTACTCACTCCATCTTTCACAATTCGATTGGAAAATATTTTAATATCATATATTATTTTTTCTCTATATTTACTTTTTGAACTGTTCTTTTTTTCACCAAGATGTTGCTATGTTGTTACAGCTGTTACGTTTAGTTTATAATTAAAAAATATTTTTGGCGCTATTTAGTTTATTATTAATTACGCAAATTCAAGTTTGGTTTAAGCTGCCCATGCAAGTCTTATGGGCCTGTCAATCTCATTTGCCTGGTTGTCTTTTACCATGACGACCTTCTGACCCAAGTACACATACTTGTCTACTTGGATGTACGCCACTATAATGTGAATATGAAAGTTATTAATGAATCCAATAGTTTCCACATTTAAATAATCGTGTACATATAAGTAAGTATAAATAACAAACGAATCTAAAGTGTGCATGTGTTGTTGCAGTGTTGTACCGGCAGGTGGTGCTAGTGTCAGTACGTCCGGCGCCTGCGCAGTTATGACGAGAGTAGCGATCACACCTGATGTACCTTATATTTATTGTAACATATATTATATCACTACTCGTTAATTAAATATTCATATGTGATATCTAGAAAATGACCTTTTTTTAACCCTGTATTGAGATCCTTTTTTTTGTGATGAATCTTCGGCTTCTTGGGGACGCAGAAGCCAGGAATGTGGTGTTTCCACTAAAAACCACCCCGACTGCTTTCAGGTCCCCTCCGGGTTGACGCCGCACCTAACTAGCTATCCCGAGGGAAACCGGAGGCTTGCCTCGGGATACACTCAATGTTTACGATCGCATTTGGGTGCGATCAGGCCACCATCCTATCCCGTACCCGTCCTATATACTATACAGTAGGGGTACTGTATTCACACCCTAGTGTATAATGATTCATTGGTACAGTCTAAATAAACATATCTATTCGCTTTAAGCGTCTAAAAAACTATATTGTGTGTTCCAAAGTTATCTACACTATCATAGACCTAATATATCTAGGAAAGTCAGACTTATGAGTAATCTATACATACAAATAAATAAAATTGAAGTGTCTGTTTGTAATGTCAAAATAATGGGTGATTTTCGTGGTCACACGGTTCTTTGCACGATACCTATGCCTAAAAACCAGTTAATTATTTTTGTCTGTCTGTCTGTTTGTTCGGGTAATCTTTTCAACGGTTGGACCGATTTTGATAATATTTTACTAGGCTATTTTTCCTCTCTGAAAAACCTTTGCCCGGTCCGGAAATCGAACCCACTAAGGCACTGCTTTTCAAATGCCACGCAAACGAAATCGCGGGTACCAGCTAGTATATAATAAATAATTATCATAGCTTCCTTTTAAAAATACACATTTTAAGATCTCACTTTTGCGAAAAAACAAACGGACCGAGGATTCTTTAACTATCTATATAACATAACAGTTCGCTAATACGAACAGACTCGATTATATCTTGAAAAAAGTAGTAAATATTTAATTTTTCATAATTAAGTTCAATAAAATAAAAGTATAACAGACAATAGAGTAGTGAACGAGTACACTTAAAAAAAAAACAGGTTACCTTTAACGTTTATTATGCGATAACAATTTAACTAAAATATATATCTAAAAAATGTACAAGTAAACAAATTAACTAAATTCTTTATACACAACCGGAATTTAAACATGTTACTTGCGGCTTAACTTGTCTTAATTTCGACTGACGATCAGTTTCCTTGATTTAAAAGCCTATGCCTAAAGCCAGGCTACAAAATTAATCTCTGAACTAAATTTCATCTTGGTGCGTTTTGGCTTTCTGGCGTAACTGAATAACAAACATTAAATTAATTTTTCAATTCAGTAGCTAATTTTAAACCAACTTTTCCAATAACTATAACATTTAACATAATACAACAGTAAAATATAAAACTAGTAAGAACTGTTGTGTAATGCTGAGAAGAGAAAAATCGAAATTAAAAAAATAACACCATTCATAAATTATGGAATGGGATGCCCATAGTTTACATTGAAAAAAAAAAGATTTTGCAGCTAGTTACGTGTGTGATGTCATTTTTATTTTTAATCATCTTTAAAAATAATAGTTTTAATAAACTAAAAAACACTGGGTGCCTGTTGTCAATAGTAAAAAGCACCCCACGCTTTTTTTCAAATTTATTAAAATTTATTTTCTGTTTTTTAGTTTGGTTTTCTATAAAAAGCGTGTTTTTTTTTTTAAATTAGTGTATTGTCAATATCTACAAAGTTTGAACGAATTTTGACCGTTTAAAGTCAGTCAAAATCACGCCCAAAGGAGTCGGTTACAAACAAACATACAAACATACAAGTGAATCTAATATAAAGCGTGTAAGAAAGAGAAGATTCTCTGTATGTTTTTTATATATTTGTTAACTCTGAACTCCGTCATTTACGAGACGATTCGGCTTGTATACTTTCCTTTGGTTTTATTAATTCAAACTTGAAGAAAATCGTCACACGTACGGACGAAAGTTCATTAAAATGTAGGCGGGTATACGAGTATGTATGTGGGTTACACTCATCAAAATGTTCTTGGAGTGTTTCAGTGTATCTCATTAACTACACTCGTTAGGAACACCAAAGGCATGAGAACAGCAATTATCCCGGCAGCTTGGTCTCTTGCGGAACCGTTATACTTTGTCAACTGTAATTCAAAAAAATATGATCATCATTTGATTACAGAGTCATATGGTTAATAACTAATAACTGTGGTTTCTATCGTGCTTTACACGTAGATTTACTTAGAATTTTTTAGTATAGATTTTATAGCTAGAAACATCTAAATGTCTATATTTTGTACGCGTGGCAAACCCGTGGGCTGTCATGACCACCGGGGATTGCCCCTGTGGTGATCCCTAAGCCTTGCCTTTTGCATTTGCCTTCCAGCGCCATCTAACGAAGACACACCGAACTACGGAGTAACTCCTGAATGAGAATTGCTAATCCTGTATCGCGATATGAATAATTCTTTCGCCGATCAGCCTATATATACAACTTCGGCTCACCAGGCATGATCATCGCGCCTGGTCGGAGGATCCTCCCTTTGTGTTGGAGGGACATGCCAGCCGTTCCTCCACACCCCGATTAAAAAACGCATGCAAAAATATAAAAATGATAACATAGTAACTTAATGAAACGATCAAACATGATAACAAATATTATTTACGCTGGTGTTGCTATATTTAACATCTACTTTTTATTTCAGTTAATTTCTATCAATATTAAATCAATTTTGAGGACTCATAATGTAACTTATTAAATTAATCCAGTCACAAATGTGTCAATGCTCAACACCTGACTCTAGCTGTGAACAGTCTGCTCATCATATCCTCTGGGAATGTAGTCTTGGTACAATGATCGTAATGTAATGCTGAATAGCTTACAAGTGACGTTTGGGGCGGTAAACTAAAAGGATCTTGTGTCAACTAGGGTGAATTTCCGTGCGTTTAGGCGATTCTGCCATACATATGTATTATAGAAATAAAATGTATCTCACTTAGGACCCATAATATTTTGTGTTCGTGGTGCTTTTATGTTTAAAAAGAATGAATGCCTATTTTTCCTTCATTTTGTCTCCCGCTTTGCTAAGGAGGGAATTGGATTTATTATATTTCCAACTTTAATATTTTCAAGCTGTAAGCATGCGAGCCCGCCAACTGCCGCCGCAATAAAAATGCGATTTACTAGCGGTGACAAGAGACTTCCACTTCACGGCTGGCGTACTGCTAGCTACCAACACCCACAGCTATTGGTAGCCACAATTCGAGACAGCGCCGTGTTGCAGATGTGCTGTTACGGTGCCGTGACAGTGTAGTGTGACCTTTATTCACTGAATTCTTGGTATTCTTTAAATATGTATAGTGATTTTGTTATGATATTAAGGGGCAAACGATCCGGCAGGTCACGTGATCAGAAATTGATTATAACCGTTCGCAGACATTTGCAACTCACGGTCAAAATAGGAGTCACAAATGCGTTGCTGGCATTTAAGAGGAAGTACGCTCGTGCCGGAAATACCACATTCCACAATTTATTCTACAGACGTTGTACAGACAGGTTGTGCGAGGAAAACAGTTCATTGAAAAGGATATATAAATAGTTGCAAGCATTGAATGAAAACGTTACATTGAAAAATTTATACATGTGGTTTTACCGTTTCATTAATCCAATTGGCGTACTTCGAGACTTCGGTGTAAACCCCCGGGTAGGTGGGATGAGCACAGCTGGCACCCCAGGACGTGATGCCCACGATAACGCCGTTGTAGCTAAGGGGACCTCCTGAGTCACCTTGGCATGTATCAGCCCCTAAAATATTAAAATTGAAGTTTTATTTATCAGGTCAGACATGAACTCGCTATCAAATCATATGTATAATTAATTAAAGTTAGCAACAAATATAAATAACTTAATTAATTGTTTTCTCTCACACGGTTTACAATCATAATTGCGACTTGATGGTGCAGTGGTTTGTGTAACGGACTGCTATTCCAAAGGTCGCGGGTTCGATTCCCGCTCAAGTCAAACATTTGTGTGCATGAACATTTAATGTTTGATTTGGTCTTGGTGTTTCTATGTATAATATGTATGTATTTACAAAAAAAAATGTATTTATATCTGTTGTCTAGTACCCATAGTACAAGCTTAGTTTGGGACTAGATGGCGTTGTCTGAATGTGGTACAATATTATTTTTAATAATGAATACTTAATTAGTACAGGATATGTGAAACATTAATAAATAATGTGTGGGAAACTGGAATCTGCACTAGGAGACATGTGTTACAGTTTACCAGCCACTCCAAACTCTGGACTACTGAAAATATAGTCGGAGTACCTAAAGAAAGTGTCTGCATAATTAATGGTGAGAGTATGTGTGTGTGTGTGTGTGTGTGTGTGTGTGTGTATAAGGCTGATTAACTGAATACTCGCGGGGGAATGAACAAACAGACATGAAACGTACACAAAGAAAACTCAAACTGAGAATAACAATTTGTAGATCGCACAAGATGTTGTCCTGTGTGGGAATCAAACCCACAACGCTCAGCGCACCTCAGAATCGGCGAGGTGACCGCTTAAACTACTACTCCTTCCGTGCAGTCGATATCTTTATCAGCAGTCTGGTTAGCATAGCACAGGCTCTGCCAAGTTTGGGCTCAGGCTGCGGTGTGTGATATATCTGATGTTATTATTATATAAATGATCAACATAAGAATGACTGACCTCCAATATCCAGCAGTCCAGCGCAGAACATGTTGTCGGTAACTGCCAAAAGTAAACCAGTGAAGTTGGAAAGCTCTGCGTATCGTTCCCGGCATAAAGCTTGGTTTACCGTCCTGATGGACACTTGATTGAGCACGTTCGACACCCCACCACCTATCTGTTCGTCAATATAAAAATATTTATACATCTTTGTATCATCACATTACATCAAACCCCTTAATAGTCCACTGCTGGACATAGGCTTCTCCTTAGAAAGGAAGAGTCAATAAACTCTGAAATGATTTTAATAATGGTGTCTTGCTACTTCATTAAACCCTTACCCAAAAGAAACAAAAGAAATAAATAAATAAAAGTATTAGATCTAAATAGGCAAACGTAAACGAAACCATTCCACTTATTTAAAAACTCAAAACGACACCGGAATTATTCTGACTGATAGTTACTAACAAGTGAAAATAATAATAGGGTGTTAAAAATATCCTACAAAAGAAATGACTTTAAAAAATGCTATGGACCCCCGGTCAGAATAAAGTTCTTTTTGCTTTTTTGTACACGTTTACTATATTGTCGAAAAAAAGCGTTTTTATACATTTTTCGATCTCGCCCCCAACCGCTCAGAGCATATATCGCACAACTTCGTTCCAAAAAATCAAACAAGACTCACTATAGTCATCCCCCAGCCGACGGCCACCACCATGGTGTTATCAGCCAGGGTCTCCCCTTGAAAGGGGATGCTGGCGCTCTGCACGCTGTCCTTGAATCGTAAGTTAGAGCTGAGGACCAACACAGCTACGTCGTTATCGCTAATAGTGATGTTGTAGCTCTGGTGGATAATAATTGTTGATACCGAGTGGACTGTACCCGCTGGAACACAATTAACACTGTTTTTAGAGCAGGCGGGATGAGGAAGCACATTTAAAGTAAATTAATTTGACAGAACAACCATAATATTAAGTTTTTTTTTAAATTTCTAGTGAACAACGTCAGACTTTTTTTCTTCAATCAGAGCGGCATCATTCTATCTCTTCTACTCTTCGCGCTTTCTACTTCTTCTTATTCTCTTCTAATCCCTGACTTTTTTCTATCTCTACTATTTCATTTAAGTTGTTTTTATTATAAATTTATAAATTATCCAGGACAGGTTCACGTCTCTGCCATGTACCCGGGTTTGATGCCACAACCACTTAAGTTATTAAATTATTGATTTAAAGCCTTACCTTCAGTAAGATACGTGGCACCTGCTCGTATGGAGAATGGCGCGGGGCCGAGCAATGTACCATTACTGCAATCAATATTTTTGGTTATCCTGGTACTTATTAATATAAATAAATAAATAAAATTGAAGTGTCTTTTAATAATTACAAAATAATAGGTTTTGTTTCATGCTCAAACGGTTATTTGCACGACACCTATGCCTAAACTAGTTTAAATATTTTTTACTGTCTGTCTATAATAAAAAAAAAATATATATATATATTATAATAAAAATATAAATTTATAATACCGTTTCCGAAGCCGAATATTATTCTGATACATACCCAAACTCTAATACATATTTTTTTAGAGATGACTTTTTAAATGAATGATAATTAATAATTAATTGACACCGATTAACTTTTTACCATACACAGAGATTAAAGATTAAATATGTTCAAAAGGCTTAAACACATGTTACGATCGCACGTCAATTAAAACACAGAAAAAACTGTACATGGTTACTGAACAGTTAACTCTAGTTAAAACGCAATTTTAAGTGATAATAATTATGATATTTCAGACATCTGACACACATCGGCATCTAAACTCGGTTCCAAAAATAACGGGTCAGTCACATAAACCCGAATATCTCCCGAACTACGTATGCCATCCTAATGAAACGAAGACTGTTCAATTGAGAATTTAATTATACAGATAAAAAATAAAATAAAACTTAAATCTAAACTCTCTAACTCTTAACTTATCTCTAAATTAAAAAAAAACTAAAGTAGTCATATTTTTCTTAAGATTACATTTTTTTATGATTGTTTTTTTGCTGTTTTTCATCACTTTCTTCATTTAATACTTTGTATTGCCTCCACGAGCTCTTCACAGCTTCCAGGCTATTAGGCATGCTGTACACCAAATTTCGGAGCCGGTGCTGAGGAATACCTTCCCATTCCTCCACCAGTGCTTGTTTGAGCTCGGGGAGCGTGATTGGTGAGGGGTTTCGACCTTTCACACATCTCTGAAGCTCGTCCCAGGCGTGCTCGATGGGGTTTAAGTCCGGGCTTCGCGCTGGCATCTGCATGAGTTCGATACCGACCTCTTCAAGGTAGTCATGTACAATTCTGGCGGTATGGGGACGCGCATTATCATGCATTAATATGCCATGCCGGTCCATCCTGGCCATGAAAGGACCTACATGTTCATTGAGGATCTCTTTCACGTACCTCTCAACATTTAGAGTTCCATTATGAATGAGTACCAGCTCGGTGCGGGCCTGAGTAGAAATCCCAGCCCAAACTTGTACGAAGCCTCCACCGTACGCCACTTTTTCCTCCACACACGCTTGATGGAAGCGCCTCTGGTCTTCTGTACACCAACTGCTACCATCATGCTTATAAAGCATGAATTTAGACTCGTCCGTCAACATTACCCTAGACGAATCGTCTAGTGTCCAGTTTAGGTGCTCGCGCACGTATCTCTGTCTTGCAATTCGATGTCCCCGTTCCAGTTTGGGGCCATTTGCGGGCCTCAATGGTTTCAAATTTGCTTCAGCAAGACGTCTTCTTACTGTTTGAGCGCTTAAATTGCCACCTCCAAAGCGAATAAAGTGAGTTTTTAGACCAACAGCAGTTTGAAAATGATTTCGGAGCATTGTAGCCACCACTTGTCTGTCTTCCCTGGCCGTTGTGCATCTTGGTCTGCCATTTCCTGGTCTTCTAAGGTGTGATCCGGTCTCTTGGTACCGCTGGACTACCCACTGAACAGTCGACAAAGATACACCAATGTTTCTGGCTGTTTCACGCTGGCTCCGCCCAAGTTCCAAAAAAGTTAGGATTCTGGTACATTCCTCTAGCGTGACTGCCATGCTTCACCCCACAGAATAATAATTATGCACGTGGAAGACGTTCACGATATTTTTTTTTGTGACAGAATAGAAATGGAAAGCATCTATAATGAAATGAAACAAAAATTTTGTTTTTAAAAAAAGTAATTTTTTTTAATTTTGTTTTTCTAATGAAGTTTTTTTCATCAACCAGTTTAAATAATATGCTATTAGAAGCGCAACTAAAGAGTCTTTATTCTGTTTTTTATTTCATTGATCTAACTTTTACAGTTCTGGAGGTATTTCAATTTTTGTGACTGACCCGTAATTTTTGGAACCGAGTGTAGTTTGTACTATGAAAGGTAGATTGACTGATAGAATACTTTACACTTTTTCTGTAAATACAGACATACATTGTAAACAACCAAACTCCGAAACAAATACTTGCAGATCATACAAACATTTGGTCCAACCCGAGTCGAACTCGTGGCAGCGTGCTTAATTGCTAAAGGATATATTATGGATGAAAATCCATTTTCGAAAATTTACGAAAATGGATTTCCTGTTGTCAATAGTAAAAAGCACCCCACGCTTTTTACAAATTTATTTTCTATTTTTTAGTTTGGTTTTCTATAGAAAGCATGTTTTTTAGTTTTTTAAAACTATTTTTTTTTAAATTAGTGTATTGTAATCGGTCCTCGATATATCTACAAAGATTGAACGAATTCTGACCGTTTAAAGTGAGAACCTTCTCTGTGTATGAAAGTTTCCGTAAAAACGCTTCCAATAAGGGTGGCGCTGCGATAGCCTAGGATAAATTAAATTGCCTTAAAAATAATTGAACAGTTTTACAGACAAGAAACAAATGTAATATAATATCTAATATGTGTAATAACTTTCAGACAGTAACAATTTTATACAATTTTAACTCAGCACACTTCATTCCGTCTACAACAGCTATGTTCATATCGTAGTTTTTCGTACGCAAGCGACCTCTATTTTTAGTATACAGCTGGACACTTTTTCAACTTTCCCTCCTTAAGAGATGGTTCTCCTTGCCTCTACACTCCATAATATTGCCGTGCAGCGAACGTTCCAGCAACGTTAAAATAACACTTACCGCGCATGGTAGCAATGCGCTGCCGAGAGGACATGCCGTGTGGTCAATATTGAACCCCCGCAGGAAAACTGCCCGTTATTAAGGATCTGTAAATGTGATAATAATAGCTTCATAAATCTTCGTGTGGTGACGGATTAAGAATACAGATTGTCACCACCCCACTATTCATCCCGTGAGTGTTGTAAGGTCAACTAAGGGAAAAAACCACGCAGAACAACAACACTGCAGGAGAAGGAAAACTTGACACAAACCCTATACCAAGCCGTCTGGCCAGCGTGGTATAGTAGGCCAAAACCTCCTTTCTAAGGAGAGGCTTATGTCCAGCAGTGGACTATTAAAGGCTGTTGATGATATGAAATCTTACACACGACCGTCTGGTCGTTAACTAAGCGAAGCCTGTACTTTGGTAACCAGACTCTTGATAAATATACTTATAAGTTTCTAAACACATACTTATGCCTGTAATAAATTACATCTAAATAGACACCGAACACATAATAGTGTTCACGATACATTTTTTTCAGATTTAGGTGGGACGAAACCGACGGCTTTATCCAAGCTCTTGCCTGGAAATCATCGTCCAAACTTACATAGGTGCTGCCAGTGCAACATGAAATTTAAAATTTAAAATACTCCCTACATTTTAAAATTTACGGAGGTCTGTATTTTGATGATAAGTCCATAAATCAGGCAGGGAGAAATGTATACCGTCTTAGCTCTGCCTAGAATGTAATAAAATCTATCATAGGTACTATACCTTATACCTACTAATTTTGTTCAACAATAAAAACAAAAAATAAAAAATAAATAAATACGCTAAAATCGATCTAAGTAGCGTGCAATGGGAGAGACCTATGTCCAGCAGTGGACTGCGATAGGCTGATTTGTATTTATTTATTTTACTTTAATACTTTATGCTCAAGTGTGGATTGTACAATGGCGGACTTAATGCCACAGGCATTTTCTCCCAGTCTACCTTATGGTGGTGCTGAAATGTGTGACTGAGATGCAGTAGAGATGATGATGATACAAATTTACAGTTGTCTTATTACAAAAAAAAATCAGAGCAATGACTGTTTCTTTTTGGCAAAAATTATTATTATTATAAATTATTATTTTCTTTCACACAGAATAATATAACTGTTTGCTCGGGATACGTGAATTAACCTATGTAAATCTATGTAAAAAAACTTCCAAGAATACTACATTAATTTATTGTTAATATCGAACTAACCATGAACCACTTTGTAGTCACGTAGCGGTGGTGGTCACTCACCATCAATTGACACGTCTGCTCCTTCGCCCCTTTGACCACAAAACAATCTCTGAATATTATCAATAGGAACAGAGAAACAGATTTATTTAATTTTTTAATTTCCGTACATTCCATATTATGTTCTGCGACTTTTTACACAACAATATGTAGACCTATAGGTACATATAGCTAGCATAGCCTATACTGATCATCTGATATTACTTTCTAGAACACGGATAAAAATAGTTACAAATAAAGAGTATTTAACCAGAGAGGGAGCCGTAAAAAGAAATTACAGACCTGAACCGCGTAAGGGAAATTTTCTATAGTCGTGGGCGAACCTCCGACGATTCTTGAATCGGCACCAGGTGATAATGATGCAATTGAAACCGCAGAGATACTTAGGTCTTCTGCGTCACTTGCATCTCGTGCCTCTCTCGCACCACCTGGATATGACATACGAGTATCTCTTTCAGGATTTCTTTTAATTCTTTATTCATAAAACGCATTACAATCAAATAAATCATAAATCAAATTAAATATTATGCAACACTTATCAATTTAATCTGTCCATGTAAAGGTTATCGTTATTCGGTTTTGTCATCGCCAATTGTATCTGTATTAATTGCTTCTGTGCTAGTAAAAAAAGAAAGCAATCCTTGAAATTTACGACGAAACCTAACCTAACCAACCTCCCCGTGAATCTGGGGATGGGGGACTCAGTAAGCAGCGAATCATAATTCTGTCTGATCGTTTGAAATACCATATAAGAGAGATTAGAGATGAAATCGTTGAGACAGCGAGGACAAATCCAGACACATACGAGTACATATGGATTTACTTTTTTTATAAGCTTCTCGTATTAGACCGGGTACGTTCCAGCCTGCAGATATTAAAATTTCAAAATAATAAAAATCTCATTTTATAGATCTCAATTAGCCCTTTCGACCTAAGTTAATTAATTTATAAGCCCGTTTTTCGTTTTCCCAGGAAAAATAGAAATATAATTTTCAATTTTCCTCTACTTAAAATAGCCATATCTCTTTGAAAAATGATTATTTTTTACTCTACCAAGCGTGAAAAAATTGCCCTTACGCTAATTTAATTTGCCCGCATGCTAATTCTTAAAAATATACTATATATTATATATATTGTAAACAATAAAAAACCGTCGTGGCATTTCCAAGCCAATTATTTGCGCATTGCGCATGCGCGACAGAATAAAGGTGATACTCACATCATCAACTGCAGATCAGCTGATGCTACACGCACGGAAGGACTTTAAAAGTTATTATATTACCGTTTCGGGAAGTTTTTCAGTACTATTGGATTCATTATTATGTGCCTTTGGTAGTTTGGTGTGTCTTTACTCTTATTTCTAGGGAGTAGTCAGTAGTTTAAGTGTACAAATCATGTACACTTAGTGCAGATTTTGCATTGCAAAGCTGAGCTCTACGAAAACGTTTTTTCGACGACTTTCTATTAAGCGTTTCAAGACTTTACAAAGTAAACTTCCAAGCCAAGAGGAAGCAGCTAACTATTTTAATAGGTGTTATTGACTAGTCACGGAATCATGGAGATTTCATCTTTCTGCTGATTTGCATACATACATTTTTAAACAAAGAAAGAAATGTAAATATTTATTAATAAAATAGCTATGTTTTTTTGTTTTTTTTTTTTTCTTTGTTTCAATTCTTGAAAATTTTAATTATAAATTTACACATACACATCAAACTACCAAAGGCACATAATAATGAATCCAATAGTACTGAAAAACTTCCCGAAACAGTAATATAATAACTTTTAAAGTCCTTCCGTGCGTGTAGCATCAGCTGATCTGCAGTTGACGATGTGAGTATCACCTTTATTCTGTCGCGCATGCGCAATGCGCAAATAATTGGCTGGGAAATGCCACGACGGTTTTTTATTGTTTACAATAATAATTATTGAAAATTTTTAAGAATTAGCACGCGGGCAAATTAAATTAGCGCAAGGGCAATTTTTTCACGCTTGGTAGAGTAAAAAATAATCATTTTTCAAAAAGATATGGCTATTTTAAGTAGAGGAAAATTGAAAACTATATTTCTATTTTTCCTGGGAAAACGAAAAACGGGCTTGTAAATTAATTAACGTAGGTCGAAAGGGCTAATTGAGATCTATAAAATGAGATTTTTTCCGCCCGCCCTAAACTTTTCCGATCGTGTAATCAAGCATAGTGCTTATGTTGTATCAGCACTTCAGATATATTATCTTATACGAGTAAGTAGAACCAAGTACCAATTTACATATAATACATGTAAGTATGTGTAATTCGAGGCTTATAACGGTGATGTACACATACACTTACGTATTCAAAATCCCCGAAAAGGATAAACATTTGCCTTTTCTCCGAGCTAGGGTCGTCCACTACGATACGGGTGAACTTCAATTGAATTAGACCTCCACAACCACTTGGTCTTTCCACAATCTTTCCACAGAATTTCGATGAAATTGAAGAATGTTCTCGGTCTTTTTAGGGCTCAACCTACCCGTAACGATTACCACAGTTGTACGTACCTATGGCAACTGGGACTCACGACTTAACGTGCTCCCGAGGCATGGAGGGATCTGTATGTATTAAGAAATGGTCACCCATCAAAAGACTGACCTGGCCAGGATTGTTTAACTTGCCAATGTGTTAGCCTACTCGGTTACAACTTAACCACGAACCCCCTATGGATAAATGTTTGCCGTTTAGCGTATTTGTTAAATAAACAAAAAATATTTTGCACACGATTATTTTAATTCCACTTACGGGTACTGGGTAGATAAATTTTACCCAGACACAACAAATAATACGTGATATCACACAATAAAGATTAAGATTAGGCAGAAGAAGAAGCTCCAAAAGATACGTCGTTTCGAGGCAATGTGTCCGATTTTATAGTAAAATCCCAAATAATATTCAAGACAACGTAAATTATGTCAAAAAGCCTGTAAGAGTCCAACATCGCTAATAATATTCTACCAGAAACACACAACGCCGTCTGGTCCCAAAATAAGCAGAGCATAAGCAGAAACTCTAACTGACTATGACTAAACTAAATGTTATAGGGTTTTGCCAATCAATTTTTTTTTTAAAAGGTCTACTAGCAACCGACATTACTATATTCCCGTAACCCCTCTCGTTAAGCTAAATTGCTTGTGTTAGGAGTGGGTTCATGTCGGTAGTGTACTGGTTAGGATTTGAACCTACGACCTCATGATCGCAAGTCCAACGCCTTAACCGCTAGGCTACCGCCGCTTCCATTCTATTCACTATTTTTTCTATACAGCTATAGTGTAGGCTGTGTAGGGTAAGGTTGTTTATTGGGCCAGGACTCCAGTTTGACGTAAAGTTTGAACCTGTATCACAACAAATGACTAATCATATTACTAGATTTGTAATATGATTAGTCATTTGTTTTTTTTCATAGATGGTCCTCCACTGTGACCAAAGTGATCACACTGATCCTCGAACAAAGTAACCATAGCGAAAGAATAAGGGCAAATCCCCTTATTCCAAAGCTGCAGAAGAAAACCATTAAGTCCTTGTTTACCATTAGTAAAGCGGTGATTGGTGAATATGGGGAACTTCATGCAATTTTACAAACGATGATAAAACTTCGTTTAACAGCTTGCATGATTTGGAATTCATGGTATGTGTGTATGTATGTGGGATGTGCTTGTAGGTGGTTTAAAATCCTCGAAGATTTCTTCCCAGCGAGGGTCTTTGCTATGAGTCTTTGACCACATTAATACTTCTCAACACAGTGATGTCATCTCTGTTTTGCTATGCATTTTTGCAAAATTTTAGAAATTGATGAAGTGTAGAGATTGTATATTTTACACATATCTGCGGCTCTTTGGAGTGTCGTAGTCGCATTTGGTTACGTCAATACATATTATATTGCAAGATTGGACAACTCCCGCACTAGGAATATATCCTGTGTCGCGGTAGACTTTACAAACATTCAGGAGACGGACACAAAGAACACCCAGAAAGAACGAATAGAAGAAAGAACGTCACTTTGTGGACCACACGAAGTGTTGTCCTATGTGGGAATCGAGGACCACAACACTCGGTGTAGTAGGAAGCGGCGAGGTGACCGCTTAAAGCACTACGCCATCGGTGCAGTGTAGCGGACATTTTCAAAAGTTCTAAGCTTTAAGTCTAGAAAACATCGTGCGTCGTATTCCTATCCAGGACTTTAGACACTATCTCCTTCTTCTCCTCAACGATTAAATTCTGGTGCTGAATATGCTTCTATATAATGTCGTACGGGGTATCCTATTGTGGGGGAATGCTGCCGACATTCAAACTTTTTTTGGTGCTGCAAAAGAGAGCGATTTGAGCAATTTATAATTTAGGCAATCGTTGTTCATAGAGGCTAAATTTAAAGAAATAAACATAATGACAGTGGCAAGTCAATATATATATGAACGTGTAATATATGTTCATAGAAACAAAGATAGCTTCTTGAAAATAAGTGATGTACATGCTTTTAATACCAGAAATAGAAATAAACTTGTTGTACCTGCCTCTAGGCTCCAAAAGAGAAACAAGTCATTTCAAGGTTAATGTGTCCGATTCTATAATAAAATCCCAAATAGTATAAAATATTTTACAAATTTAAATCTATACTAATATTATAAAGCTGAAGAGTTTGTTTGTTTGTTTGTTTGTTTGTTTGTTTGAACGCGCTAATCTCAGGAACTACTGGTCCGATTTAAAAAATTCTTTCAGTGTTACATAGCCCATTTATCGAGGAAGGCTATAGGCTATATACCATCACGCTAAGACCAATAGGAGCGGAGCACCAATGAAGAATGTTTAAAAAACGGAGAAAATTTATTACTATTGAGAGACGCAGACGTAGTTGCGCGGGTCAGCTAGTCCACAATAAAAGGTAAACTATGTCAGAAAGTCTATTACTCCATTGTGGATTACATAGAATACAAGAATGCTTAGGATTAATTTAGCACAGGCTATTTCGTAGTGGAAATGTGATGTGGGCTAGTATGTCTTTTTAATATATTTCTTTATGTTTCATTTTTTTATGTTTTACTTCACTTTCTTTTTTATGCCATCTTTTTTCTATATCTTGTTTTCTCTTCATTGCTTTTTTACCTTTTAGCTCTTAAAACTTACATAATGGCACACATCAAAACAATGTTGTGTATATTTAATGATGCCATTGTTTTCTGTTGATTGAAAAGAGTGGCCGTGAGTTTGTTTACCTTTTCTTCTCATGAGGCTCAACCCCTTGGAAATGGGGAAATATTTATAGAAAACCATATAAGAGATTTTCGATACGTATATATTTAGTTTGCTAAATATTGGACAAAACAGAGATTGTTGTTATTGTGTGTGTTATCTGTGACTTTAGAGTCTACACAAGAGACGATTCCAAATAAATAAATAAAAAAATGTTTACTCTTTGACGTCTAAGCAGAGTTTGTACTATGAAAGCTATGACTGATAGAATACTTATATATATATATATATATTTAAATACAAACATATAATACATAGAAACAACAAACTTTTGGTCCGACCCGGCATCGAATCCGAGACCTCAGAACAGCAGTCACTTACTTAGCAGTGCCGCCGCGTATGTATTTAAAAAAAAGTATATACGTTTGACGTTGAGTTTGAACCTGTATTATAACAAATGACTAATCATATACTAGATATGTAAGTAACGGTGCATGCTCCAACTTAAAGTCAGTAAATGCTGGTGCAAGGCTGTGTGCTATCACCCACACTGGTTCTTCTGCATATCAGTGATATGTTACGAACTAGTGGTATCCATTGCTAAGCAGATGATAACACGGGAGATGCCTTTTATATCGGCCGTCCCAATATGTCTCGGGAAAACGTCATCGAGAGTCGAAACGAACTTGTTTCTGAAGTTGATGCTTCCTTAGCGGAGGTTTCAGCTTGTTCTATCAGTCACTTTAGCTTTCATAGTACAAGCTCTGCTTCGTTTGAAACTAGATGGCGATTTGTGTCAGATGTCCAAAAAATAATATTTTCAGTATAATAGACAATAGACCGGGATGGTTGGCGGTCTTTGGAGGAGGCACTCACGTAATAACCTGAATGGGACTGATATTATAGTTGGTAAAATGTGGGACTTTAATACGTCTCTAATTTAGCATTCGGAGAAACACTACTTAGCAGGGGCGGTTAATCCCGTGATTAGTTCTACCCAAAAGCCGTAAAACTGACAATTTAACTGGTAAAACAGGTAATATCGGTCCGGTTTTTAACTTTGTTTATGGCAATCACAAACAAAAATATTTTGTTTGTTTATAGTAGCAACACTGCAGTTAAGAATAATTCGTGATCGCGTGTCTTAATGCATGTGATCTCTTTGTCAAGACAAATAAAAACTCCTAAATCAGATAACCAAGGGTTTCATTTAAGAACGACTTAAATCTATACAGTCCCCTGCCCAAAACAACTTTAACCTCTGAGTGAACCACTAGACACATTACTTGGTGGTCAAAGAAGCCCTTATTCCATTTTTTTAAATGTAACAGGTAGTAAAGTGATGCCTTATGATAAACAACTACCAACGGCCACCTCCGACTCAAGAGATACAAGTGTGTTGCCAATTAGGTTATCCCCCTCAGAATAAGGGAAAGGAAGGGGGAGAACTGGTCTTCCGGGAACCTCACTCGCGCGGTGAAAAACAAAGAAAAAAAATCCCTGTGAGGCCATGTTATTACTCCGATCGAGCCCTCCCATTGGTGTCGAAGTATGACTCTCTCGTAAAGTAAGTTAGTTAAGTATAATAAATAGAAAAAAGATAACTTACAGTTTATTACCGCAACTAATATAAAAGTAACACACAACATGTCTGTTTATAGATCTCACGCTGTATGCCCTACACATTATAGAACCTTATCAATAAATCATCAAGTACTTTTATCAGTGTAGCTATTGAGTGATCGCGGAATTGTCTCCTTGTCAATACGCGCGATGAAATCACAGTCACAATCAAGTTCTTAGATCTACACCTTGAGATTCAAGAACCAGGTATGAAAGTCAAGGTGTATGAGCTCGCACGCTCTAATCGTAGATAAACACACGTACCTGACACATCGTGGGAGAGACATAGACACGACCAAATTGATAACACGGCCTTAAAAAACGGTTGAACACTCCAGGCCTAAAACTATTGGTAAACAATAAAACAAAAGATGCAAAGGAGATTTTTTTAAAGTGACAACGTCTTATAATTCGATGGAGCCGGCTGCACGCACGAAAAAACATGACTCATGCGGCGTTCCATTTAAGGCTTGAAGTACAAGTGAGAACGCGGAACGAGCGACAAAGAGGCACAATCGGCCTCCGCGTTCGGCAGCGTTTGACATCTGTCTCTCTCCTACTTGAGTGAGCGATGCGTCCGCGTGGACAGCTGCTATACAATAATACATTTACATGTTTTCGTAAAATGCAACCATTCCATCAGTATTTTCTTATGACGTTGTCACGTTCAACTATCGTCAGTAAACCGACTTTACAGACAACCGATTTTTATGGTAGGGGGGGCCAACGAGCAGACGAGTCACCTAATGGAAAGCGACTACCACCGCCCATGAACGCCTGCAACTCAGGAGTCACAAATGGCTAAGGGAACCAAGGCCGAAAAAGTCTAATCTTAGTCTATCTATATAATCTTAAGAGTTCCTTATAACAAAGCCCATCATCTTAAATGCCGATGATCATTTTGCCACCCAAATCAACTCCCAAGCCTTTGATATTAGCCACTTCTTCCAACGTCCTGTTATTAATAGTACTTGTATGTGTCTGCGATTACAAGTGAGAATCTTTTATATTTATATTTTTCTATGGTCAGTGCCAAGCCGTTTCTCCCACATCAATCTACTAAGCAGTTCAAGTCTTCTTGCAGAAGGCTCATGTTAGCTATTTATTTGTTTTGCAAGTTTGAGATCGTCAGCGTAAAGGAAGCATTCACTGTGTTTGAATTGTGGTACACTATCGTTTATGAATTTATCAAACAAAATCGGCCCAAGAACTGATCCTTGTTAAACACCTGATTGGGTTAAAAATGATTGAGACAAGTATCCACTTACACTAACACTAACTACCCTGGGACTCCGATTGTTGAGATACGAGGAAAACCATTTTAGCAAGTTACCTGTTATACCAAAGGTGGAAAGTTTGGAAATAAGATTATTGTGGTCCATGGTATCGAACGCCTTGCTTTTATCGGTGTTAATGGTGTCAACCCCAGTTTAACAGAATAAAAAAATATAGAATATTAGAATCACTTGAATCAGTCAAAAAGGTCACAAATGAAGTAAGGTACGAGTAGCTTTATGGAAACCAAACTGTTGTGGCGATAACAATATAATTATATTATTTATACCAATATAATTGATGTAGCGATATTAAACCATAATATTATCATTAGGCCCTACCCGGCTTGATCGATACGTCACTATTTTCTTAACGCGAAAGGGCTGTAGATACATAGATAAGGGCCTCAATTCTGCCATTTTATGTTAACGCCAAGCCACTGTCATTCCATTGACACGCTATTGAGATGCCACTGACATTGGTCAAAATATCGGTATTCTACTAACATAAATTCAAGGTGTCAATAGACTGTCGATATAGTAATATAGGTCATCAATGGTCATATCAAAAACATTGCCATATCATGAAAATGAAATATATAATTTTCTTGCAAATTTAAAATGTACCGGTTACAAAACTATTACGAAGACATTGACGAGTTTGTATTAGTAACAAGTCATCGGCCATTGGTCTTACATAGTTAGTAGAATAAGAAAAGTGCAATACTATTCCGACGACATTCCATCAACAGTCTATTGATACAATATTCAAATAGCAGAATTGAATTATCATGCCGAGCTTAGACTTAATCGAAATTAACAACAATTATTGTCTTCAGTCGCTTGTATATTTAGTACACATAAAATAACTTGCCAACGTTCAACGGTTGTATGAAAGTTCGTCATTTTCAAATATGGAAACACGAAGCAATCACGTAAGGGAAGCCACGGGCATTAGTTAGTACCTTTTAAAATACTCAAAAACCAAAAAAAGATAGTAACATATGAGTTATTAATTTTATTATTTTTGTTATCTTGTCTGATCCTGTCAAAATGTGATTGTGGTGATAAACTCCATCACAGGTATCACACCCTGAACAGTACGAATATAAAAGGCATGAGCACAGCTATGATCCCGGCCTGGCTTCTTGGAGAACCGTTATAGGTCGTCACCTGTAATAAAAAAAGTTTTTTAAATCCCTCCCACATATATTTTTAGAACTTAAACTAAACATGGTTTTACTATTCAATGACACCACCAATAGCACGCCGCCCGGTCTGATTATCTTTTCTGGCACAGTGACCCTGGCTGCTAAGGCAGGAGTCGTGGGTTCGATTTCTACCCGAAAAAGTAATTTTGTGATGATCATTTGTTCTGTGTCCGAGTGTGATTTATCTTTCAAATGTGTGTATTTAGAAGTAGTGTGTTTGTCAGTTTGGTTACCATGCTGGCTCTGCCTAGTTTGGGATTAGACGGCCGTGTGTGAGATGTACCAATATAGTTATAATGAAAGTGGTGTGAAAAATTAAGGACTTTCGGATCTACTTTAAGCTACGAACTTTTTAAACACCCCTCTAAATTAACAAGCACGCTAATAGTTCATCTGATGGCGACCGCTTACCAGTTAACCTATGAACTCTACTCTCTCTTTAGAAAAATATAGAAATATCCGTCTATAGAATAATCGCCGCGCGTGTATGTCGGTTACCGCCTAAAACTCGGTGACTAAAAAAGAAAAAATAAATTTAAGTTTAAAAAACGAAAAAACACGCTTCTGTAACTAGTGTAACCAAAAAGTCAAAAATAATTATCTATAAATTCAAAAAGTAAAAACATTATATCGTAAAAAAAGTTTAGGATATTTTATAATATAATAACTTTAACACTATCTGTCAATAAACTATTTTTACAACAATTGAGATCTAGCACCCCACGCATTTTTACGATATAATTATTTTTCTTTTGCAGATATAGAAAATTATTTTCTAATTTTTAGTTTGGTTAGTTACAAAATCGGTTTTTTTAAACTATAATTTTGTAAATGTTATTGTTCTCAGTAACTTAGTTATTAAGTAACGAGTCATTAATATTATCAGTAGATAATTGTTTATCGATATAAGATTATACAGCACACACTGGTAAGCTGGAGCCGGAAACAAGTAATAAAATGAAATTTCAGTATTTGTATTTTATAATCATAATTGATAAGTTAGTGTACCATACGATGGTTCGTTGGTCGTCCCGACTAGAGACTCCACGCGCTGGCTTTGGCGCCGTGGAGGCACTCCAGCAGGTCATCGTTGAGTGGGCAGCACGGGACCCTTTCCTTCCTGCTGACGCATGTCCTTTCCGGGTACGGCTGCTTCGCGAAGTACCTGCACTCGGTCGCTAGGAGGGAATTGGTTCCCGCCTGTCACCACTGCGATTGCAGTAAGGATTCGGCTCGGTACACACATCGGAGAGGATCTCTCGCTATTGAAAGTCTGTCTATTGAAAGTGACACTATACATATACCCATCAGAAATCTTGCAGATCTTACCGTGTCATTAATCCACGTGGTGTACCTCGAAACTTTGGCGTACACCCCTGGATATAAGGGTTGAGCACAACCCGCACCCCAGGACGTAATGCCCACGACAGTGCCGTTATAGATTAGAGGACCGCCGGAGTCACCTTGGCATGTATCAGCCCCTGAAATAAGAAAATGTAAATACTAGGTCAAATTTAAGCCCGTTAGCCCTGTGTTTTAATTACCATCAACATTACCTAAGCATTGTAAAAGTTTGTAAAGGCGAAAATACTTTTAATAGACATTTTGACTTAGGTTTTTTTTCTATAACACTGTTATTATAATATTCTAAGTTAATGGAAATTACCTAATAGTTTTTGATTGTTTGTAAAGTCTTACAATTTGTTACTTAAAATTACGAAACCTTTTGATTGTCTTCATTTTGAAACTTGATTTTTTAATCTATAAGTATTTAATTACAATTTGAAAATACTTCTTGATAGATAGACAGTCAGGTAACGAAATGATCCTCTGGGGTTTTTTCCTTGTGCGGAACAGAACCTTAAAAATAACGTATTACATAATTATCATTTCCATGACCACAGGTACGAGTGCTTATTTAGAACTTGGTAAGCGGTGACCAGAAGGTGGGTTTTTTCTAATACGGGAATTGGCATTACTCTTCAAAGTTTCAAGGCAATACTGCCATGCTTTGGAGAACTTATTACATTACTGAAAGAGTAAGCGACGATGGGGAGGATTTTTTTAACGCTTGTAAGTACATAGGCAGAATAACGTTCCTTATTACTTGGAATACGTTCATTATATTTTCAACACCTTCTATTTCTTCTTTTTATTCTTCTCAACTGAAAGACGTCCCCTGGTTGACATAGTCCTCAACTAAGTTTTGCCACAGCAACCGTTCCTGTGCTGCCTACATCCAACGGTTTCCCGCGACCGTGACCAGGTCTTCGGACCACTTTAACAATACGAACACCTTAACATTTCCTATTTAGGAACTTCTGATTAATTTCGTTTCGGGTTCCAAGACAGTTTAACTTTACCAGTGTGTTTAACTCGGTGTGTTCGTAGGTAACTGCAGTTGATCCTGGTTTTAGTGGGATTAGTCCTTTACTTTTAATTTTTAATTTTAAATCACATAAATGTTCACTTTAATGTGTACTGACCTCCGATATCGAGCAGTCCAGCGCAGATCATGTTGTCGGTGACTGTCGCAGATGAGTTAAGTCTGCTTGCATACTCTATGTAACGTTGACGGCAGACACCTCGATTTACCGTCCGAACAGATACTGCGTTGAGCACATTCGACACCTCACCACCTGACTATTAGTCAATAACGAAAAATTTAAAACACTTTTGAAAAGGCTATATGTATATAAAGTGGAAAATATTATTTGTTTGCTATCAAGACAACTCTTAAACTACTTAAACAATTTCAAAAAAAATACTGTAATCCACAATTCAACTCTCATTTACTAGTAATTTATGTAGAATTTTAATCGAATGCTACAGAAGAAACACTATAGATTTTTAACATGTTACAGAGTGTTAAAAATGCCAGGAGGAGACAAGACTTTTATATTTTGTTATTTTTTGTTGTTTCTTTGAATACGATAGCCTTAGGATCTACTAGAGGGATTTTATATTTTTACGTTAAATCTTCAATTTATTGAGGTAGATTCCAATAATTGATATTGCACCATACATTTAAACCTACACGAAGGAAAAATGTAAGCGATTATTAGTTCATATTTAAGCCATTAGTTCATATTTATAAGATAAACCGGTTTATATATAACCGGTAGCCGAGGACTCAATTCAAAGGTTTATCTACAATCGTTAAATGAAAAATGCAAATATAACTCACTATAGTCCTCCCCCATCCGACAGCCACTACCGTACTGTTATCAGTCAAGGTCTCCCCCTGAAAGGGAATGGTGGCTCTCTGTATGGTGACAGTAAATCTTAAAACAGTGGCGAGGACCAGCACAGCCACGTCGTTGTCGGTTATTGTGCGGTTGTAGCCATGATGGATAACAATAGTTGATACCGAGTGGACTGAACCCGCTAAAACACAATTAACAGTAATTATAGAAAAATATTATGATTGATTCTAATAACACGGACAGAATATTGACAATTAACAGACATACAATTAAAGATATTTAATTATTAGTACTGATAATAGTTACGTTACTTATAGTATTATATTTAAACGTATAGTTATTTATCTTTTAATATCTTTTTTATATAAAACAGTCCAGTGAGGTTTAACGCAAGCTCACACACACACACACACACACAGGCACAAATAGACACACACACACACACACACACTTTGGTTCTTGTGCTTTAACCTGCGTTTAAAAAACAACTGGCGGGTTTTTGTTACATTAAATGATGATTTTCTTATTATTGGATCCCGCAACAACTCTGTCTCATGTCGGAAGCTTTAGCCGTAATTCTTTATTTTAATGTTTATAATAATTACTGTTTTTCTATCAGATGTTAAGAAGCCTTACCTTCATTTAAATACGTGGCTCCTGCTCGTATCGAGAATGGTTCCGGGCCGAGAAATGTACCATTACTGCAATATATATAATATTTTTTTAGTTAGATTAATACAATGTATTTAAGTACCTAATATGTCTTGGTTTTCTCAAATTATTATAAACTCTAATATGTATATACCGAAAATACTCTTCTTCCTCGGAGTCTTTTGTAACTAGGTAGGGGTCGGCTTTAAGGCTACTGCGATACAGCTGAGCTTCGATTTTTTACGAGGAGCGACTGCCATTAGACCTTCATAAACCAAGTACTGGGCAATATCGAAGTTCTGAAGAAAGACTGAACGTTATTGGACTTTAGGGCTCCTAAGACGAGGGACCGGTAACGACTTCCACGGATATTCGTATGGCAACCGGGACCGACGGTTCTTTGAGGACGGAGGGGTCTCAATTTGTTAAGAACGGTGTCCTATCTTCAGACTGACCTGGCTAGGATTGGTTAGCTTTTCAATGTGTTAACCTAGCCAGATACCACAGCCACGAACCACCATAAATATATTTTTAATTAAAATTGAACATTTTAAATATTAATCACACAATGTTAGGTACCGACAATCGTATTGCTATGAAACGGAGTCTTTAAAGTGGTAAAAAATCTGTATTATGGCGTCACACGTCGTTTAAACCGTATGGTTATAAGTGAGGTGAGGCTAAATGTTGATTATTCCTAAAATTTTGTAAAAAGTATAGCCTAGTACAGGACATTGGTCTTCTCCCAATGTTTGCTATAGTGTCCGGTCTTCTGCGTTCAATCTATCCGAGATACCTTCCTTAGGTTATCCAAAGGTCAAGGTCCGTTAAGGTCACGATTCATGGTTTACACTCCAGGACAAACGTTTGCTTCAACAGCTATCGTTCCTATGACTGAAATGATCAGCAACCATTTCAGCACGCTTAATCTGCAAGTTTAGTCTGTGATTTCAGGTTCTTTTCGGGCGACGTCATCACGAATTTTAACTTCCACAGAATATCCAAGCATACTGTTGCTTTTCGCTCTACTGTCCTCTTTCTGTGCCTACGTGCCTTAACAGCTAGGACACAGGAAGATCGAAGATCGTTATTCGAATTCAAGGCATGGCGACTAGGGAGACGAGGAAATGTGACGTAGTGTTTTCCTTTTTTTCTGATGATATCTTTGTTTAAGTTGTGCCTACCAAGTTGGATAACCTGAGCAAGGGAGAGATATATTTGAAGAAATTTCAGCGACTATCCTTCGACGACAATTGCTCAGGGTAACATGTAAATTGAACCTAATCTTGGTTTTATGCAAATTCCTACCAAGACCGTGGCGTCCAGATACCTCATAGATTCTCCGGCCAGTCCTAGTGTTGTTACCTCTTCACGATTAAACCGCTGAATTGATTTATATGAAATATGGTATAGAGATAGTTTGAGTCCCGGGAAAGGACATAGGATAGTGTTTAACAAAGCAATCATCCTTTGCGGGGTTAAAAAGGGGGGGGTGAAATTTAGTAAGGGGAATCAATAACCGCTTAACCGATGTAGATGAAAATTGCTATGGAGATAGTTTGATTCTTGAGAAAGGACATAGACTACTATTTACCGCGATAACCAACATACACGCGGACGGAGCCGCGGGCAAATCTAGTATGTAATAAAGATGGTTACTGTGGTTTATCTTTAGAAGATAGGCACATGGTTAAATATACAATTTTGTAGTACATTATTATGATCTACCTCGTAAGGTATTACCAGCGTTTATAATGTAAGAGCACAAAAACATAATTTTTACGACACCACATTACAAATCTTTGAAATTCTCGGATTCGCTCTTTTATAATATGAATTCTCTTGATCTAAATATTCCCTTTCACTCAATAGGGAGAGCTATTGATGAAAACTGCATGAAATCAAGACAAACCGAAGCGTACAGGAACGGGAAGCGATTTTATTTTAATACTATGTAAATATGTACGTAAACTCGATCAAGGTGGTCGACATAAACTAATCATTATAACAGAAGATACCGATGCTTGTGGAAGTGGCGTTAACGTGAAACTTACCGAAAGTAGCAATGAGCTGCCGACAGGACGTGACGCGTCGTCAATATTGAACCACCGCAGGAAAATCGCTCGTTGTTAAGGATCTGTAAATATTTTATTCAATATTTTATCAATTTAAACCAGCTCTTGGCTTGAAGTCATCGTCAGTAGGTGACGCCGCTAGAAGCATGACATTTCTAACATAATATATGGCTAAACTAAGCATAGCTTGTGTTATAAGCTCTAGACAAATGTTCTTAGATTAATATATTACAGGGTGTAAGGGACGTCGTAACGAATACTGAAATAGTGTATTCAGACCATGACTCTAAGTCGAATATCATTAGAATTTTCTGCCGGAAAATTCATCAATTTTTTGTGCGATACCTACGAGAAGGACCTTGACCTTTGACAGCTGATTACAAAAAAGTTTAATTTTCCGGCTGAAAATTCCAATGATATTCGACTTATAATGATGGTCGGTTTTATTACTATTTCAATATTCGTTGCGACGTCCCTTACACCCTGTATATATTACAGTGTAGGACATTTCGTTTTAAAATAGATCTTAGACAATAATTAGAATAAGTTATGCTAGCGTAAAACTATGGTTGTGTTGTTTTATTCTTATGATTGTATGATTCGTATCGTATGATTTTTACACATAAAGGTATTAAGATTTAGTTCAAAAGTTTAGTCGCTGCCTGCCTGAACTAGGGTACCTAAACATCGCTTGACATAGAATTGTTAAACTAATTGTTAATTAAGTAGAAATGTAAGATAAACATAACAGATCAATAGAAAAGATAAAAATACTACAAAGTGTACACGCCCCGAATTAATAAATTCAGCAGTAGTCAGCAGTACTAGTCTGCAAGAGTTTATCAGTAAGGTTTTTGACGATGTTTGCAAAAATGTTCGTTGAGCTTGCTAATTGCTTCGGACGGGCTTGTCTCACTGAGGAACAAGTCTAGAGACGGTTCAGAATATTTCGACTGGAATGTATGATTTTTAATAAATTTCCAGATCGTTATTTTGTAACTGCATATAAATATAATAGTAAGAAAGAAAAGGAAATAGTATCACATACCTGTACAGTGTAAGGGAAGTTCTGTATAGATGTAGGCGAACCTCCTACGATCCGTGAATCATCGTTTGGTTTTAATGATTCAATTGACACAACTTTTATGTGGAAGTCTTCTGCGCCAACTGCATTTCGTATCTCGCTCGCTCCACCTTGAAAATGCAATAGTGTTTCAGGACTATATAAACATACTGGTGACATAGAATTACCAAAATATAAATTACTTAAACGGGTACAAATTATTCTTAAATCACATCTGGTTACGGACATCTAAAACCATATCTATTAATAGTGACTGGTTGTGAAATGTTTTGACAGCACTACTAACACTGGTCCTCTGCAATAAATTCAAAAACTTCAATTAACGGATCAGATTTTTTAAGCAAGGGTACCCGACAATTGAGTCGCCTAAACGAAATAAATTTCGCTCTTGCTTTCATTTATCTTTATTTGTTCTAGGAATTCACAACAATGACTAAGAATTTATTTAGCAGTGATAAAAATACAAGCAAATTTATTGCTATGCGTAAGTAGAATAGATATGATAAGTATCGGTAACAAATAATGGGCTCACAAAGCCTGAAATTTTATTCTTGCAGATAGGTACTTGTTTTGTACAACATTTTTACAGTGGATATATCATGTAATGTACATTTTCAATCTGTTTGACTTATGCCTCCATAAGTCAAACAGATTAAAATGTGCAAAGGGCGATATTACTGCTAAATACAATCTCTACTTCTAGGCAACCTAAGAATTAATCAAAGTGATTTGGACAGGTAATTTGACAATTGACAAGGCAAAAAAAAATAGTAATTAAATGTTTAATTGGTAATAAAGACAAAAGCATGTAAACTATTCTGTTGTCTTGACTAATTTTGCTCCCATCGATTATATACATAGGTACGTGTTTGTTTTAGTTGATCAATTTCAAAAGGGCTATAATCTTAAGTAGCAAGCTGACAAAAAAGTCAATCATAGGACAATAAAATGAATGAAAGGATGAAGACGCCCATGTAGAAACTTGTAGTCGTCGTTTTGGATTCTTTGAGAATCTATAAGATAATTCTCTACAGCGCTATTACCCACACCGTTACACATTAGTTTCTGTAATATGGATTGCTTTAAATGGACTTTCACAGTCAGAATAAGATTTTTTCAGAGCTTACTTCAATCTTTTGTATTTTAAAGTAATTATGGTACCCATGTAAGAACCGGATAAAATTGAACTGGTTCAACATATCTTATCTTATCATTTTTTCGCTATCAGTACTAACTTATATATGTATACATGTGAATCGGAGCTTATAGCCTTAATATAATATATTTTTATTATTATTTATTACCCTATCAATAAAACAGCTGTTATCATTTTCCTGTAATTCATGGAAATCCCCTATCTTTATAAGATAAAGACGTCTTAATTTATGAATGTTAACGAACCAGATTCTAGTCCTAAATCTACGAAGTTACAAATATTTTTAAAACTTTTTTTTTGTATTCAAACAAACAACAAATTACCTGATGGTAACTGGTTTTGAAACTGTAACGGTTTTATTTACGTATTGCCATTCTCTATTTGCTCTGGTCAACAGCAGTGTATTAGGCACAAAAATCAAACACATTAAAAGTAATACCATATAAAACAGAACATCCGTGTAGTGACGGATTAAGAATACGGAATGTCACTACCCCAATTCATCCCGTGCGTGTCGTAAGAGCCGACTAAGGGCGCAAAACAACGCAGGACACCAGCACTGCAAAAAGAAGGAAGGAAACTTGACACAAACCCTTTTTTTTTTTTTTTTTTTTTTAACGTGTGGAAATCCCCTCGGACCGTCACCCCTCCGGGGTTTGCGGCGGGGTGGTGTGTCGGACTCGGACCGACTAAAACCACACGGTGTGCCACTCTGCGCCTGTAACAGGAGGGATCCGGGAACAGCTGTTGTTAAGACATCCGGACCCCTCCTAGCGCCAGCCCGCTCCTGGTGCGGGCTCCGTCTCAGTGTTTTTTCCTCTCTTTATAGGCGACGTCCGGCACACGCGGACGCCGCCCCCTCGCGGCTGGCCAAACTAATGCGGGTGGAGGGGAAACCCACCCCGTCCACCCGCGGCCACACTCAGGGCGGCATGAGGCTGTGGTAGGCGGGCCTCCGCCGCCCGGTTCGCCGGCGGCGGATCGGGTCCGAGTGGAGGTCGTCCTCCCGGGCCCTCTCCGCCGCCTCCTTCCGCGAGATTACTACCTCGCAGAAGGTTGCGACCGCGGTAAAACAACTGTCGCTACCGGCCATGGAGCGTACTACGGCCGGTAGCGAGAGATCCACTCCGATGACTGCAGTGAGGGCCCGGCGCTGCGCCGCCCATGCGGGGCAGACCGCCAGCGTGTGCTGGGCCGAGTCCTCACTGCATCGCAGTGGTGGCAGGCGGGACTCAGTTCCCTCCTAGCGACCGTGTGCAGGTACTTTCCGAAGCAACCGTGCCCGGAAAGCACCTGCGTCAGTCGGAAGGAAAGGGTCCCGTGCTGCCGCCCTGCCCACTCGGCGATGACCGGCTGGAGAGCCTCCACGGCGGCGAAGCCAGCGCGTGGAGTCTCCAGCCGGAACGACCAACGAGCCATCGTGGCTCGGCGAGCGGCTTCGCGCCACTCGCGCACATCCTCGGGCGGAGGGCGAAATCCGCTCTCCGCCCGGAAGTCAGCCACTCGCCGATAAACTTCGGCGAGCACTTCCGCCTCCAAATCCCACGGGGGAGTTCCGGCCAATGCGCATGCCACCTCCGTCGAAACGGTGCGGTAACCGCGTATGGCTCTGACCGCCATTACCCTCTGAGGGCGCCAGAGGCGTACCCTATTCTGGGCGGTCAGAGCCGCCGCCCACACCGGTGCACCGTACAGTGCCATTGACCGGACAACCCCCGTGTACAGCCGTCTTGTCGCGACGCTGGGTCCACCCATATTGGGCAAAAGTCGCCCTAGGGCAGACGCAGCGCCGACCAGCTTTGGAGCAAGCTGTCGGAAGTGCTCGTCGAAGAGCCACCTCCCGTCGAGGATCAGGCCCAGATATTTCATCTGGGCCCGAACCGGTACGAGGACCGAGTTGACCACGATGGAGGCGCCAGGGGGTGGACCACGACGGGGCCCATGAAATAACAGGGCCTCCGTCTTATCTAGGGCCACCCGTAAGCCCAGCGCCTCAATGCGCCCGACCACCAGGGAGACTCCCCCTGTGGCCAGGCGCGCCGCCTCTTGGAAGTTTGCCCCCCGGGCTGTCACGAGGGTATCGTCTGCGTAACAGATTACACCCAGCCCGGGGGGGAAATCGGCGCGAAGGGCCCAGTCGTACCCTATGTTCCACAAGAGGGGTCCAAGAACAGACCCCTGTGGAACACCGCACGACATGGGCCGACACCTCAGATTACCTTCTCGGTCCTCGTACACGACGGTACGCTCCTCTAAATAGTCTGCCACCAGCCGCCTCAGGTACTTTGGCACCCCATGATAGTGGAGTGCTTCCCTGATGCAGCTGAATGGCAGACTATTGAATGCGTTGGCGATGTCCAGTGACACCGCCAACAGCACGCCGCCACAGCTCACGGCCTCTTCGGTCACGGCCCTCAGGCGCAACACGGCGTCGACCGTCGAACGCCCCGCCCGAAAACCGAATTGGGCGTCCGACAGATCGGGGCCCACCTCGCAGAGGTGCCGGACGATGCGGGCAGAAAGAACCCTCTCAAACAATTTGCCCGCCTCGTCCAGCAGCACGATGGGCCTATAGGCCGCGACCGAATCGGCAGGCCGTCCCGGCTTCCTCAATAGGACCAGCTTCCCGCTCTTCCAGCACTCAGGGAAGCGTCCCGACGCCAAGCTAGCGTCGAACACCTCCCCGAGGCGGTCTGCTATGTGGTTGAGGGCCAGGGCCAGCACTCGGGCCGGTACCCCGTCTGGCCCAGGGGCGGTGTTCTTGGAACGGATCCGTAGAACAGCCGCCCCTACCTCCGATTCCCGGACGGGCGGAACATTATCCTCCCCGTGCTCCCCGTCGTCTCCGGCCAAGGAGGCCATCGACGGGGGAGTGTGTTCCGCCCGTTGTGGGAAAAGGCCCTCAACCACTTCTCGCAGGAAGAAACCCTATACCAACCCGTCTGGCCAGCGTGGTATAGTAAGCCAAAACCACCTGTCTAAGGAGAGACCTATGTCCAGCAGTGGACTATTAAAGGCTGTTGATGTGATGATGATAAAACAGAATCTGATGACTTCCTGTCTTAAGAAAAATGACTAAACTGGTCATTCCTTTTGAAGGTATTGGTATAATAATCAACAACAATCTCAATCAACAATATTTTTATGGGTACGGCGAACTTTTACCTCATTTAATGACTGACGTAAAAACTCTTAAGACCTTGGTCATCTTTAGTAAATCCTTGGTAAGTGCGATACACGTAACTTCCGACATTAAACTATAATGAAACTTCGAGTAAAAACTTGCCAAAAGCTTAAGTGAAAGTCTACAAAAAATTTCATCAGCCTTTCGCTGCTGGATATAGGCCTCTCCCATTGCACGCCACTTAGAATGCCTTTCGGCTTCTCGCATCCATAGCCATCTTGCGCAGATCGTCACTCCACCTGGCCTATGGTTGTCCTACACTACGTTTGCCTAGACGCGGTCTCCACTTAAGAACTCGTTTGCGATTGCGAGCTGGCGCTAGAAGGGGTCCGGATGTCTTAATAACAGCAGTGCCCGGATCCCTCATGTTACAGGCGCTGAGTGGCACACCGTGTGGTTTTAGTCGGTCCGATTCTGACACATCACCGAAGGGGTTTCCACACGAAAAAAAAAAAAGGTTTGCATCAAGTTTTCTTTCTCTTTGCAATGCTGTTGTCTTACGTAGTTTGCTCCCTTAGTCGGCTCTTACGAGACCCACGGGATGAATAGGGGTGGTGACACTCCGTATTCTTAATCCGTAACCACACGGTAAATTACTGTTTGGTAAATTCTATTTCTAACCGAAAGTTGTGAAACTAACATTTTCAGTAACGAATTACTATAACCATTGAGTAACCTACTCGACTCTTTGCTTGAAGGTGGTGGAAGGAGCTCCTAAAATACTTTAGTCTACAAACAAAATAAATAAAAAAAAGGACTTACAGCTTACTATCGCAATTAATATCAGAGTTACACACAACATTACTGCTTCGACGTCTCACACTCAATAGGACATAATTTGAAAACTTATCGATCATCATAAAACATTTATCAGCGTCACTCATTACATAGCGACAAATAGAGAGACAAAATCTGATTCACATCACATCAACAGCCTCTAATAGTCCACTGCTGGACATAAGCCTCTCCTTAGGAAAGAGGTTTTGGCCTACTGTACCACGCTGGCCAGACGGGTCGGTATAGGTTTTGTGTCAAGTTTTCCTTCTCTTTGCATCGCTCTTGTCCTGCATAGTTTTTTCCTTTAATCGGCTTTTACGACACCCACGGGATGAATAGGGGTGGTGACACTCCGTATTCTTAATCCGTCACCACACGGAATCTGATTACATGCATCAATTTTGAGCACATACAATAACACTTTGTTTAATAGAGTTATTGTAATTCAACTTATAAAACGGGACTACTTCGCAAATTTCGTACCAATTGCCTCGGTGGCACAGTGTATGTGACTGCTGTGTTGAGGTCTCGAGTTTTAATTCCGCGTTCAGGACCAAATGTTTGTATGATCTGCAAATATTTGTTTCGAAGTTTAGGTGGTTTCTATGGTTACCAGGGACTGGTTCCCCGGCTATTAGTACCCGAGACGGCGTGCGGTTTTAGTCGGTTCTAGTCCGACATGGTGGTATCCGAGGGGATTTCCACAAGGAAAAAAAAAAAAAAAAAAAAGGTCGTTTCTATGGTGGTATATAAGTATTTTATCAGTCAATCTAGCTTTCATAGTACTAGCTCTGCTTGTTTAAAACTAGATGACGTTGTGTGTCAGATGTCCGAAAATATCATTTTTAAATAATTAAAGTTTGTAAAAATTCTAATCAGAAAGATAGATATATAGGAAAACTCGATTGCCCAGCAGATTAAACGCCGCAAATGGGGATGGATTGGCCAGACTCTATCATTGAAGTGAAATCCACGAGGAAAATGCGAGCATGTTCGTCCTAAGCAAACCTGACTACGAACATCGCCACGTGAAACGAAATTAAGCGTGAAGGTCAAGATCGATTCAGATGGAGAATTACTGGAAGTTCTCTAACATCTAACATTAGATAAAGAAGTCAAAAATACATATTTTATTATGTATGTGTGTATATATCTGCCGTGTGGCGCTGGTTAAGAATAGCTAAACCCCATTTCTTTCAGTGGGTGTCGTAAAAGTCGCCTAAGGGATTGACCAGAGGCTGGGCAGTAGCATTCTACTGAGCACAGTATCTCACTGAGATCGCCAACATGCATGCCAAGCGGGGCGATTATGGCAAAACCTTGTTATTTGCCATTTATTTATTTTATTTTATCAATCTATATGAGGTCTATGGCAAATAAAAACTCACTACACCGTTGTTATGGGGACTTCAACGCAAGGTTGGGTAAACAAAGTGGTGCAGAGCTGCGAGTGGAGAAAAAAAAATGGAACCACCGGGGCCTACTACTGGCCAGCTTCATGAAGAAGGAGGGACTTGATAAACTCCTTCTTCCGAAAGCGGAAGTCTATTTTTTTATTGAGGTATTTATTTTAACTATAGGTATATTATGTATGTGCGGTCTCATATTGTGAAGGCACGGGTGTCACATCCCTCCAACAAAAAGGGAGAATCCTACGACCAGGAGAGGTGGTCATGCCTGGCGGGACGCAGGACAATGGTTTGTGACGATTGTTTGTGGAAGTCGCCACAATATTGCCAATAGCTTCAAGGCTGGTACTTCGTGCTTAAAAAAAAAACAGTTCATCTTCAATATTTATTACGTGCAAATAACTTAATAATATGTTTAATAAACTTAATATAAACTTAATTATTAATGTTAAATAAACTTAATATAATATAACATTCGTGATTCATAGCTGATTATTTCTGCTGTTGTTTGTGGAATGAATAGTCTCTCTACAGGTTACAAAATAAAAAAAAAGAATAGTTTAACAGACTATAAAAAAATATCCTTTTTGTTTCTGACATGTCATATGTACACTAAATTCTTGGACAATCAAGAATACGAGTATTTATAAGGAAGCCCAATGTTTTTGATGCACTTATGTAAATTACTACAGATAAAAACATTTTTAGTACATAAAAATAATGTGTTGATAAGATTATATAACATAACAAATTCATTTATTTCTAACATTCATTAATTATGTAGAAGGTTCATAAGAGGAAATGGACAAATTAAAAAAGAGAGGTTCCTTAATGAGGATACTTGTCGGTTCTTGAACTACTATTAACTACTTTCAGCTGTCAATTTTCGTTTTGCCGCCCAAAAGACCTTCTACAAGATATTCGTGTTCTTAATAATATTACAATATAAATAACATATTAAAAATAATTATGAAAATAATATACAATGTTACAGTCAGAAATCTTAACCGGTCAGAATTATTTTAAACTGTCAAGATCAGACAAAAGTACTTTTTTTTCTTTTAATTTTTTGTTTATTTAACTTCTCCGTTATTTTGTAAACATTTAGTTACATTTTTTATCCAACAAAACCGTGATTATGACCCTCAGATTGTAACAACCTTATCTATTCCAAATGATTCGCCAGCAATAGACCCCTCTATTGCTGGCGAATCATTTGGAATATGGAATCCCCATTCTGGCGCAGCAGTCATAAACACTATTGCCCAATGCCGATTAATACCAAAAAAAATATTTTGACCGGTAAAGAATTCTGAATGTAACATATCCATTTACTAGCCAATTCTAAATCACCAGAAACTGTAACATTTAATACAAATATACATTTAATTAACCTAACAAAGAAGAAAACTATGCTTAAATAAACCTTAGGAATTTATTTTGCGAATTAGAACCCTTTTAGACCTTATACGTATACCAAATCTTGTCCCTTAAAACGCCTTCCATACATTATATACCCAAAAGCCGATTTAAAAAAAAATTAAAACGTAAATCATAGAATATTTTGCCTCCTGCTAAGAGCATAGCATCCGATGGGATGACCATTATTATTTCGTATGAAAAAAGCAGTATAAAATATGGATTAAGGAGAATTAACGCGGACTCAGTCCGTACCTGTGTATTATATAAGTTAGAATAAAAAAGTTCGGTCAAAATTCAGCTCCGATCAACACTCGATCTCACAACTGTCATAAAATATATTTTTGTTGTAAAATAGTACTCGTCTTACTAAGACTACCAGATTACCGATTCAATTATCGGTCATAATACGCTATAATCGTATAATTCAGTCAACGTTGGGTATTTAACACTTTACTACGATATGATTTTTTTTATGACAGTTGCGAGATCGGATTCATCGGAACTGAATTTTGACCGAACTTTTATTACGAAAATGGGCATTCTGTTTGAAACGTCAGGCAATTCAAAGCTTTATGTACCTGTCGTGAGTGCATTAATTCCCGTAAACATCACTATATAATTAATGCGGAATGCGATAGTTTAAACGTTAGTTAAAAGCCAATTTTTGTAGGTGACACGTGAGTTTCATCATGTTTTATTGTTCTGATTCCTCATTCGACAATCGAACTGTAACTATTAAGTTCGGTTTATCGCACCTATCGCTTAAGCACTACGAACACAAGAGGTAAGAGTCCAGCTATCACCCCGGCTTGGCTTCTTGTGGAAGCATTAGGAAGCACCTGTAATAAAAAAAAGTATTTTTAACTTCACAGCTATCTTGATACGTGAAGAAAACTCTTTGTATCCCTTTATAATCAAACCAGAGATCGCCTGACGGACTCTTTCTTCTTTTATTTCAGTGACTATTATATCTTGAACTAAACATATGATAGCTAGAGTGCTAAAAACACTTAGGCATAGGCCTAGGTGTTTATTTTTTCATAAAAAAGAGCATAATCATGCATGCATACATTTCTTCGACTGTGTGGTGACGGATAAAGAATACAGAGTGACTTAAGAGGCGACTAAGGGAGCAAACTTAAAGCAAAGCAAGCAAGGGGGCGACGCAGGACAATTGCACTGCAAAGAGAAGGAAAACTTAACACAAACCCTATACCGAACCGTCTGGCCAGCGTGATATAGTAGGCCAAAACCTCCTTTCTAAGGATAGGCCTATGATCAGCAGTGGACTATTAAAGGCTGTTAATGATGATGCTGATATTTTTACTGAGAGGAGGTCGAACTTGTGCTGAATCACAACTGTCGTTAAGTTACATACTGCCCAGGTACGAAGGATCACTCCCTATCTTATTTATACTTTTGAAAATCCCTGCGCGCTGTCACCACCGCTTGTTTTCGATAGGGCGGGGTGACGAAATCGGGTGACGGTGTGATAAACTCACGTCGTCGTCCCCGAAAAGGATGAAAATATGGAAATGTGTTATGTTGTGATACCTTACTGCAACGGGAAGCTTTATTACTCAGGTGTTGCAACTTGTAAAATGCTTGCTGTGTTATTAACAGCAATGATGGGGCTTGATATTTTAAATGATCTAAACGGCCTTTGGATTATCAGTAACTCTGATAACAAGAATTGTTGGTTTAAAATTCAGCTTTGAGTCCTTAATATTAGGTATCTGAAAAGTGGATAATTATCACTCACAAAAGATTGTCCAGGATTTTGCCACTTATTAGCTGATTACATATTTTTTTATATAAATAAATACAAATAAATACAAACGTATAAATTCAATGAAACCATGAAAATTAATAAAAGTATTTCCATGTAGTCTTACCAAATCATCGATCCAATTGGAGTACCTCGAGACTTTGGCGTAAACCCCTGGGTATAAGGGTAGAGCACACCCCAGGCCCCAAGATGTAACGCCCACGACAATGCCGTTATGGACTAGAGGACCTCCGGAGTCACCTTGGCATGCATCAGCCCCTGAAATGTTAAAATTGAAGTTTACTTTACCAGATCCGACCAGAACTCGCCATTAAACGAAAATTTCGTGATTAACGTAAGGGATTACGTACCGGGAAAGTACCCTATTGGTTTTTTTTTAAATTTCGTTAAAATAGGAAGATCACATAGCCGAACCTTTTGATTAAGTTGACTTAGAAGCTTGATTTTTCAGAACTTCCTTTAAGAGACTTGATAATTCCACGTGTTTCTAAGCAAAAGGGTCTCCACAGATAATCAGGAAGGGAGAAGACGAAGTATGGGCCATCCCGGCAGTAACCAATTCAAGTTATATCTCTTTGAAAACCATTTACTTCCGATCTTATCATTTTTTCCTTTCAAATTGAACTCCTAATTATCCCATATACTTTTAAAGTACTTTGATGGCAATTGCCGCCAAGTTACGTTCACGGGTTGGACCAAATGTTTGTATGATCTACAAATATTTGTTTCGGAATTTATGTGTTTTTTTATGTAAATATGTATATATTTACAAAAAAAATCGGTTGTCTGTAAAGTCGGTTTACTGACGATAGTTGAACGTGACAACGACATAAGAAAATACTGATGGAATGGTTGCATTTTTCAAGAATGTATTATTGTATACGAGTAGCAGCTGTCCACGCGGACGCATCGCTCACTCAAGTAGGAGAGAGACAGATGTCGAATGCTGCCGAACGCGGAGGCCGATTGTGCCTCTTTGTCACTCGTTCTGCGCTCTCGCTTGCACTTCACGCCTTAAATGGAACGCCTCAGAGCGAGGTAACGCCGCATGAGTCATGTTTTTTCGTGCGTGCAGCCGGCTCTATCGAATTATAAGACGTTGTCACGTCAAAAATGTAAACAAGTATTCTATCAGTCAATCTAGCTTTCATAGTACAAGCACTGCTTAGTTTGAAACTAGATGGCGCTGTATGTCAGATGTCCGAAAAATTATTGTCGACAAAATGTAGCTCATTAGAACCTCTGCTTCCTTCACTCTAATGTTAAATGAATTTAAGCTTGATTGGAGTGATATACCACGGCCACACAGAAAACCGGTGTTAAGTAGTTTTTTCTAGTTCACTCCCTCTGATCCTTGTGGATCGTCTAATCGTTAAGGCTATGTTTGTTCGTTTGAGGAACAGGTGCCGAAAATAACAGAACAAATTGCAACATGTACCTCCAATATCCAGCAGTCCAGCGCAGATCATGTTGTCGTTGATCGACCAAGGTGCATTGAAGAGGTTTGCATACGCTTGGTAGCGTTCATAGCAAACAGCCCGATTGACCGTCAGGACGGGGACTTGTCTGAGCACATTTGACGCTACACCACCTACCTGTTCGTCAATATCAAAATATTTATACACCATTGTAAAGAAATTTACTATTATAATTTTAAATAATTCTGGTAAAGATCACACCATTATTTTACATAAATACTATAAGATCAGAAAGCTATATTTTATTTAAGTTATAGATATCCATCACTTAGTAAATGTGTACATAGAAGGTATTTGAATTTTTTCTCGAATTTACTGTCAAAAAATCATTTACGTTTTATAGTCCTTTTATATGTATGTATAGGAATTTAAAAATATGATGACTTATTGTTTCAATTTAAATTATAATCATTGCACTACAGAGAACCGCCACCTACAGGAAGCGAGAATTTGAGCAAATCTGGGAAACTTTTTTACAAGCAAAATAAGATAAAAGATTAATCAAATCACCATCCGCTTTCTGTCACCATCATTAGATTCATTTCAAGATATAGTGTCCAAACTATATTTATACAAAAAGTTTTATTTGAAAACTTCAATTAAAAATAGGTAAAATGCTTTTCTATGATTTTTAACGACTGAAGCTAATAATGGCCTCCCTCCGCCACGCCCGCTTCTGTAACTCCTGTACACCAGGATCCACAGCAGTGAACCACAAAATCACCGAGTAATGACACTTCCACGGAAATCCCAAAAGTAACGATCTTGGAACTTGCAAAAAAATTAATTAGAAGAAAAATGGAGGAGTTGGCACTATAGAGAATACACTTCCTTGCTAATAATAGCCTGTTAAAAATTTGCCAGAATTGCTGATATTTTTTGATAGATGTCCAATCCAATCCAAAAATAAAGATTACTCACTACAGTCCTCCCCCATCCGACGGTCACTACCCTGCTGTTAAAAGGCAATGTCTCCCCCTGAAAAGGGATGCTGACGCTCTGCACGCTTGCACTCAGTTGTAGATTAGAGCTGAGGAACAGTACTGCTACGTCGTTATCGTATGTGGTGTTGTTGTAGCTCTCGTGGGCAACAACTCTTGATACCGAGATGACTGTACCCTCTAGAATATAATTAACACTGATTTCAGACAAGAACATAATATGATACAATAATAAAGATAATCATCATGATTTGTGGCGGAAGAAATAAAATTTCAATATTTTTTTTCTAATGTTTAATGAAATAATTAGTACTTAACGTGCTTTTATGGTTTCTTAAATATTTTAATCGTTTTTTTTTAAGTATAACTCATCCAACACCAAAATGATACCCGATCAGATTTTCCACATAAACGTCGCAATGTCGTAAAAAACATAATTCAATAAAACCGAAACGAGAATCTTCTCTTTTTTGAAGTCGGTTAAAAAGACTACCACTTTTTATCTTTGCGCCTTTACAATATTATATAATCATCAAAGAGATTGAAAAAAGACTGTTTTGAAGCATACTTACAAACAAATATATGGTAGGCCAAAACCTCCTTTCTAAGGAGAGGCTTATGTCCAGCAGTGGACTGTTAAAGACTGTTGATGATGATGATGATATGTATATACAACTTTTATGTTAACGTAGTCGAGGGTTTTCTTCTTAATTAGTTTTATTTTTAACAAGTGACTATCGTTCGTCAAAATTCTTGTTGACGACACCAGCTAAGGTATCTGTAGTGTATTTAGCCCGGTTCAATCCCGTAACCATTCAATCATATGTCGGCAACCTTAGCTAATAATTTTAATACTAGTTACTATTATTTAATGATTTTGATTTAAAAACCTTACCTCCATCTAAATATGAGGTTCCTGCTCGTATAGAGAATGGATCGGCGCCGAGGAATGTACCATTACTGCAATCAATAAGTTTTTTGTTAGCTAGTCTCAAAAAAAGGTTATATTAAGTTGTTCTTTTGAACGCACCCAATCTATTAAATGTTACCGTTAATCTTGATACCACGAAACAAATTTTAAGAGAGTATATCTTCAAAATTTAGAGTTTAAGAATTAACGCTATTAATAATTCACACAAGCCAGAAGTGAAACTTAAGAAAAAATATTTTATTGAATAAAAAGATAAAAATATTCACACTGTCAAAATATTTATTATATAAATATTATATTACAAAAAAATTAAAAAAGAACTTCGTTCCAATAATGTTAAAATGAAACTCACCGGGCAAAGAAACAATGAGCTGCCGAGAGGACGTGCTGTGTGGTCAATATTGAACCCCCGCAGGAAAACCGCTCGTTGTTAAGGATCTGTAAATAACATTTTATTCTTATTGACATATTTAATTGATTATCAATTTTCAAGCTCTTAGCTCTCAAATCTATCCGCGAAACTTACGCAGGTGCTGAAGCTAGAAGCACTATATTTTAATTTTCAATGTAGTAAAATGTAGTCTTACTAATATTTTTTTATCATTTCAAAAACGATACAAATTATTGATTTATCCAGTAAAAAACACAGATTAAATAGGGAAAAGACGTGTTGTTTTTTTAAGAGACGAAAAAACGACTTTAACGGCACATTGTTTTAATCTAAGCAGCAAATGTGTCACAACATACGCAGTCAGCGTTTTCAACGCTTGTCTTACTTAAATTTTTTACTTACTTTATATATGATTATGATTAAAGGAACAAGTTGAATTTGTTACTGAATCATCATACCAGTATATAACATACTTAAATATCTCTAAATACATACTATTACTAATTGGCCTAATGGTTAGTGATCCTAACTGCAAGCCAGAGGTCGTGGGTTCGATTCCCACAAAGGAAAAATAATTGTGTAATGAGCGCGATCCTTAGCCAATTAGTAATAGTAGCAGTATAGTACAAAGAAGAGATAATAAAAAGAGAATACATACCTGTACCATGAACGGGTATGTCTCTATAGTCGTGGGCGAGCCTCCTATGACCCTCGAGTCATTGGGTTTCAGTGATTCGATTGAGACCTTCGAGATTCTGAACTGTTCTGCGTTACTCTCATCCCGTAGCTCCCTCGCACCACCTGGATACAACATGTTTCAGGTCTTTGTGAACAAGCTCAAAGAAGTAGGAAGGTAGAAGATTTCAATGTATAACTTAAACTATTTGACGAATACGAACGAACTATATAAAGGTCGTCCGTGTGGTGACGGCATCCGTGTCGTGACGGATTAAGAATACGGAATGTCACCACCCCTATTCATCCCGTGGGTGTCGTAAGAGCCGACTAAGGGAGCAAACTACGCAAGACAACGGCACTGCAAAGAGAAGGAAAACTTGACACAAACTCTATACCAACCCGTCTGGCCAGCGTGGTATAGTAGGCCAAAACCTCCTTTCTAAGCAGTGGACTATTATAGGCTGTTGATGTGATGTGATGATGTGATATAAAAGTATAAATTTTCCCCGATTTTGGAACATCAATCAATTCAATCCGCATGCATCCGCTGCATGCCATTTTCCTCAAGTCTATCGTGCCGCAGGGCGCCCTACATTACGTTTGCCTAGTCAATGATGTTGATGACCCAAGACTGGGAAGGTTGACGCCCCTTGGGGGAGGCCTTCGTTCATTAGTGGATGCCAATAGGCTGATGATATAGATGTCACTGTAACACCCCCTCTCCTAAAGGTCACCTAAGTTTAGATTTGTCACTAATCTGCAATACCCTATTAATAATATCTATACCTAAGACATATAATAGTCATTAAGTAGACATATGGTTTTTCAATTGATATGAATATTAATTTTTACAATACAGCAGCTTTCATACACCTAGACTACCCATTGTTTCTTCTCATCTACTGTCGATTTGTCCATCCAAAGATTGTCTGTAAGAGATTGCTATTAGCAATAAGGCTGCCCATTTTATTCATATTCGTCTGTAATATTTAACTAACATATTGTAATTGGTGTACAATAAAGCATATTCTATTCTATTTTAAATTAATCAAAACGATGTCTAAATATGAATCTTCATATTAATGTTAATATATATCTTAAATTATTGTCTCATCACTTTTTTCTTCAATCACCTAATAAGTAGATCAGTGCCATATTCTATATATCTAAAACTGTAATAATTGTCATTTTTATAGTATAGGAGGGCAAACAGTTGGTCACCTGAGGGCCGAGTGCAAGTATATTACACATCGACTCGTTCGCGTTTAGCGTTGCGATTGGTGGAGATTTCAGCGCGGGCCAATTTCACTCGGCTCACTCACACAAATATCGATCTAATCATTAAGCCATTGTGGGGAGTTACCATACCATACATACAAAGAAACGGAAACATACTACAGCGCCATCTAACGAAGACAGATAACTCCTGTATGAGAATTGCTAATCCTGTATCGCGACACGAAGAATTCTCGTGCCGATTAGCATTACAACTTTCCAACATCAACCGTTGGGCCGCGGCCCGCCAGGTATAATCACCTCGCCAAGTCGGAGGATCCTCCCTTTGTGTTGGAGGGACACCCGTACCTCCGCACCATTATAAAAATCCTGACAAGCTGATGGTTATTCTAAACTTACCTTATCATAAACTATAAATTATCGTTGTAAGTACGAATTCACACGTACAAATATATAAGTATAAATCGGGGCTTACAGGCGTATTATATTGTTTATTTATAGCCCTATCATTTAGCACGTTTCTCCTGATATATAAAATTTAACAACACCAATATCGTTTTATTGCATTTTTAGTTATCTATCTATCTTTGAGATAAAGACTTCCTAATTTACAATGTCAATGAAAGAGACTCTTGTCCTAGGTCTAGACTAAATCGCAAATATTATTTAACTCTTTTGTATTGAAACAAGTCACAAATTACCTGATGGTAGGCGCTAAAGATCAAGTATCTTTAGCGCCTACCATTTATTTAGACGACCGGATGGCGTAGTGGTTTGTGTAACGGACTGCTAATCTAAAGGTCGCCGGTTCGATTCCCGCTCAAGTCAAACATTTGTGATTTGGTTTTGATTGATTTGGAAAAAAAAAGTAAAAATGTATTTATATCAGTTGTCTAGTACCCATAGTAGGTACAAGCTCTGCTTAGTTTGGGAATATTATTATTATCTTCTCTAACACCTAAGCACTGGCAACTCTAGCGGTGTCATTAAGGTGTTGCCATCATGAACGGTTGCATGGAAGTTGGTCATTTTCAAAGGTAGAAACACGAAATAAGAAGTAAAAACGGGAAAGAGCTAGTACATGAATAATATGTAAATAAATAATATGTAATAATTTTTCGTAGCCTGGTCTGAATATGGACTTTGGCTACACTAATCCTCGAACAAACTAACTATAGGAAGAGTTTGTGTGACGACTATTCTAAAGGTCGGTGGTTCGATTCCCGCTCAAATCAAGAATTTTTGTGCACGAACATTTAATGTTTAATTTGGTCTGGGTGTTTCTATGTATAATATGTATGTCTTTACAAAAAAAGTATATATGTATTTATATCAGTTGTCTAGTAGCAAAAGTACAAGCTGTGCTTAGTTTGGGACAAGATGGCGTTGTGTGGATGGTAGAATATTATATTATTATTAGTTTCCTTTATTCCATGGTTGAAGAAAAACTTAAAAGGCCTCATCAACCGTCAATTAAACGTTGACGACTTAAAATAATAATTTCCGTCAATTTCATAAACAAAAATAACACTTTGTTTCAGTTCATATTTGTTTGGTCTTAGGGTGGACTTCTTTGAGATCGGACTTCGTAAATTGCTCCCTTTGTGTGCCCCAAGGCCCCGAGGCGTTGCAACGTGATAAAAACTTTTACTGCGTATGTTTATGTGACATTGAGTCGAGTTTTAAAGTGCCTACCTGAAGGCATATTCGTTCAAATAAGAAAGATTTTTCCTAAACGGTTCACAACTGACGGAGTTTTGAGGTAATAAAAAAATATATAGGCGAATTAAGAACCTCCCCCTTTTTTTTAAGTCGGTTATAAAGTTGTAAGTTTCCTTTTTATACAAATAAAGAAAGGATTGAAAGTGAATGTTAAAATTTTACGTCAAAAGTCATCCATGTAACTTCATTGCAAAAAGCACTTGTCGTTTTTGTGTATTCCAATATTTGACTTGCTGCGAAAGTTTGAGAATTTTTGGGAAGCTGTTTCAATCATTGATTGTTTGTAAATCACGAAAAAAATACAAATAACGAGTTTTGTGTATTTTTGTATTTTAAAATTCTCTGCAAATAGCGACAAAAAAAATCTAGCAAAGTTTTTTTTTTTAACTAGATTCGTAAAATAATAATCATGGACTTTTAAAACTTTTGTATCAGTTGTGTTGATGACTTTTCTAATTCATTCAATTAAAAATATCAGCCTAATAAAATAAATTTATTTTATAGATTTATTCAATGTATTTGTATGAAACATGCACGCACACACGCATGCTTACAAACACAAAGCCTTCATGTTATTACGCTAATTATAACAGCTGATGTAGCAAGTGTGTTACTGGTGAGGTTTTCGTTTCTTCAATTATAGGCAAGCTGAGAAACACCTGTTTGGTGTTTAGTCGGTAAGCATCAATTAGACCCGCTCTACCCACCAAAGAGTGGAGAACATCCATGCCATCAAAAGTTATTGGTTAATTTAAACGGTAAGTGGTCTACTCGACACTTCACTTAATGCTGGCCCTCACAGTACTTAAATAATATTTATATACTCAAATAAATTAATTAAAAAAAAACTTACAGCTTACTACCGCAATTAATATCAAAGTAACACACAACATGATTGCTCGTAGGTCTCACGCTTAATGTCCAGTTTAGTTTAAAAAAAATTATCGATTAACAATAATAAAAATTATCAGCATCATTCGTCCCAACAAATAATAAGACAATACATGGTTAGCTGCGTCATCATGAGCACATAAGTTAGGTTTGGTTTACATGGGCTATTTCCTACAATTAGTTTGAATATAAGCTTGTTTTTTCGTGCCTGTGGAACCCCCTCGAGCCGTCACTCCACCAGGATTTGTGGTGCGGGTTTGTGTAGTCTTCCTCTTTTAGGCACAGTGTGACAATACTGTGCCTAAAATAGGAAGGATCCGTTAACAGCTTTTCTAAAGACATTCGATCCCCTCCTAGCAGACGCCTCAAAAATCGCGGGCACCACCTTAGGGTAAAACCTCTTATTCAAGTGAAGTTCAGACACAGGCAGATATTGCACTATCCTGGGGTGGCCGCAATGCAAGGTGGAAGGGAGAATCCGTCACATCCACTTGGCGTGTCTTCACATTGACATGACTGACATCGTATTTAACGACAGTAAACGTCTCTTTAACACCCGAAGCAGATAATTGATAAAAAAAGGTGGTTAATAGACTATGGCACATACTGCAAAATCTAAAAATTTCATTCTTTCTTTTATTAAAACTAGTAAAACAGCTAAGGTCAAGGTCAATCAGTGTACCGCTCGACTAAAAGAATTTTTTTTTTTGGCTGATTCTGTATTCAAATTACAAGGGTGTATATCAAATAAAGGAATAATTGCTTTAGGGATGCGTACGAGATTGTATATTGCTTCCTAAAATCTTTATGGGGATTTGGGTATGAAAATTTTAATAATAAAAATTGGCTCTACTATTGTAATTTCTTTAATAATACCTTTAATAAGTAAAAATAGTATGGTTAAAAATTCCATGTGTACACTATTAGTATTATATTTTTGATACCTTTACTCGTTATCTACAAACCTTTTATTTAATGTTATATAAGTAGATTGGTATGATAACAAATAATAAATACTAGGCTTACAAATCAGCAATTACATTTATATGTTGAAAGATAATATTTTTTACGCCATTGTTACAGTGGAAGTAGGTATGTTATTTACCTATATCTATTACGCTTATAGAGCAAAAAAGCTCGCAACGCTTGTGACATTCACAAAAAAACTACATAGCGAACTTTGTGTCATGAATGTTATTCGACCACAACGCGTTGTGTGTCAAACAACAAGTGTCAAATGCAGCTTTATTTGCAAAATGCGATCTCTTCCTGGCAATCTAAGAATCTATGTAAAATAATGGAGAAACAATACAAAAATAATAGACAGCTAATCTGAATTTAAATCATTTTTTCTTATTAATATCGATAAACCAGCTTCACAGAAAACGGGTGTTAAGTAATTCTTTCGTTTTAACCGAGTCAGTGCGGTGTAACACACATCACATCAACACCCTTTAAGAGTCCACTTCTGGACTTAGGCCTCTCCTTAGAAAGGAGGTGTTGGCCTACTATACCACGCTGGCCAGACGGGTTTGGTGTAGAGTTTGGTTCAAGCTTTCCTTTTTGTAACACACACGTAAGTAAAGCCTTTTATCATCATGAAGTACCAGCCAGAAGCTGAATAACGCGGCGAATGTGCAACTCCCCAACGGTTAGTTTGTTGTTTTCTGGTGTTTGGATGAAAGCTTTTGGCCCCAAAGATGTTGCATAGCTTCTCTTCTGCAGACAAATAACTATGGACCCAGTGAAGAGACCACTTCCTATAGGTAACATATAATAGTGTTATGTGCTATGCTCTAAACACTATACAAATCTGGGTTCGATTCCCGCTTAAATCAAACATTTGTGTGCATGAACATTTATTGTATATATATATATATATAAAGTATATATGTATTTATATCAGTTATCTAGTACCCATAGTACAAGCTCTGCTTAGTTTGGGACCAGATGGCGTTGTATGAATGTGGTACAATATTATTATTTTATACATATTATATATATATATATATATATATATATATATATATATATATATATACTTACTCAAGGAGCTTATGCAGTCTCTAATGATTTATTATTGTCAAAATAACATGTGTTAAGTTGCAATACAACACAGTAAAAGTTTAATTTTAATGATTAAATCATTTGAAACATGCAATCATTTCTATCAAATTGCCAATACTACTAAGACTTATTACTAGATAGGATAAGTACTGATGATAATATTGGCGAGAATTATGTACAATAATGTATTACTTAATTAAGCCAGCAAATGCGTCTAGAGTGTATATTAATCGCTGATAAAGAGCAGTTTTGGCAGTCTACGTCTTATGTGGCTTCTTGGATTATAAAGATATGTATATACAGATAGATGACTCTTATTTTCATAAAATTATTACAGCGTAACTGCCACTCATATGTGTATCAAACAGTTAATGTACAAAGTCTCTTCCAGGCTTGCAGATGTAGTTGAATATGCTTCTCACATATGTAACTTTAGCGAAAACAGACTAATATCTAAATCTGTATTTGTATACATAACTAGACCGTTATGTAAACAAATACAGAACATACATAAACCTACTTATTTCTTTTATATAACAAATATACTACATAACTTACGGCCAGCAACAAAAGTCCATGAACAGATCACATCACACATCAACAGCCTATACTAGTCCACTGCTGGACATAGGCCTCTCCTTAGAAAGGAGGTTTTGGCCTACTATACCACGCTGGCCAGACGGGTTGGTATAGGGTTTGTTTCAAGTTTTCCTTCTCTTTGCAGTGGTGTTGTCCTGCTTAGTTTGCTCCCTTAGTCGGCTCTTACGACACCCACGGGATGAATTGGGGTGGTGTCAATTTGTATTCTTAATCCGTCACCACACGGACACCACGTCACATGAACAGATACTAATTTACAAAACACCTGAAAAAATCACTCGCCAGAGTAGAGTACAGAAGAAGGTTATCATCTCAATGTTACAAAAATGCTTCAAGAAAAGAGCGTCCTTTCTAAAAGGCCCGGCAACGCGTTTGAGACTCCTGAGTTGTAAGACGTTCATGGGCGGCGATGGTCACTTTCCATCTCTAACATAAAAAAACATTAATATGCTATAAGTCGCTAAACATCATTTGTTTTTATGAACATATATAACATTTTCATATAGATATATTGACTTGCTACTGTCATTATGTTTATTTCTTCCAGCCCACACTTCCAACAGCCATACACACACGCACTAATAACACACACACTCAGCCACACATGTTCATGAACATGCGCTCACACAAGGTGGAATTATTATTTATTTTATCTTTGTTGTTTAGCTTCTCCTTTTAGAACAATTATGTGTGTTAATTGTTAGCAAAATAATAAACTCACATGTAAAACCTGTAAATCTAACTACTGTGGGGTGGGGTCCTGGTGATCCGTAATTCAGGCTCAACCTACTTCGGACACCAGCTCCTCACATATTTTAGACTTCTAATAAATGTCCTAAGTATTATTCACTATTTTGTGTATAATAAGTCTTTATTGTGAGGAGAAATAAACGTTATTATCATTATATTCTTAAAATTTCTACCTAAATGAGCAATAAAACTTATAATTTGCTCGAATTCCCCCACAGTAGAATACCGTACGATATTATGTTATGAAAATAACTGAAGTAAATAAGTCGTGATGTATCAATATCACTAAATTCTCTATTTTTTCTAACTGCGTATGCTGTTGAGCTGAGTCTACTCGATACTTAAAATTTGATTGATATTCTGAACTGTTGTGTTTATTTGGAAATGTTTTGCCTGATGGGAGCCTTGAAGCAAACGATTCTTGGTTTAACGAACAGGAAATATAGGAAATTAGCTATGTTTGGCGACTTTTTATTTTATTACAGATCATTTAATTTTGTCACAAATAATGTTCAGCAATTAATGGTTTAACTTCCAGCTAATTTTGTAGTTGAACTATGACCAGTAGTTTTGTTGTTAACCTTAATCAATAAATTATAGTAAATAATAATGATTAGGAAATATTGGAAACAGATTATGTTCAACATTTCTGTTGCTGACTGTACCATGAAAACTGAAGCTGTAAATAACGTAAATGCTGTCCGTGTGACGGATAAAGAATACGGAGTGTCACTACCCCCCCATTCATCCCGTGGGTGTTGTAAGAGCCGACTAAGGGAGCAATCTACGCAGGACAACAGCACTGCGAAGAGATGGAAAACTTGATACAAACCCTATACCAACCCGTCAGGCCAGCGTGGTATAGCAGGCCAGAACCTCCTTTCTAAGGAGAGGTATATATCCAGCAGTGGACTACTACAGGCTGTTGATGATGATTGATAATATTAAATACCTATATGCTTTTTAATTTGGGATAGAAATGATTTCGTTTCATCGTGTCATGGGTTGACAAAAACCACGTTGTGTTGTGTTGTGTATGTAGACAAAGACTATAAATAGCCAGATATCAAAGGTAATTAGGAACTAAGATATTTGTTTAATAATTGAATAATAGAACAAATGTTTTTTATCAGAGGTCTGTATCAGAGGAATGTACACGTCCATCCATGATAAACCTGATGATTCAAATTTGAAAAGTAGCGACTGTCATCTGTTATAGTACAAGCTCTGCTTAGTTTGGGACTAGATGGCGTTGTATGAGTGTGGTGGAATATTATTGTTATTAATTAAGTGCATTAGGCATCATCATCATCGCAGCCGATAGATGTCCACTGACATAGGCCTCCTTCAGGGCCTGGCATTAGGCATGTTAGTGATTACGATTACAATTGTGTATTTTTATAGAAGATAAAATATATGAAAAAAAAAATATATATTGTTGTTTTGAGTCATCTGACACACAACGCCATTTAGTTTCAAACTAAGCAGAGCTTGTACTATGAAAGCTGGATTGACCGATCGAGTATTTATCATTTTTTTTTCGTAAAAACATACATATTATACATAGAAAACACCCCCGAAACAAATATTTGCAGATCATACAAACATACTCAGCACAGCAGTCGCATACTACTGTACCACCGAGGCAGCAAAAAATAAATAAACACAAAAATAACATCGAATCTACAAAAAAATTTGCTGTAAAAATAAAAAAACTATGTTAAAATGATAAAAGCTATTTTAAACTGTCCCCTTGATTTATTGCCCGAAAAAGTATCGAAGAAGAGAGAGAGAGGAAAGATGGAAGAAATAATGAAAATGTCGGGTATACAAAAGCTGTTAAATATAACTTAAATTAATGGATACATAACTTTAGGTGTTACCAAGTTCGTTCGGTTATCTGGAATTATTAATTTGTCATAGTCCTATACATTACCTGCACAAGGTTAAAAAGGATATAAATATTGTGTTATCTATATTTGAAACATGGAGAAAGGAGAAGAAACTGAACTCATTCTTCTCAGCTCAAAAAAGTTAATGAAATTATATTTAATTAAAAATGAAAAAGTTGTGTATCGCAATGCCGCTGTCAAAGTTTTTACAGAAATCAGCAAAGTGCATTAAATGGTAAGTCTAGGGTAACCAGACCTGCTTTTGACAAATATCTTACTTTACCAGTTCCTGCAGCGCTATTCTCTAAGAAAACAGCCTTGCGTACATCGCTGCCACAGGGATGAACTTCAAACTAAGTTCATTTGAAATTCGACGCTACGGCGCTGTCGGCTCGAGTCGCTATTGGTCGGTAAATAAATATAATTCATTAAAAAATATAGTGTTTATTGTTTTTGACATGTCCTATATATAGTACAATTATCCTTATTCTAAAACAACCAAGCAAACTCAATCTAAAATTTACATTAAAATGGATTGAATCGGTCATTTCAAAAACCAGTTCCATTTTCTTTCAGTCAACTTCTTTCTTTTTGCTGAAAATGATTTCGTAAAGGTACCATTTCAATTACAACAGATAATATATAAACGTATCATATTCTATATACATTATACCTATACATATTATATTAAGTCCTTTGTTAAATGTTGTTAAACTATATTTAAACTATGTACGTGTAGTTGTTAATTAAATTGTTTAACTATTGTTTAAGTTGGGATTTCAGTATTTTTAAATTGGCGGCTAAAGGCAACTTAAGTATAAATCTATAACCACCATCACGGCGGATGTGTATCCATGGTGTCGACGCCTATTGGCACTCATACTAACATCTGGCACAGAGAAATAAATTCACTTTTTAACAGATAAGGTTAGAGTTATAAATAAATGCAATTTCGCCTAAAACTACACACACAATCCTCCTTTCTAAGGAGAGGCCTATGTCCAGCAATGGACTATTAAAGGCTGTCGATGATAGGCTGGCTCGTGCTGTCAGCACGGCCTCACAGAAAACCGATGGTAAGTAATTCTTTTGCAGCTTTTGAGTGACTTTGCCGGAGGATGAACCCGCTCCTCCTTTTGAAAGAGCGGGGCACACAAAACCCACTAATCAAATGTTGTCTCTTCAGTCCATTGGTAGCGGTAGTAACTGTCTGCTCGCTTGCTCCTTACCCCATAAAGGAAAAGCTTGGAACCAGATTACTTGAAATACTCCTTACGTAGCTTAGTAACAATGTGGCTTGGGACCTCCTTAGAAAGGAGGTTTTGACCTATTACACCACGCTGGCTAGACGGGTTGGTATCATAGGGTTTATTTCAACGGAGTGGGAGTTCTCTTTCGGAGTGGGAGTTCTCTCGCTCGATAGCCTGATTGCGGCTATCGTGCGGAGCGAGAGTGCGTGGAACTCTGCCGTCTCCTACTGCGAGCAAGTTATGCTCGCGAAGGAGACGGCGGAGCGGGACCGGGAGAGGTTTAGGACTCTCCCGGCCCGGGAACGGGCCAGGTACCGCAGGCGACTCAGGCGCCGGAGGTCGCAGAACGACCTCCGTCCTCCATAAGCGTGGCCTGTAAGGCCTGGGGGTGACAGGTGAGGCCATCTGTCACCCTAGCCGAAGCAGGCCGGGGTGGCGGCGAGCGCGTTGCGAAGCGCGCTCGCTTCCAGGGAGCACAGGGAACATGGGGTTCCCACACGGGGGGGGGGGGTCGTCTACTCGTCTGTAGATGACCCGAGGTATGTCGGGGTACCAGGGACTTCCTTTCTAGGGTACACCTGGTTCCCCGGCTATTAGTACCCGAGACGGCGTGCGGTTTTAGTCGGTTCGAGTCCGACATGCCACCGACAGGTGATTTCTAGGGGATTTCCGCACGGAAAAAAAAAAGAATATTTCAAGTTTTCCTTCTCTTTGCAGTGCTGTTATACTGCGTAGTTTGCTTCCTTAATCAGCTCTTACGACACCCATGCAATGAACAGGGGTGGTGACATTCCTTATTCGTTATCCGTCACAACACGGTTGATTTAACTATTTGCTATCCCTAATACTATCTCAGAATAGTTTCTTTCTAAGGAGAGGCCTATGTCCAGCAGTGGACTGTTAGAGGCTGATTATTCCACGGATTATCATACGTTTCTATGTGTGTGAATTGTAAATAATTCGTAGCTTAACTTATATATTTGCAAATGATTATTGTTTAAAAATATTTTCTAATAATTTTTTCTACCTCTTTAGTAATATTTCAAGAAAATTGTTCTAATGTCGAACAGTCGACAAGTAGTTCTCAGTGCAGGCAGTTTGACTGTAGAATAACATACCTGAGGCAATTAGGCAAGCTTAATCATTGCAAATATTTAAAAAACAACTTACAAATCACTACTTGAAATGATAGAGGAAGTTGTGTAATGGTTGTATGTATACTGTAAACTTATGTAGTAATATAACTTAATAACTTTTTTAAATATTCATCATTTTGAATATATTGTAATAGTATATCGCCGGCTACCCTTTTTTTTTCCGTGCGAAAATCCCCTCGGATACCACCGATCGTTGGCATGTCGGACTCGAACCGACTAAAACCGCACGCCGTCTCTTGTACTAATAGCCGGGGAACCAGGTATACCCTAATCGCCGGCTACCCTAATTTAAATTTGACAATATCCGTGTAAAGATTGTCTGTGAGCGATAAGACCGCCTATTATAGCGAAATAAATAATATCTGTACAAACAATACTGCCGGGTGTAATAAATTACAGGTACTACTGACCTGATATTTTTGCCGTGTGTGTAACACAGTAGATGGACACCAATGATTCATTTGAAATAACAAAACAATGTTTAATTGTTAATGCCAGTTAAATAAAAAATTTAATTAGTAAAAATCCAACTGTTGTGTGATGTTATTGCACTAACTAAACGCTAAATATTAGGAACATTAAAGACATGAGTACAGCTGCGACCCCGGCTTGACTTCTAGGGGAACCGTTAAACCTCGTGACCTGGAATGAAAAAGAAAATTAATTTACCTACATTGTTTGTTGTTACCACTTTCGGAGTCCATATTATCAGAGTGCGATCGCTAGTCTCATGTGTCCGTTCACTATGATATCCTCTATTTAATACTAATACATTTATACTCGTAATAACTACATACTCCAGTAGTCTTTTTTAACTTTTTAATTTATTTGTAACGTATACGTGTAAACGTATTATTACGAAAATGAATGAATTTCATTAAATTATTTCTTATGCCTCAAAAGGGAGTATTTAAGAGTTTCGAAAGAAGAAACATTATTCTTTTATTGAAACGAGTTTCGAAAGAAGAAATATTATTCCTATTCGAAACTAGTTTCGAAATTTGGTCTCGAGCACCGGTGATAACCGGCACCGGCAACGGAATGGACGCAACGGAATCGGCAAAACAGTCACAACACTAGTACACGATTATGTACATATATTTATATAACATTAAATTTATGTATGTATGTATATGTATACCCCTCGCACCCTCTTCCACGGCATACAATGTGTTGAGAAACGAATGTGTCGTGTCGCTCCAACACAAAGGGAGGATCTTCCGACCAGGCGAGGTGATCATGCCTGGTCGGCCCAAAGATTGATGTTGGGCAGTTGTATATATGCAAATCGGCGAGAGAATTCTCCATATCGCGATACAGGATTAGCAATTCTCATTCAGTAGTTACTCCGTAGTTAGGTGTGTCTTCGATAGATGGCGCTGTGGGATGTTTCTGTTTCTTGCATGTGAGAGTCGCCACAAATGCAAATGCCAGCTTGTCTAGGAAACTCAAACACACTGACTTCATGCGTATGGTCTTACCGTGTCATTAATCCAACTGGAGTACCTCGAGACCTCGGTATATACCCCCGGCAAGATGGGATCAGCACATCTCACGCCCCAGGACGTAATACCCACAATGGATCCATTGTAGATTAGCGGACCTCCAGAGTCACCTTGGCATGCATCAGCCCCTGAAAAAAAAATTGAGTTTAATGTACCATCATCATCATCATCAACAGCCTTTACTAGTCCACTGCTGGACATAGGCCTCTCCTTAGAAAAGAGGTTTTGGCCTACTACACCACGCTGGTCAGACGGGTTGGTATAGGGTTTGTGTCAAGTTTTTCTTCTCTCTGCAGTGCTGTTGTCCTGCGTAGTTTGCTCCCTTAGGACACCCACGGGATGAATGACTATGGTTCCCATAAACTTGCTATCAAATGGTATTTAATATAGTTTTCAATATTATCTAAGCATTTCGAAAGGTTATGTTTTTCGAGTGTACCATAAATGTATGCATATTTCTTTGAAATTTTGGCTGAAATAGTAATAATATAAAAATTAAAATGGTTTGTTTTTTTTGTCGTCAAATCCTATCGAGTGGCGTACCAAAATAAATGGTTTCATAAATATCTCACAAAAATATTAACAACTTACCTATATAATTTTAACCTAAACAGAAAAAAATAATTTATCGTAAACAAGTATAGATAGTTCAACTCAGATGTGCGCGCGGCCCTATGTGTGGGTAAACCTTGTACATATACAGTGACTTTGTGTGCGTGACAAGAGGTACAGTCGTACAAATACAAATATAGTTATTTACGGGTTATATACGGGTTTAAAAAAAAAAGAGTTATTTCGTAATGTAATGTTTATTTATTGAACATTATTCTGAATCGCTACTTGAAAAATCAAATGATGAATTTTCGCATTCGCTGCTCTCACCAAGGTTAATTATGAATTCTGACTCCATGTCAAAATGTCTATAGTATTCTTCTTCTTTCTTTTGCACATCCCTTCATCAATTTGACTTAAACGTTCATTTATGAGTTTCATTATTTCCGTCACATTTTGGTCGACATTATGCGAAGCAATATAATTCTTTAAAATTCCCCACAAATTTCTATGGGGTTTAGTTCAGGATGATATGGTGGCAGTCGAAGAATTTTTATGCCATATGGCTGAAGTATATCGTCAATCTTGTAACAGATATATTTTTCTTTATATTTTTTTAACCAAATCATACAGTTCAATTTTTTTCATATCTTGATTAAAAGCTATATTTTTTTCTGTCAGCCAGCTCTGCATTTCTATTTTTTTGGAATTAGAATTTGGGGCTCTGTCATTTTGAACGTTATGGTATGAGGCATTATCAAGCACGACCACAGAGTTAGGTGGGAGATTCGGTACTAGACGTTCTTTTAGCCACTTTTCATAGTTTTCTGCGTTCATGTTAGAGTGGTAATCACCAGAAACACTATTTGCTTTGTATGTCAATAGTGCGTTAGGTACGAAACCTTGTTCTGAACCAGCATGCACAATGATAATTCTTTGTCCTTTCGACAGGTTTCTCTTTAAAGGTGGTCCATCTTTATTACCCCATCCTTTGTTTTGCACATGATTAGTTAAGATGTAGCTCTCATCTGTATATACGATACACCGATTTTCTTGACGGTATCTGAGTAAATTTTTTAGGTAGGAAAATCGTAGTTTTTGGATGTCATGCCGCTCTACAAGAACACGTCTGTTATCCACAGTTTTTAGCCATTTGTATCCCAACTTTAACAAAGCTGTACGCAGAGTCGAAATACTTCCGTCATAGTTAAGTTTATCTTGAAATATTCTTTTCAACTTTAGCAAGGTATACCTACCTTGATAAAGTTGAAAAGAATATACTCGCGATGTTCTAAATGGTAATTTTGAATAGTGGAACGTATAACATCAACGTTAAAGTTGTCTAATTCTAACTTTTTTAAACGTTTTTTACGGTCTTTATGCGGAGATTTAAATTTAGAGTCAGGTTCTTTTCCTTCAGCCAATATATTAGTAATTGTTCTCTGATACTCCCACTGCCATTGCTGTTCTTTTCCGTACGCTATTTAAATGTTCACTTAATTTCGATATTAAAATTGGACTTGCACTGCAAACTGGATCACTTACTAGTTCCAATATATCTCTCGCATCTATTTTCAGAAATTCGTAAAGGGTTTTCCAATAAGAAGTGTTATTTTAGTATTTAAAGAAAAATGCAATTTTTTAAGATAAATAATCGGCTGTTTATTTTATAATAAAGAGGAAGGTATGCCGTTAATAATGGAAGATAACATCAGCCAAATGGCTACCACGACCACGCTTTCAGGACCATATCCTTTTAATGAAATTTTGTAACCAAATCGCAAAGTGGCTGCCCTATGTCCTCGATAGCCTCACGAATTCCATCTTTGAGGTCTTGAATCGGCGCTGGGCTGTTGGCGTAGACCTTATATTTCACGTGGCCCCAAATGAAGATGTCGCAAGGTGTTAAATCACAAGATCTCGGTGGCCAATTGTGATCACCTCTTCGAGAGATAACACGGTCAGGAAACTTTTCCCATAAAAGAGCAATGGTTTCGTTGCTTGTGTGGCACGGAGCGCCGTCTTGTTGAAAGTGAACGTTGTCCAGATCAATACCATCCAACTCCGGCCATAAAAAATCATTAATCATATCTCGATAGCGCAATCCATTCACCGTAAGTGTTGATCCAACCTCATTTTCGAAAAAGTAAGGTCCAATGATCCCGCCGGACCATAAACCGCACCAAACAGTCACACGTTGAGGATGGAGAGGCTTCTCAACAATAACTCTTGGGTTTTCCGAGCCCCAGATGCGACAATTTTGCTTGTTGACGTAGCCTCCTAGGTGGAAATGGGCCTCATCAGTCAAGATGATTTTTCGATGGAATTCCGGATCATTTTCATGCATTTCAAGTACCCAATTAGCAAAGACACGACGTTGTTGATGATCGGCCGGCTTGAGTTCTTGTGTTAACTGAACTTTATAAGCCTTAAGATCCAAGTCCTTATGCAAAATACGGTGTAATGACGTTTGTGGAATGGCCAATTCCAAAGAACGACGAGGAATGGACAAACCTGCGTTTTCTTCAACACTTTGGGCTACATCAGCAATATTCTCAGTTGTTTTTGAGCGACGTGCACGGGTTTTATTCTTCACATCACTAACTTGTCCCAACAGTTCGAATTTTTCAACCAATTTCTGTATTGCGGTCCGACAAGGTGCTTCACGACGACCAAAAAATGCTTTAGTTTTGCGAACTGTGACTGCAAGATTTTCACAATTTTTTTAGTGAATTTTAATAATTTCAATGCGTTGTTGAAGTGTGTATCGTTCCATTTTTAGTAATGGCGTAGTTTCTACTTGTCAAATGTCAAAAAATAAAAAGCTTCAAAGGTGACAGCTACCGAAATACCGGGTGATTCAAAATAACACCTCTTGTTGGAAAACCCTTTTTACCTTAGCAATGGTTTCTCGAGTCTAAGATAATACGTAAACGTCAACAAGGATATATTTTTTCGTATATAGAATCATAATAAATATTAATTATATCTAAATTTAAAAAATATTTACCTGACTCCTTAAACATTTTCTCCGTGAAGAACTAGACATTTTCGTAAACGACTGTACCCTTAAGAAAAAGCGATAAGAACACGTCTTGCTCGGACGACGACTGCTGCGTCACTGCACACGAATAAAAGTTGTATATTTACAAGCCCACGCACACATAGCGCCGCGCGCACAACTGAGTTGAACTATCTATAATCAGTTACATGAATCATAAAACATCGAATTCAGTTTGTAAATTTTAGGTATACGTACAATTTTCACTTGTTTTGTTAAGAGTGTACTGACCTCCAATGTCCAGCAGTCCAGCGCAGATCATGTTCTCGGTAACAAACAGATTTGCATGAATTAAATAGCGTTGTCGGCAGATAGCTCTATTTACAATCCGGACAGACACTTGATTGAGCACGTTCGACGACTGCGCCACATTTGCCTGCTCGACAATATCGAAATAATAGGGGTTAAAGTATGAAATTGCCGTTGTACTCGTATAGTAATCATAGGTCTTTACCTATGAAATTGCCGTTTTGTATGCAATAAGTGAAAGTACTTATTTTTTCAAACTTTTTTATTTCTGTTATTCGAAGTAATCACCCATGCAATCGACGTATCTTTGCCAACGCATTGGCAGTTTATTGATGAACTTCTTGTAAAAATCTGCTGGACGGGAGGCAACAAACCCTTCAAAGGCATTTTGTACTGCCTCTCGGGAATTGAATTTTTTACCCACTAAAAAGTTGTCTAAATTTTGGAAAAAGTAATAGTCGGTAGGTGCAAGGTCTATTATATCTATAAGGTAAAGACGTATTATTAGGACGTCAAACGCAACTATGTAAAAAAATATTTGTGGAAGTTAGGAGCCCAAACCAGGATAACCAGTGCTATGGACTAATGACGTCTAGGAATCGAATACCTATCACTCTTTTAAAACGTTAAAAAATGCAGACAAACTCACCCTCGTCCTCCCCCAGCCAACAACAACTACCGTTCCGTTATCAGCCACGGTGTTCCCCTGGAGGGGGATGCGGGCCCTCTGCGAGCGGGTATTCAGTCGTAAATTAGACCTCAAGACCATAACAGCCACATCGTTATCAACTGTGGCATGGTTGTATCCGTGATGGATGATAATTGTTGATGCCCGGTGAACTCTACCAGCTAAAACACAATTAACAAGATTCTTTAATATACAATATGCCTATTATAATAAATAGTTGTGTATTGACTGCACGGATGGCGTAGTGCTTTAAGTGGTCGCCACGCCGCTTACTACTACGCTAAATGTTGTGGGTCCGATCCCCACATGGGACGACACTTTGTGTGATCCACAAATCGTTGTTCTGAGTCTGGGTGTTCTCTGTGTCCGTTTCATGTATGTTTGTAAAGTCTCCCGCGATACAGGGTATATTCCTAATGCGGGAGTTGTCTTTTTTAAAGAGAAAGATAAGTTCTAATATATTACAGAAACTCTGCGGCAAAATCTACTTAAAAATATATCAAGAATCTCTGTAATATTCTTAGCATTAAGAACCTGTTTCTGTTATTTTTAATATATACGTATAGTGAAATGATTGGTCTGTAATATAGTTTATTGTTACTCCATGTTTAATGATCTTCATGACGGTTATTCTTTCGGAAATAAATTCTTTGCTTCTAGCATAGTATGTGTACAGTTTATATTGTTGCTACAACCGGGTTCGGGTCAGATGATCTTACATATGTGTATAAGGGATAATAAATGGAAGATTCTATGACCAGGCAACATAATAAAGAATTAAGCCGTCGCGGGACGTATGGCGTAACTTTACAAGCCAATTGCCCGTCAATGCGGAGGCGCATTCAATGTTCCATATCAATAATAAAAGTCGTAAACTCTGAAGACTTAACCTTTTTTCTTTTTTTAAAACTACAACTCTCGCACTAGCAATATATCATGTGTCGCGGTGGAGTTTACAAACATACATTAAACGGACACAAAGAACACCCAGATTCAGACCCAGCCAAAATGCTACATTTAACATTTAGATTAATTAATTATTTTAAATAAGATGTTAAAAGCTTTACCTTCATTTAGAAACGTAGCTTCTGCTCGTATAGAGAATAATGAAGCACGTAGAGGTCTGCCGGTACTGTAATCAATATTTTTTAGTTATTCGGGTACTAAGTACGTACTTAGTACGCCATCCCATATTTATTAGAGTTAATAATACGAGTATTACTCTAATAAATATGGCGAAAGTGCTGTTGCGCCATAGGAGTAAATGGTTCGATTGCATGAAATGTGGAGGACAGCGACATCTAGTTTCAACTATTAAGATTGTGGATTCCTAGTATTGATTGTTTGTAAATACAGTGAAATAAAGTAATTAACCGACGACTTTTATTTTTTATGTACCCCGCTCGTAACAGTACATATTTATTTGGAATTCTTTAATATCTATTGAATAAATGTTACTGATAATCTTATTACAATCGGAATAATAGAGTATATATTATGTTTGAGAAATGTATAGAGCATTTGATGTGTGCATGAAATGTTATTGCGCTACATGCTGCTTTAAACTTTACTGTATCGTTATAAGGTGAAAATGATTTATTTTAAAAACTTATAAATATAATGTTTTTCAAGATCCTTATATACATATTTCGCAGAATATGGTAAATAGTTATCAATTGTCTTCGTCATTACGATAATCTGTTACGTCACAGTAACATTTTCCTCATTACAATTGAGTGTATTTGTTTTATAAATACTTCAAAGTAGGCAATGTGTTATCGTTAGTCGATAATTTGTCATAAATTAAAATTGCCATATAGTAAAAGTTATTGCCAAACAAGAAATCTTTGAATCGGTACATTTAGTTTGTTTACGTGAACCTTTCCGTTATTTTTTCTTTGTTTTGTATTATCTTTAAAAACTCATAAATGTACAGACTTGACATTTCACTCGGTAACTGTTTGCAGATCAAGGAATACTCTTTATCAACCCTGAATGCTCTAATTTAATTAAACTAAAAATAGAATGGCACTTGTGCCACTATGCTTCCTTGTGGCACTCCATTTTTTATAAGGAAGACGCAGCTTTTTGTAACTACATGTCTACCTTCAAAAATAACTATTTTGATGCATTGCAAATGATCTTGGAAACAACTTTTGCTTTAATCACATATCTATACCGTAATTTCCTAATAATATGTAGCAACTCGTTATTTACAAAGTCGTATGCTTTTGTCAGGTTCAATGTGTTACATCAACCGTCTGGTATCCAACTTCAATCCATAAATTGGATATCAGCGATGGTTGCTGTCCGATTCTTATTAAAGCTATTCTGTTCAGATTTTAAATGCAGATTTTTAAAACGTTTTTTGGCAATAACTTTTGCATGCATGATTGTTTCAAAGTATGGTTAGATTTATAATATGATTTAGTGACCTAATATTCTTCTAGAAGATACTGTAGATGTATATTTGTTTAAAGTTGAACATAACCGGTACGTCTTGCAAATTTTAAGAGGTTTATTAACTACTTTTAAGTTTACAGATCTATCAGTTCTAGCAGTATCTAGCAGTGTGGAAAAAATTACGTAACTATTTTTGCGTACTAAAGAATGTGTATATTGCGCAGAAGAATTTTTGCGCTGAATTGTAGAATTGAAAGTAATATTTCATGGTAGTAACTATGAAACTTACTTCATTTCAACGAAGCAGTGAGCTGCCGAGAGAATGTGCCGTATGGTCAATATTGAACCCCCGCAGACAAACTGCCCACTATTTAGGATCTGTAAACATTTTTAGTATTTTTTATATACACACACTTTTTAAATTTTCCGTAACTTTGTATTAGTTTATTTAAACATATCAAATTATTGTGTTAATTATCACGCAGTGTATAATATGGAGGAGAAGATTTTTCTACTGCAGGTATTATTTGCTTAAATTAAGATTCCGAATACAACTTTCTGTAAACTAATATTACTTGACACAATATTTTTTTTATTTAAATATACTTATATATATTTTAAAACAACTCCCGCACTAGGAAATAAATCCTGTGTCGCGGGGCACTTTACAAACATCCATGAAACGGACACAAAGAACACCCAAATTCAGAACGACAATTTGTGGATCTCACAAAGTGTCGTCCCATGTGGGGATCGGACCCACAACACTCAGGAAACGGCGTGGCGACCGCTTAATGTAAATAATACTTCACATCACACATCAACAGCCTTTAATAGTCCACTGCTGGACATAGGCCTGGCCTTATAACGGAGGTTTTGGCCTACTATGCCACGCTGGCCAGACGGGTTGGTATAGGGTTTGTGTCAAGTTTTCCTTCTCTTTGCAGTGCTGTTGTAATACTTACATACATAGAAACAGTAATATACCAAGGAGAAGGCAGTACTTAAGGAAATTACCTGTACAGTAAAAGGGAAGCTTTCTATATTCGTTGGCGAGCCCCCGATAATTCGGGTATCGATAGCGGGTGGTAACGGTGCAAACAACACGGCAGTGAGGTTGAAATCTCCTGCTTTCTTATCATCCTGTATTTCTCTCGCTCCACCTGAATATGGAATTACTCTTTAAGGGTTTTGTGAACATAATCGTAAATGTATCTCAAAAGATTTGAATGATTTAGTTACGTTAAGGCTCTGTGTTGATGTGGACAATGTTTACGTCATACTTCCGCTTTCCCAGTGGGGTTTCCTAACCTAGTTAGTATTTAGAAGAAAAAGTTTAAAAACGCCGCTAAAATACTAGATCAATTTGTATTTAATTATTTATAATTTCTATTTTTTATTTTGTTATTTTCGAAAAATGATTTAACAGCCCACTTTAAGTTTAATTTATCAATTCCAAAAGATGTTCGAATTTCAATAAAAAAAAATAGGAATTTTCCTTAAATTGTCAGCACTTTACTTGATAAAGGGACCACAGGATAGGAAAACACCTTTCTGTAACACCCTGAGACACTTAGCAGAAATAGGCTCAGAACAATGGCGAATTCGTAGTTGAGTATATCTAATTGGAGCGTCTTAAAATGTCATTCATAGGAAACTAATTCTAGTAAATAACTACGTTTTTTTGTACCTATCGTGTAGGTCAGTAAAACCCCAAGAAAATATAGAAAAATATTATAAGCTTATTTGATTCTTTTAATTTCATTTATCAGTTTAGTGTTAACATTTTACAGCCATGTTTGACAAGTAGTGGAAATACTGTCCAATAAAGTATCATTAAGTAATATGGTAATCATTTCAATTTTATAATTCTAAGTACTGAATCAAAAAAGAATGTAGTTTGTGGTTAATTAATAAATGCATTATTTACTAATTAAAAAAGCCTGTAGTGGAATATAAGGAAGTAAAAAAAAAAGTAGCAACTGCAAGCTGAAAAAGAGCAAAGGTTTTTTGACTTCTTTGATAGAGGAGACATCCTAATGGTTACCAAAAATGCCCAAGCAAAATCCTTGAATCGCATCTATTTCGACCCTAACACCATATCTCTTGTTAGTAACCAGTTAAGGAACTGGTTATTAGAAAAACTTTTTGCTTTTTTTTTACTCGCTGAGGTGACCCATATGTTCACTTGCCGTCTATATAATAAAAAATGCCATGCTCCTTTTCTCTTACATTTATATATTTTTCAATGAATTACTTGGTTCCATTGGTGCGCCCATTAACTGCCCTTCACTAATCAATTTAATCTGTCCGTGTAAAGATTATCTTTAAGAAATACGAGTACCTAACGATAAGGCCACTATTCGTACCTACCTACTTCATTTCTTTTGTAAAATGTTAATACATCCAATCATACACCAGGGATTGTACTCCATACTTCCATACTTATATTTTAAATAGTGAGTTTGTTTGTTAAACTGCTAAACTGATTTTAAAATTCTTTCACCAATGAAAAGTTATATTATCAGCGAATAACATAGGCTACATTTTACCGCGATAACCAACATACGGGCGGAGCCGCGGGCAAAAGCATGTATAAACTATTGTAATTGAACTTATAATTACAGTAACAGAGAGAGAGAGAGAGCAATCTCTAAAGAACTAAGCTTTAAAACTCTTTCATTAACATTGTCTTTCTCTGGTTAAAGACTTTTACTTTTAAATAAATTCGGTTTAATCTTCCCATTTAGAAGGCTCTGACTTCCCGACACCGGCCAGTTCGAGCTATTGTTATGTAAACCTGATCTGCTATGCTATTACCTACATTCCCCCTTCCATTTCATCCCCATCACTTGGATAATTGGCACTCCGCCACTGTGCCTACAACTAATCTCATGAACTAGTAATCGTCTGCGGTATTTCCGGACCGATACGACCTTTAAGAAAAGAGCGTACTCCTTCCTAACAGGCCGGCAACGCACTTGTAACTCCTGAGTTGCAGACGTTTATGGGCGGCAGTAGTCACTTTCCATCAGGTGCTCTATTCCAACATTTCCTATCATACTGCGTTCTCAATTTGCCGATCTTATTCTTAAAATGCCTGATAGACAGTAATAGGCTTGCAACCTATTACTTAAGTGATTCTGATGACATTCTGATTCTGTTAAAATTATAGTCAGGAAAATATGGGCGTTTTTAATGCCTCTGCTTACCTCTATGTCTGTCTTAATCTATGAATGTAAATAAAAACAGATTTCTATTCAAATTCAATTTTCGAGTTGAATTTTAAGTTACAATTATTATCCCTACATCTTTTTTTGTATTCAAACCAGCAACAAACACAATAAATAAAAAAAAGATTACTTACAACTTATTATCGCTATTAATATAATAGCAACACACAACATATTTGTTTGTACGTCTCACACTTAATGTATTATAGAACCTTATCAATAATGATAAAGTATTTTATCGGCATCACTCTATACGATGCGGAAAATTGTGACAACAATGTGTACGCAAAATTGATAAAACACAACAGTTTTTAGATAACATAGATGACTAAATAATGACCAATTAATCTATCGGTAATTGTCGATGAACCGATTGATGTGTGATAAAAATATATGGACACACTCATATGGTGTAAATATACATACAAACTCATACACATCCATATACACACATACACTCATTTCTTTATCCCCGAAGGGGTAGACAGAGGGGAATTAAAACATCCACACTATGCCAAAGAAAAACATACTTTACGTTCGCCTGGTGACGGATTAAGAACACAGAATGTCACCATCCCTATTCAATCCGTGGGCGTCGTAAGAGCCAACTAAAACCGTTACGCACTACGTCCGATCCGAATCCGTCAAAATACGGATCTAGAAATCTCGGATAATGCTTTTCACACCGATTTTTCTTTACTTTACTAATAATAGAAGAGAAAGAGCGTATAAATAAAACTCTCGATGTATTTGGTGGTTTAATATACATTTACATAAATGTCAAAAATACTTATATTTAGGTATAAATTAATTATTAATAATTACTAATCAATGGCACTGTACGGTGCACGTACAGTGCCATTGACCGGCCAACCCCTGTGTACAGCCGTCTCGTTGCGACGCTGGGTCCACCCAGATTAGGCAAAAGTCGCCCAAGGGCAGATGCAGCGCTAACCAGCTTTGGAGCAAGCTGTCGGAAGTGCTCAACACAAGAAACACTCCTAGCGTAGCGGCAATTGCAAAACACAGTGTCGGCCAGCCTCCATGATCGCCGAGGATCAATAGTATCGAGTACCGAGTATCAAGTAAGAGAGATAAGAGCCATCTCGGAGAAGCTAGCACCTCTTGAAAACTTAAGAAATGAGATCATGCTGTAGCGGATGGAATTTTCTGACCTTAAATCGTCTATGAGCTAAACGTCATTAGCATTCAGGTTCGCCGATAATACTGTTACTACTGACAGTTTTTTAGAAGCGATGATTTCTTAATGTGAAGGAAATTGGCATAGCCCTGAATGTTGTTAACCCATACTAAAAGGTGATAACACTAATACCCCAGCGCGTCAACCTAAAAGCTAAATATAAAACGTGTCATAAAATGAATGTAGTCATCACTATTGTGACTGATATTCATGCAAATGTTGCCTTGTGTGGATAGAGGTACTGTCCGTCTCATAACGCACGCATGATTTGGTCACAGAAGCCAGATTATCCGAAACCTAAAAGATGAAATCTCTTCTGCGATAAAATCTTCAATAGAGAAGTTCAAAAATGACAAAATCAACGATTATCCAGAATGTACGAAATTGTTAAATGAGCAGTATTAAGACAAGAAGATGCGTCTTAATGATACTATTGTCGACATTGAAAGCAACCGTTAACGTATTAACAATGTTCCATTGAACTGCTTAAATGCATACGCCAAATGTAATATTGAGATCAAATAAACCCTTAAAACATACCTTATACCATTTTTTCTATCAATCTACGCGAATAAACCAAAGCAGTAGAAAATTGATTAACCTCAGTCAACAGTCATCTTGTTGCTAAATTCCACAAATTAATAAGTGTAAACGATGGACCTCGCATATTAGCATTCAAATTGTGAGTATCTCGTACCCACGATGCTGTACTAGCTGCAGTAAATAAGTTTAGAAAAAAAAACACTAGAGAAATGCTCTCCACTACTCATGTAGGCATTTGAAGCCCTCGATTACCAGTTTTTTACGAACATTTCATCATCATCATCATCAACAGCTTTTAATAGTCCATTGCTGGATATAGCCCTCTCCTTAGAAATGAGGTTTTGGCCTTCTGTACCATTCTGGCCAGACGGTTTGGTTGTACAAACATTTAACACCAAGTAATATATACTTGGATACTGCTGTACAGAAGAGGGCAAAAGAATTGTCGTGTAAGTTCTTGGAGCCACCTGACGGGAGAGTCTATGTGGGCAAAGATGAAAGTCATAGCTAGATGCCTTGAATATTTGCCCGCATAGAGTGGATAATAGATGGAAATATCTATCAGAGTTGTGTTAAAACTGATGATATTTATTTACAGAACGTACAAGGCTTGAGAACTAGAAGTAATGTTTTGTATAAGAATGTTTTTAATTCCATTTATAAGATTCTTATTTTACGGAGACATTGTTGAATATGAGCATTTGGAGCGCTGAGTTGATTGATAATAATCAATATGTAGTTTTAAACTAAGACCGATCATGTTTATGGACTATCTAACAGTTTCTGGAGGCGTTATGATATATTACAGTAAAGAATTGATAAACGCCCTCCCCTCTGTGTAACCCCTAGTCTCTCTACAGGTAAAATGAAAAAAAAGTTTTACAAATTCAAAAACTGTTTTATAACTGACATGTCTTATATTAAGTTTAAAAACCGATCAAGTATAACAAACAACATTATAAATTTATTTATCCTACAATTAAATATCTTTCGATCTAGACATTTGTACATAATAACAATACAAGCTTACACTAATACTAATTTAACCTAAAATATGTTTACAGTTTCATACACAACATCTACATTCCGCATAATTTAATTCATCATTATCACATAAAAGTAATCTAATCTAATCATCATTTTCTAGTACTTTTACCAAATCTATTTAGGTTCGGTAGAATGTGTAACATTGCACAAGGTTTTGACGGATTTCTTTCTCATGTCTGACGCCAATATTTAACAGTGTTAATGGATTTTCAGAGGGAACCAAGGATGATGAACAAACTCGAAATCGACTGCAGTTGCATTGCATGTAACATACATTACAGTAAATAATGTTCAAAATGCCGTATCGACTTGGTACGCACATGTAATGACACTAAAATAAAACATTTAAAAACAACTCTTAGGGATATATTCCTGTGACGTGGGGGACTTTACAAACATACATGAAACGGACACAAAGAACACCTAGACTCAGAACAACAATCATATGGATCACACAATATGTCGTCCCATGTACAGGAAGCGGCGTGGCGATCGCTCAAACCACTACGCCATCCGTGCAATCTAATTTATACATCTTATTAATAGTTTAAGAAAATTCGTTGTACACCTTTTTAAACTAATATAGCGAATATATTTTTAAATACATTCAAATAATACATAAACTAAACACAAAACAAACGATCCTGCTTATCACACAATTTTTTATCCTGGGTGGGAATCGAACCCACAAACTCCGGCTTAGCAGTCAAGTTCACCAATTACTAGACCAACAGGCCCGAATCATCTCTATACAAGTCGTCACATTGAGATTTTATTTACAACGATACCTATGCCTAAAAACCAGTTTTTTTGCCTATCTGTCTGACTATTTGATCCGGATATTCTAAACAGCTGGACCAATTTGAGAATATTTTATATGTCTATATAAGGAGTAACTTAGGCTATTTTTCCCTCTCAGAAAACCCTTTAAAATATTGCCCAATCCGGGCATCGAACCCACTAAGGCAGCGCTTTTCAAATTCCACGCAAACGCAGTCGCGGGTACCAGCTAGTCTTTAATATATTGCCTAGCAACTTGAAACCACAGGATATAAATACATTTATCTCTCAATTAAAAAATTTCCTGCTTAAAAAATTTAATTATAACAAATTCGACTTTATCACTGTCAATTTGTAGTAGGTATGTTTTGTTTATTCTTTATAACTCTTGTTTATTCTTTCTGGCATCAAGTAGGTAGTTTGACTTTGAATATTTAACATTCATTCTATAGTAATCAATGATAATAACAATATATGTTATTATGTTTAAATTACACGCATGTATAGAATTGAAAATTTGCACACCCATAGCGGTAAAGTGTACAGTGAATCTGTTTATAAATTTAATACCATGTAATTCATACCTGTGTTATGCAAATACAATCTAAATAGAATAAACGCCAATTATTTATTTAAAATTATTACAAATAGTAATTATTTCGTGAATTAGATCGTGCGAACGAAGGAGATGGCGGAGCGGGACCGGGAGAACTTTAGAGCTCTCTGGGCCAGGAACGGGCCAGGTGCCGCAGATGACTCACGTGCCGGAGGTCGCAGAACGACTTCCGTCCTCCATAAGCGCAGGCCTAGGGGTGACAAGAGAGGCCTGTCATCTGTCGCCCTAGCAGAAGCAGACCGGGGTGGCGGCGAGACGCCGTAGATGGCCCGAGGTACGTCGGGGTACCAGGGATTTACTTTCTAGGGTACACCTGGTTCCCCGGCTACTGGTACGTGGCGTGCGGTTTTTGATCGGTTCGAGTCTGACATAGCCACCGGTGGGTGGTATCCGAGGGGATTTCCACACAGCAAAAAAAAGGGGCAAACAAGCAGATAGATCACCTGATGCTGACTACCACCGCCCATGGAAACTTACAACTTAAGAGCCACACGTGCGTTTCCGCCTTTTAAGTCCCCTCAGAAATAAGGGTATTTGGGTTTCGGCTTCTAGTAATTTTCAGCAATCAAAATATTACGTATGGTGTTTCAGTTTATGACACCAACTGGATGCTTAACATGACAAATATAAGAGGCACGAGCAGTGATAAGCTCATGGCCTGGTTTCTTGCGGAACCGTTATACCTTGCCACCTGGAACAAAAGAAAAAAATGAATTTACTACATTGTTGAATTTTACATTATTGTTCTAGGACATTCTATTGAGCTATCTAGATCCTGGTCTGGAACTTGTAAGGTTCATAATAAGAGGGAGAGTAATGCTTCGGCTTACGGGCCGGCCCGTCTGGAGTGACACCGATGTGTGTGTGTGTGTGTGTGTGTGTGTGTGTGTGTGTGTGTGTGTGTGTGTGTGTGTAGGTGAATGGGGGGGTGGGAAGGGGGTGTTCATGTGTGTGAGAGAGAGAAACCGGTATTAAGCGATTCATTCGTTGCTATTCACCGAGTGATAGTGAACCCTGCCTTCCCTCCTTTAATGAAATGATATTAATTTCTGTAAGTTTACAGAAATTAATATCATTTTCTGATCTTTTCAGATATTTTTTAAAACTCACTCTGGGAAGAAACGCCGAAACAAACCATAGAGGTATCTTTTTTTAGTCAGTAAACAAAGTTGTAGAAAACTGTGCGAGTGCAGTGTAGGGTCTGGGTAGGCCTTTTGAAGAAAGGGCCATAGTTTTGAGTCGGCCTGTCCATACAGACGGCATACGAGCCCCAGCCATCGTGTAGCCTAACCGATGATCAACGACCCGAAGCGCGACACTACCGGCAGCAGGACATTTAAGTGGGCCGAGTAAACACTTAAAACCACCAGAAAGTTTCTAAATATGAACTAATATTATAAGCTTCCGCTATACTTACATTTACAATTATAAAAAAAAAACTATAGAATTCAAGTTCAATGGAACCATAAACAAATTTAAAAAAAAACGAAAAACAAGAATACAATAAATGTCCATCACTTTGTAGCATAACAACAATGATAGGAAATGATATTTAAAGCGGGAGTGAAGAATACCGTACATAAATGGCAGGCAAATTTGTCATCTAAAAAATCTCTGATGCTGACGGGTCTGTTGGTCTCGTGGTAAGTGGCCCTGACTGTTAAGCCGGAGGTCGTGGGTTCGATTCCCAGATAGATCAAAAAAGTTGTGTCATGATCACAATTTCTAATTGTAATTTACTTTCAATATGTATGTGTTTATTTATATACATATATTATAAATAAATTACACCGGTGACGGATTAAGAATACGAAGCGTCACCACCCCTATTCATCCCGTGGGTAGCCTACTAAGGGAGACAACTCTGCACGACAGCGTCACTGCTAAGAGAAGGAAAACTTGACTCAAACCATATACCAACCCGTCTGGCCAGCGTGGTATAGTAGGCCGAAACCTCGTTTCTAAGGAGAGGCCTATGTCCAGCACTGGACTATTAGAGGCTGTTGTTGTCATGTGATAATGTATTTAGAAATATATTCTGGTGGATATTCCAACACACCACACGCTTGTCTCTTCTGAGTTCACTTAGTTACCACCAGCACCATATTTGTCCCGTTTACCATAAAAATAAATGAAACCATGTATTTTAATGAAACCGGCAAAACATACATAAGGTACTTACCGTTTGATTGATCCACGTGCTGTACATGGACACTCTGGCGTACACTCCCGGGAACTGAGGATGAGCACAACTAGCGCCCCAGGATGTAACGCCCACGACCACACCTTTGTACATTAGAGGACCTCCGGAATCACCCTGGCATGTATCAGCCCCTGGAATAATAATATTGAAGTAATTTGGATAAAATAACATATATTATAGTTAGTGTATTAATATAGCCTTGACGGGCCTGTTGCCCCAGTGGTTAGTGGCCCTGACTGCCATTCGATTCCCACCTAGGACAAATATTATGTGATGAGCACGATCATTTGTTCTGTGTCTGGGTGTAGGAAATGTATCTATAATATTTATGTATCTATTTAGAAATTTGGTATGTTTATTGTTTATCAGCAGTCTTGTTACCATAATACAAGCTCTGACTAGCTAGGGAAATGTTTGAACTTTGAGGTTATTATTATGATGACTGATTCCGTGTGGTGTCGGAATAAGAATACAGAGTGTTACCACCACTGTTCATCCATCATTGGGTGTAGTGACTGTGATGACAAGAGCCGACTAAGAAAGAATATTTTTTTGACTGCACGGATGGCGTAGTGGTTTAAGCGGTCACCTCGCCGCTTCCTACCTGTGCTGGGTGTTGTGGGATCGATCCCACATGGGACAAAACCTTGTGTGATCCACAAATTGTTGTTATGAGCCTGGGTGTCCTCTATGTCCGTTTCATTTATGTTTGTAAAGTCCTCCGCGACACATGATTTATTCCTAGTGAGAAGTTGTCTTTTTTAAAATAAAATACGCAAGATAACAGCACTACAAAGAGAAGGAAACCTTAAAACAGCCCTACACCAACCCGTCTGGCCAGCGTGGTATAGTAGGCCAAAACCTCCTTTCTAAGCAGAGGCCTATGTACAGCATTGGCCTATTAAAAGCTGTTAATGATGATGATGAAAATATAAAATAACGACGCAAAGACATCATTTGCCCAACATTTGACACAAGCGTCGTTAGTTTCTAATAACGTAATCTTAGCTCTATTTCAGCTGTAATCACATTTTTTTATGATATCAAACGAGCAGACGGGTCCCCTGATGGTAAGTAAGAACCGCCTCTCAGAGACACCAGCAACTTATAAGACTCTTGAGTGCCCCTTGCCTCCCAAGAAATTAAATACAATTCTGCAATTGGGAGGTTAAGGAGTTGGGTTTCTGGTATCAGTCAGGTCATTCACTCAGCAGCCTATGTGACGAAACATAAATCTATACATATAAATAAAATTGAAGTGTCTGTTTGTAATATCAAAATTATAGGTTTTTTCATGCTCACAAGGTTATTTTGCACGAACATATGCCTAAAAACCAGTTTAAATATTTTTTGTCTGTTTGTTTCGGATAATCTTCAATACGGCTGCATCTATTTTGATAATATTTTACTGTCAGGTAGCTATCTATAAAAGGACTAACTTAGGCTATTTCTCCTACCAGAAAAACCCTATTAAATTTTGTCCGGTCCGAGAATCGAATTCGAGGCCTCATGGACCACAGTCCATGAGACTGAGTCTATGACTACACCACTAAGGCAGCGCTTTTCGAATTCCACGCGAACAAAGTCGCGTATACCAGCTAGTTATAACATAAATCTTCAACAAAAGTGTACTGACCTCCAATATCCAACAGTCCAGCGCAGATCATGTTTTCAGTGACTACCATTGGTATGTTGAGCTGGCTTCCGAGCACTGCGTAGCGTTGTCGGCAGATACCTCGATTTATCGTCCGGATAGTCACTTCATTGAGTACGTTCGATACTCCCGGCACTTCTACCTGTTAAATTACGGTTAAAGACATTTATTTTTCTCAAAAGATTACAATTAATCACTTGCAGAGAAAAATACAATACTAAACATAAATATATTACTTAATTACTTAATTAGCGTAGTTAGTTAGTAAGGTAGTTGTGAAAAGTTTTTTGTGAGTCGGGTAGATTAAATACTTTCTATACAGCTGTGAGTTCAAGAATGTTGGTGCACAAAACATGTTTGTTAAGGCCTATGACTTAGTGACACGTACCTGTAGATTGATGTCAAACATTTTATTTATCATTATAGTGACACCAGCAATGTAATATGTTTTATAAGTAAATAAAATGTTATATATTATATAATTATATAAGCGGAGTGTACTGCTTTTATGTATATTTAGACTAATTGATATATTTATCTATACAAATAAAATAAAATTAAAGTGTCTGTTTGCGATGTTAACATTATAGGTTTTTTACCTATGCCTAAAAACCAGTTTAAGTATATTTTGTCCGTCTGTTTGTTCTGGGTAATCTTCAAAACAGTTCTGGGTAATATTTAAAAATATATGAGTATGTTTATCAGCAGTCTGGTTACCATAATACAGGCTCTGTCTAGTTTGGAATCAGACGGCCGTGTGTGTGATGTGTTAAAAAAAAACCCGGTCCGGGAATCAAACCCTAGGCGTCAATCAATTAATAAAAAATCCCCGTTTTTATAACATTTTTTATTGATGCTCGGCTACTATTGGTCGTTGCATGATGTTATATAGCCTATAGCCTTTCTCGTTAAATGGGCAATCCAACACTAAAACAATCGAATCAGTAGTTCCTGAGATCAGCGCGTTCAAGTAAACAAACAAACAAACTCTTCAGCTTTATAATATCAGTATAGAAGTGTTTCGGACTTCTACTATAATGTGTCGGTTTCATCCCTTTTTTTTTTTTTTTCCGTGCGGAGATCCCCTCGGATACCACCTGTCGGTGGCATGTCGGACTCGAACCGACTAAAACCGCACGCCGTCTCGGGTACTAACAGCCGGGGAACCAGGTATACCCTAGAAAGGAAGTCCCTGGTGCCCCGACATACCTCGGGTCATCTACAGACGAGTAGACGACCCCCCCCCCCCCCCCGTGGGAACCCCATGTTCCCAGTGCTCCCTGGAAGCGAGCGCGCTTCGTAACGCGCTCGCAGCCACCCCGGCCTGCTTCTGCTAGGGTGACAGACGGTTTCATCCCCTAAGCATCGTTACTAAGCCCAATTTATTGTATCATATCATCGTCATCGTGACAAACAAAGTTCGTGTGGGATTTCCTAAAAACTGAAGAGTTCCATCAACATTATAGATCCATCATCAGAATAGCTCCAAAATGCCTAGTTTTATATTATCAATCAAACTACATATTCACTTTAATTTCATACCGATACAAGAATTAAATGTAGGTTGACGATTTTTACTAAGATTTGTTTTTAAAATCACCATAATCCTCCCCCAGCCAACAGCCACCACCGTAGTATCATCAGCCAGGGAGTCCTCCTGAAGGGGAATGCGGGCCTTCTGCACGCTATCACTCAGTTTTACACTAGAGCTGAGGACTACCACAGCCACGTCGTTATCAAATGTAGTATGGTTGTAGCCCTGGTGGACAATAATGGTCGCTATCGAGTGGACTGTACCCCCTAAAACACAATTAAAACTGATTTTAGAACAGGCATAAAGAAAAAAAAAATATAAATGTTGCACCACAAGTTAAGCGAGCGAACGGTTCACCTGACACCTGCAACTCAGAGTCACCAGTGCCTTGCTGATCTTTCAGTCCCTCCTTCCAGAATCAGGGGGAGAGAATCCGGAATCGGTTTATACTGCGGTAACCTAACTCAGTAAAAAGCAACAAAAGAACTGCTTAACACCGGTTTGCTTTAAGGCCGTGCTATCACTTCGGTCGAGCCTAGTCCAAATGTGCTGAAGCACGGCTTTTTTTTACATGGGGGTAAACGAGCATGCTGGTCACCTGATGATGATGTGTTACTACCGCTGCCCATGCACACCTGCAACGAGTGTGGTACCAACCTTTGAGGTGAGATTATGCTCTTTTTTTTAAAGTTTGAAGGTCGTGTGGGTCCGGCAACAATTGGTTCCACGGGTTGGTGAAAATGATCTCATCAACAACCTTTAATAGTCCATTGCTTTACATAAGCCTCTCCTTAAAAAGAAGGTCTGTCTCTCTAAAGACTCTCTACTGAGCCCGAAATCTTTCAGTTCGCACCTTCAATAGCGTAACATAAAATTAACGTTATATTTATATTCTAGTATTTATTTTAAGATTTAAGATATCTTTATTTCTCATAAGAATTTAAAATAATAATTCACTTACGTGAGAAAGTTAAGTTTTTATTTTATTATAACCTTTACTACTAGGTAGCTGCCCATATAAGGAGTAACTTAGGCTATTTTTCCTTTCAGAAAAACATTAAAAAATAATCCGGTCCGGGAATCGAACCCTATGCTTCATGGACTGCAGTAGCATACCGTACTACACCACTAAAGAAACGCTTTTCAAATTCCACGTGAACGGAGTTGCGGGTTCCAGCTAATCCATGATGTGGCGACTTCCACATAAATCAGAAAACATTCTTCAGAACCGTATAACCTTTATCTGCATCACCAATTTTGCCGTGATAAAAAGTGTTTTACCATCATCAACAGCCTTTAATAGTCAAATGCTGAACATAGGCCTCTCCTTAGACAGAAGGTTTTGGTCTACTATACCAGGCTGGCCAGACGTGTTGGTTTAGTGTTTATTTCAAGTTTGCCTTCTCTTTGCAGTGCTGTTGTAATGCGTAGTTTGAAAATGACCTAATATTAATTTATGAATTTGCATCAAATGTTTAAGAGTCTTACCAACATTTAAAAACGTGGATCCTGCTCGGATAGAGAATCGTGAAGAGCTGAGTGGTCCACCAGTATTTCTGTAATTAATATTCTTAAGATAAATTAAGCTACGTACCAAGTAACTTGGGCCTTGGTTGTCTTAAATAATTATGAGTTATATATATTTTGATGTATCTCATCATCAACAACCTTTATTAGACCACTGCTGCACATAGGCCTCTCCTTAGAGAGGAGGTTGGTATAGGGTTTGTGTCAAGTTTTCCTTCTTTTTGCAGTGCTGTTGTCCTGAGTAGTTTGTTCCCTTAGCCGGCTCGGCACGGAATTAATAGGGGTGGTTACATTCCGTATTCTACATCCGACACCTACACACACACATATTTATAAGGCAAGTAAATATTTGTTTGGGGGTAAAATCTTTGTAGATAAAAAACTATCTATTAAAACAAGACTATCTATTAAGTGTCGAAAGTCGAGTGGTTAAGGCATTGGACTTCCATCAAGAGGTCGTGGGGTTCGAATCCTGACCAGAACACTACCGACGTGAACCAGAGTGGGGTTCACGTCGGTAGTGTGTTCTAACACAAGCAATGTAGCTAAGCGGGAGGGGTTAACGGGAATACTAGTAATTTCGGTTGCTAGTAAGCCTTAAAAAAAAACTTTTAATGAATCATAATATGACAGCTTGGAGTTTAAAAATAAAGTTATGTAATTTATTGTGCTATTACGTTTTCACTCGTCAATCTTGATTATTTTTATAATTTTGAGTAATACAATTACACAATATGTCCTATGTCCTTTCAACCAGGAAGGAAGGAGAGGAAACTTTTATTGTGTAATATATACATCTAACATGTTTAGGGTAAAAGCCGGATAGTTGCCCCACTTTTCAAAAAAGCTTTATATTTTTTAAATATTTACTTGCTGAAAATTATACGATATGTATTTCATAACATAGGTCTTTTATCTTCTATTATAGCCTATTTTTGTTAACATAATTAACACTGGTTTTATTTAAAACCTGTTTTATTTGGCCTCTGAAAAAACGGATAGTTGCCTACTGTGGCGGATAGTAGCCTAGCGTGGAAAATCCTTCGAGGGATACTTGCCTCGTGCGAGGATAGTCACCTCGATCTATGTTTTTTGGGATAAAAATAAATTTATATCAATTTAATTAATCTTTATCATTTATTTATCAGTCTTCATAATTTAATGAGATCTTTTATTAAGTACACATGAAAATATTAATTAACATTATTAAATATTCTTCAGTTTTAATGCTTTAAAATATAAAAATATTATTCAAACTTAAGGTTATTATTAATCTTCTCTTCCTTAAAGCTTTTCCCTTATTATGTTTCATAAACTCTGCGGTATCAGATTCAGTTTCACTGCTAGTCTTATCAATATATTTTTTGGTGTTTTTATTTTTTTGCGGTTTTCCTTTTTTTTCTCAATGCTTTTCTTGTTACCAGCTAGTTTGTTTTTTACTGTCTAACGTTTTTCTTTTTCTCTGTGATAATTTTATTTGTTTTTTTTTATTTTTTCGGCTTTATCCTTCTTCTGGACTATTTTATCGTCAGAGTTTAAAATTTCTGCCGATTGTTTAGCTCTTTTAGTCATGCTAAGTGGTATTACAAGTGCTAAGCTATCTTCTGTCCAGCTGATGTGGCGTGGCACCACGGCTGGTTTTCGCTTGTACTTGCGTAGGCATTTTGCTTTCCTAAAATAAATATATAAAACAGTTAACTATTTATTTTGTTTAAAACAAGTTATAAGTCACAGTAAATTGGAAAAAAACAACAAAAGAAAAAAATACTGTGCTTGCTCGATGAAGAATTTACAGTCACTCTAGGGGCAACTATCCGCAAAAGTAAGTAGGGCGACTATCCTTTTTAATGCAGATACTTGCCCTTTTTATTTAAAAAATAAAAAAAAGCTATTGAGTAATAAAACATAATAAACATTGTAATTTAGACTCTAATGCATACAAAGAAACAAAAAGTTGACTGAAAGCACGATCAATAATAAAAATATTCAACTAAAATTACTTACCAAAATAAGATCAACGCCCGTCAGCATTTTACAGCGGAAGATTTTTGCTCACACGGACAAAACACGTTCGCCTACTCCGATTGCTTACATGGCACTGAGGCCTGTGGGGGGTCACTTCTTATTGTAGTAAAGCGCTAACATAACTAATACTCCTATCATAGTGTATTCAAAACCGGGGCAACTATCCGTCTGAGGCAACTATCCGGCTTTTACCCTACGGCTATCGGCCCATCCAGGTGCACAATAGCACATAGAACCTGAATAAGTAGCTCCGTATATGATCTTTAGTGTATTAAATGATAGACCCCATGTCGCAGTTGATATCCTTGTCAATGCACAGATATTCTAAACTATTTTAATATGTTCGATAAATGAAAAGTTTCTTTCTAAAACTTTTTACAGTGACATCATCAAATTTAATGCTGAGCAGTGATTTGAGGTAACCTCTTGAACACAGATTACGTTCACCCCAATGCGATATCAAGTTCAAACATCTATTGGCTTATCTCCCAAGCCCCGCCCTAGTATCAGATTCCACCAATAATAAAACGGGGAAGGTGTCTGTCTGACCGACTAAAAACCACCCCGGTGTTCCTCTGCTAGCTAACGGCGGGGGAGCGAGAATAGAATTGCATTCTGCCGCTACCCCCGTCGCCACAGGCAAAGGACCACTATCTAATAGCCACTATCCTTACAAATAATATAAAATGCGTGTGTGTATGTTTTTTTTTGTTTTTTTTTTACGGGTTAAGTACTCAAGCGGACATTGTGAAATTTTGCACACTTATGTTAGGGTACAGGAAACCTAAAGATACAAAATCGTCATTAAAACAAGCGAACGGACGGATATATCAAAATACAGCGAGTAAGTGGTATTTCACTGGAAGGAAGTAGAAACTTACATGTCAACGAAGCAATGAGCTGCAGAGAGGACGTGCCTTTTAGTCAACAATGAGCCCCCGCAGACAAGCTGTCTGTTATAAAGGACCTGAAAATATTTTTACCATTAAGAACATAAATTATTTATAATCGGCACAAGCCTTAGTTTTAGCATCGATTATACTTAAGTAAAAATTAGTTTTGCTCCAAATAAAAAAATGACGGGTCGGGACGCCTCAAGATTGAGACAAAATCAAATGCTTTCCCAAATATTAAAGATCACAAGATTTTACAAACCACCTCCAGAATCTGTCACAATATAGGGCAGTGTGATATATATATATATATCATCAACAGCCTTTAATAGTCCACTGCTGGACATAAGCCTCTCCTTAGAAAGGAGGTTTTGGCCTACTATACCACGCTGGCCTTGGCTAGTATTATATATATATATATATATATATATATATATATATATATATAATACTACGTACGCGACTGCAGTCCACGAGGCCTTGGGTTCGATGCCCGGACCGAGCAAAATTATAGGGATTTTCTGAGAGGAATCGTAGTCGCTTTCTTTAGTTTGAACTTAAAAAAAACAGACTAAATGCGTCTGTCTCCACTAATCTAGTAATATTGTGAAGCTGAAGAATTTGTTTGTTTTTTTCGTTGAACGCGTTAATCTCAGGAACTACTGGTTCGCATTAAAAAAAATTTTTGTGTTAGATAGCCCATTTATCGAGGAAAGCTATAGGCTATATAACATCACGCTACGTGACGACGAATAGGAGCTAAGCATCAATGAAAAATGATCCAAAAATGTTGAAAATTATCTTTCGAGACACACAAACTAGTTAGTTTCTTTTTCTCTTCTTCTTTTCAGAAAGAGAATACCAAAAGTAAATAAACAGACCTGTACAGTGAAAGGAAAGTTCTCTATGGCCGTGGTCGCGCCTCCGATGATCCGCGTGACGGCACCGGGCGGTAATGATTCAATTGCCACCGCGGAGATACTGAATTCCTCTGTCTCAGTTTCATTCTGTATCTCTCTCGCACCACCTGGATATAATATTACTCTTTATTGATTTTTCTTTAGAAAAATATCTCTGAAGGTTTTCTAATGAAAATTGGTAAGGCACGATAAATTCATTCGATTCCGTTCACAAATCTCTTCTTGGCGCATTACAGTTTTACAAAAAGAGACCACCGAGCCCCAGCCCTCTTCACCTGCTAGCATGGCAGTAATGATTGCTGGCGGAGACTGATCTCGTCCGATTCGATCGTCCAGGACCTGCTGTTCAGACAAGGGTAGTTCACCAGCGTATGCTGATTTGTTATATTTGTTCGACTTGTTATTCGACCATCCGTGTGGTGACGGATTCAGAATACAGAGTGTCACCACCCCTGTTCATCCCTGGGTGTCGTTAGAGCAGTAAGGGAGAAAACTACGCAGAACAACAGCACTGCAGAAAGAAGGAAAACTTGACACAAACCCTATACCAACCCGTTTGGCCAGCGTGACATAGTAGTAAAACCTCCTTTCTAAGGAGAGGCTTATATCCAGAATTGGACTATTAAAGGCTGTTCATGTGATGATGATGATGTGTTATTCGACATTAGAGTCATAAGATTTTTTGTATAGTTTATGATGGTTATTGTGTTTAGAAACGTTTACTTGAAAGATTTAACAAAAAAAATGCGTTACCAATATCTATCATTGTTTGGTCGTAAATGGGGCAGTTAGTTTAGGTTTTATACTGGTCAGATAATATTTGTTTCTCAATTTCTTAAGCGACACAGATAAAACTGTTATATTATAAAAGTGTGGCGATTTCTACATCCAACAAAGGTACTTCAATACCATGTAATGAAGACATAGCGAACTACGGAGTATAGAAAAATCCTGGTATCATATGGTATATAGAAATCTGGGTGGTCATAATTTACATAACTACAAAATAAATTTTGACTCTTTTCTCTTATCTTTAGTAGTCCTAGCAATATAAAACGATAAGTCACAGGTCATTCGTCCCCGCCATGTTTCATTTCAAGCACCTGTGTTTTTACCCGGCGTCGTAACATAAACACATTTTATTTATTTATACTCAGAGTAAATATGATAAGTATCGGTTACAAAATTCATTACGAAGTTATAGGTTTATGTAATTACTAGCTGAGATTCGCGGTGTTACCCGCGTTTGTTGTTATAACTGTGGGCAACGCCGTGGGTCGAAGCTAGTCTAAAAAAAGTAGCCTAAGTTACTCCTTATGTCATCAGCTATCTGCCAGTGAAAGTCCCTTCGAAATCGGTCCAGCCGTTCCAGAGATTACCCGGAACAAACAGACAGACAGACAGACAAAAATTGTAAAAAATGTTATTTTGGCATATGTACCGTGTAAACATACATATCCATTTAGTAAAAAGCGGTTATTTTAATATTACAAACAGACACTCCAATTTTATTTATTTGTCTAATGTTCTAGTCAGAACTCTTAGCCAGTCAAAAGTAGGTGTTTTAAACCGTAGATGCCCCGAGGTACGTCGGGGTACCAGGGCTTTCCTTTCTAGGATATACCTGGTTCCCCGGCCACTGGTACCTGGAGATGGCGTGCGGTTTTTGGTCGGTTCGAGTCCGACATAACCACCCAACTGGTGGGTGGCATCCCAGGGGATTGCCGCACAGGAAAAAATCAGTCGAAAGTACTTTTTAACGCAAAGATCATACTGTTACAAGCTTATAGTTAAACCAACCAAAATAATAATAATAACGTTACACATCTCACACACAGCTGTCTGATCTCAAACTAGGCAGAGCCTCTACCATAGTAACCAGTCTGCTGATAAACAAACTTAAGTATACATTATATGCATGCGCGGGGCCCCTAGGCTGTTGCCTACTCTGCCTATTGGGTAATCCGGCCTTGGTCCTGACTGTAACATACTGTAAGAACCATTATTTTTCCTTTTTATCCACCTTTCTGTTAATTTATAATTGTTAATTTTTGTATATTTAAAGTATAGGGGGCCTAACTAGTAGACAGGTCACCGGAATTACGCATCAGTCAGGTCATGCTTCTGATGCTATTACTCGTAACCCTTCATCGATTTACAAAGACCTGAATCTTCAAAAAAAGGGGCCCCGGGGATTGCATTGCCTAAGGGCCTCGACATAGCTAATCCGGCCCTGGGTAAAGGTATCTTCTCTATCATGCCACTCCTGGCGATTTTGTGCCAGCTGGATCCATTGTCAGCCCTCACAATGTCGTTTGACCATCGGCTAAGTGGTCTAAAAATCCTTTATGACAGTTGGGAGATCGAAAATTGAACTGTGATTGATTTTTTATCACGAGAATTGATTCTGATTGCCTAATAAGTATGACTTTGATTTCACTAGCCCCTAACACAAACAAACAATGTGAAGAGTTCCCATTATTCTATGGCTGTAATATATATCTTACACTGTTTAAATAATCACAATAAACTAGATAACTTACAGTTTATAATCGCAATTAATATAAAAGCAACACACAACATGTTTGTTTGTTCGTCTCACACACTATGTCCTACATATTACAAAACCTTATCAATAATGATAAAGCATTTTATCGGCATCCGAGTGTGTCAAACTTGATAAAATACCACAATTTATGGGTAACTTTGATGACAAATCAGTAGATCACTCATCAATCATGGAAATCAATTTTTATTATAATCTTAGATTATTTGTGTGTCTTAATAGAGTGTCACACTATACATTTTTTATTATTCAGGTATGAGTTCTGCCGAGAGGGTCATCTACAAACCTATTAAATCCAAAACCAGTTTTACGCAACCGAATCCTTTCTTTTAAAACCCCTTACACCGTTTCACGATCACTTCGAGTTCAACATACCACTGTGAGGGGAAACATGGGAAATGAAAAAGGAACTCGCCGAAAATTATATTTAAGTCACAAAAGTAACTCGAAATGAAATTACTTTCAGCGTTTATTAACCACCAAAGTTTTATAAAGTCTCGCTTGTGAATGAACTCTGAAACTCGGTAAGTCCCATCACTGAGCAAATCTCCGGGACCGGGACTCACCAAGTTTCAGACTCGATGTTTTCGTTTGTCTGTTGTTGATAAAGACGTAACGAAGTCACAGTAATTCATAATACTCGTATTTGTAACATAAGCAAACCTACTAAGCATCGTGGGCTATACAATGGAGTATATATACAATATATACAATGAAAAGCTGGAAAGGGTCAAGGAATAAATTGGCAAATACATCAAACTTTTCAAGTTCATTAATTAGGAGCACACTTTTACTACTTCAACACAGTTATTTAATATTAATCGGTTTTAATGTGACTTTGATCACGTGAAAGTCGATAAGTGTCTTTACCTCAGGAACGGTTCTTTGCATTGGTTGCGAAATTATATGATATAGGATGGCACACAACTACACACATACACATACCCATATCTACTAATCTAACTGTTAAACTTGATAAACGAAGAGAGATTGTAATCACTATTAGCAAAGAGGGCTTGGCACTACATTCTTTAAACGAGCAATTCTTGTATGTATATAATCTGAATCTCCGAAACGGCTCACACGATTTTCATAAAATGTAGTATTCAGAGGGTTTCGGGGGCGATTAATCGATCTAGCTAGGTTTCATTTTATGGAAAATTTACCAAAAAGAAATACCATCATCCAGGTACTATTGTATACACTAGTTGTATGTACCCTTTTTTTTTTTTTTCCATTCGGAAATCCCCTCGGATACCACCTGTCGGTGGCATGTCGGACTCGAACCGACTAAAACCGCACGCCGTCTCGGGTACTAATAGCCGGGGAACCAGGTATACCCTAGAAAGGAAGTCCCTGGTGCCCCGACATACCTCGGGTCATCTACAGACGAGTAGACGACCCCCCCCCCCTCCCGTGTGGAAACCCCATGTTCCCTGTGCTCCTGGAAGCGAACGTGCTTCGCAACGCGCTCGCCGCCACCCCGGCCTGCTTCTGCTAGGGTGACAGATGGCCTCACCAGTCACCCCCAGGCCTGCGCTTATGGAGGACGGAGGTCGTTCTGCGACCTCCGGCGCCTGAGTCGCCTGCGGTACCTGGCCCGTTCCCTAGTCCCCCCGAGTCCTAAACCTCTCCCGGTCCCGCTCCGCCGTCTCCTTCGCGAGCATAACTTGCTCGCAGAAGGAGCTGTATGTACCCTGACATGCTTCGCTGTAGCTCATTGTGGTTGCATCGATGAGAAATTAGAAACAAAACTGACACGAAAAATAGATGATAAACAATCTTTTAAGCGTGTTGTATATGTTGTCAAAATTTGAGCTCAATGGGTGCAGAACTTTTTGAGTTTTTGAAGCGTACACAAACCAACAATAATCAATACTTTATTGCTTCCATAATGTAAACACATAGGTGACAACAATTCTGGACCCTGTCGGGCGCAGCACAGTTTGTTTGGTAGAGAGGAAGATAACACAACCACATATACAGTAGAAAATTTTGTTTCTAATTAATATAGCTATATATAATATAGTATAGCAACTTAACATTTAACTTAACAACAACTACCTGATAAAAGCTAGTAGGTATACCGAGTGATCTTGACTGCTAAGCAGGTCGTAGATTCGATTCAATTATTAGGACAACAAATAATTGTGTGATGAACACGATGATTTGTCATGTGTCTTATTGTATCCCTATTCATCCCGTAGGTGTCGTAAGAGGTGTGCGTTACCCCAGCAAAATGATGTCGAAAATGGTCATTTAAACGTTATAGATAATTAGTTGCTCCCCTTCTGTAATTGTTAGGCACATTTTTAAATTTGTTTCACTTAAACTTTTTTAGTTATTTCAAAAAAACATTTCCTGCTGGGGTAACGTTTGAAACGTTACCGCAGCCAGACATTTTCTTTTTTAATTGTAATATTGAAATAAATTTTAGCTAAATAATTAGTTATCTGGACTAGGTAAATGTTAAAACTTATTTGGTATTTGTATTTTCTTCGGCTGCGAAGTTATTCGAGATCCTGCTGGAGTAACGTTTGTGGGTTTGCTGGATCTCTGAAACGGGTAAGCGGGTTGTAACCATCTTTTGTACATAACTTCTTAAGGATTAGTTTTAATTTGTTCGACAATAAAATGAAAAAAATAATGGACCGTTTAAAAATTATTTAGGTAAGTATGAAAACACTTCAATACGTCCTAACACTTTGAATAAGACCTCTAAAGACTTACTTGAAACGTTATTCTATTGCTTGTAACTAAACTAAACTAAACTAAACTGTAACCAAATAAATTGTAACATTTACCTAGTCCAGATAACTAATTATTTAGCTAAAATTTATTTCAATATTACAATTAAAAAAGAAAATGTCTGGCTGCGGTAACGTTTCAAACGTTACCCCAGCAGGAAATGTTTTTTTGAAATAACTAAAAAAGTTTAAGTGAAACAAATTTAAAAATGTGCTTAACAATTACAGAAGGGGAGCAACTAATTATCTATAACGTTTAAATGACCATTTTCGACATTATTTTGCTGGGGTAACGCACACTCGTAAGAGCCGACTAAGGGAGCAAACTTCGAAAACTTGAAACAAACCCTACACAAGTAGGCCAAAACCTCCTTTCAAGGAGAGGCCTATGTCCAGCAGTGGACTAGTAAAGGCTGTTGATGATGATAAAATCACCTCCTCCGCCCTATGCGGGCTTAAATTACACTCTAGGGATATGGCAGACATATGAATTTTTAAGATGATATTTTAATTTAATGTAAAAATACTACTTTACGGCAATATCTATGCCTAATAAAATTATTCCAAATGAAATTGTACCAAATAATTGTCGCTCTAAATAAACGTTAGGTATGCTAAACGAAATTATATTTAATCCACTGGGTTTGTCGGCTCTTCGTTCTTCGTCCAGGCCGTCCTCTTATGGAATGCGCTTCCTCACGAAGTCAGGATGGCTACAAATCGGTACTCTTTTAAGACGAAAGTGAAAGAGCTATTGCTGAGCGAAAAGGCAGATTCAACGAGCTCCTAGTTCATCGGCAATTTTTTTTATTTTTTTCTTTGTATATATATGTGTATGTATATATATATGTATGAGTATGTACATATATATATATATATGTGTATGAGTGTGGTATTACTACGTATACACCAAATTTCAAGATAGTTGGTATTTAACAAAACCTCTATCGTTTATTACCCTACCATAAATGCACCTACCTCATTCTTTCTCAGCACCGCCCAATCGGTCGACTGGCAGAGAATGCCTTTGGCATTAAGTCCGCCGATGCATTTACTTGTGCAAAAAGTTATAAATAAATAAATAAAATATATAAATTATGAGGAATTTTAACTCTGCCAAAGGTAATTATGCTAAATGAAATTATGCCATTGTGAATTTGGACATATTTATATTCGGCCAAATAATAATTATATTAAATCATTTTTATGCCTTAAAAATATTCGTTTTAAGAAGATTCTGCCAAGCGTGTTTCTGATAGAGAGAGGATAGAGGGAACCCCTAACCAACACTAAAAGATTTCTTTAATTTGAACCAGTAGTTAAAGAGATGACCCCGAACATACAAACTCACAAGCTTTACCTCTTTATAATATTAGTAGGTATAGATAGTGTATTTTTGCCTTTTTCGATTAATTATTTTGCCGATTTGTTTTATATTTTAAACAACATTTCTGTATACTTTACGTAACAATACACAAAACAATGAAATTGAATAAAAGAAAATTTGTTAATCACTTTATTAATTATTTCAAATAATTATTAAATTTAGATTTTCCCAATTCTTATGAAACTCGGTAAATTACTAAGTCTGTCGGAGTAAGAAACTTGATTTTATTTATACACTCGTGGAATTCTACTTGATGAACTGCAGAATTCAGTACCCTTCATAAAATATAAAATCACAAAGTAACACGTAACATTTATGTAACGTATTACGTAAATTAACTAAATTAATAACGTAAAACACCTATGGCTTCTATCATTTTAAGCATAAATGAAATAATTAAACACTCTACTCTGTTCCATGAGTAGTATTTTGAGCTAAAATATCAAATTCTTAGCTGAAATATGAAAATATAAATCACTTGGTTTTTTAATGGGAGCCAACAGGTGTCAACCTTAAATAAGGCCATAAATAAATAACCTTTAGACAGACATAGATTTTTTGAAAACAATTTAAAAATTCTGAACTTCCCATATATATTATTACTTACATCTTCGTATTGGACATACTCGTATCTATTATTAATTGATGCCCTGATAACTGAACATATAATTTTGATTTTTATTTTTCACACAGGCTTAGATTATTTATATATCAATAATAAGTAAGTACACAGGTTTATACTAGAGATTACTAATACGTAGAGATTAATAGACGTTTGCGAAAGCTACTTAAAACATAATTCACAGTTTTTAGTCAGGGTTGCGACAAATCTTGTGTTTTTTGTAAAGTTAAAATATTTCCAATTTTCTAAGTTTAATTATAC